TTTTAAAATAAAGCTATAAGTTTTAATTTAAAGTAAATATAAAATCTCTTAAAAATTATTTTTAATAGCTTTAAAGCTATTCTATAAGAGTTTAATTTAAAGATCTTTAGTCCTTTAAGGTATATAGATAGTTATTATTAATTTAAATAGTAATGAATATTATTTCTATTTATATCTTTAATAAGAGATTTATAATAAATATTATTATAAGCTCCTTATTAATAACTCTCTTTTTTATTTTTTTAATATTTCTTATAAATTTTTTAATATCTATTAAAAGGTATTTTAAATTAATTCTATAGCTATAAGCCTATTTCTTAAATACAATAATATTAAGAATTTTAATAATAATATATTTAATATTTTAATAGATCTTATATATATAAAGGCTATATTACCTTTTAATTTATACTTTAAATATATAAAGGATTAAAAAAATACTGTTTTATTTTTTATTAAATAATATAAAATTAAATTTAATACCTATAAACTTATCTTTAATGAAAAGTAGCTATAAAGAGTTTTTATAGCTATTTAATAAATAATTAAAAAGATCTTAAGAGATATATTGAAATAATTAAGGGAATCTATTTTTAAATAGATATTTTAAAATAATTTAATAAGCTTAAATAATTAAATATATTTTATATTAAATTTTTATTAATTTTATAATTTTTATTTCCCTTATTATAAAGAGAAGCTTTAAGAGTATCTTAAATGTTAAATAATTAATATAAAGATATTAAAATATAATTATAATAATATAATTAAGCTTAAGCTTTTATAAAGATTTCTTAAAATAAGTTAATAAGTTATTAATATAAGCTATAATACATATTAAGCTAATTAAAATCTATAAAAAAGAATAATTAATAATAAGCTTATATTTAAAGAGGAGAATATTATCTTAATATATAAGTTTCTAGATAGTTATATTATTTATTATAAATCTATAATATAAAGTATTATTCTAATTATAATATTATATCTTAATATATTTAATAAGTATTTTAAATATAATATTAATATAGAAATTCTTTATATATATTATCTCTTTTAATATTAAGTCTTTAAATAAAGGTCTCCTTTATCCTATTAAGGTATTCTTTATTATATAAATATCTTTTTTAAAAATTAAGAGTCTTTTCTTATTATAATAAATAAAATAAATATTAAGTTTTTAAATAAATAGATTAAATTTAAAAAGAGTAATATTATTTATTAAATAAGTAGTATTATATATATTTATTACTATATTATAAAAAAATAAATAAAATATATTATTTAGTATATTAAAGATACTTAATAGACTTTTTTTAAAGTCTCTAAAAGTAAAATTAATTAGTAGAAAAATAATAATTTTTTTAAAAAATATATTTTAGTTTCTTAAAGTTAATATTATTCTTAAAGCTATAGTTATAGCTTTTTTATTATTTATAATCTATTCTTTTTATTTAAGTTATTTTATAAATATAAATATTTATTAATATTAAATATTTCTTATTAAATCTTTAAGTCTTTCTCTTTAGTTATATAGATAAGCTTATTAGATTTACTTATAAGTACTTTTTAAATATAATAATAATTAGTTACTACCTATAGCTAACTCCTTCTATAAGGATATTTTATTTAAATTAAGTTAAAGCTTATATTTAAGATTAAGTTAAACTATTTAATAAAAGTTAAGAAGTACTTAATAAGCTTTAAAGACTTCTTTAAGATATTATTATAATAAACTTTTATTTTAAATATATTTAAAACTTAAAAAGGAATTAATATAAGCTATTTAAATATCTTAACTTAATAGATATTATTAATAGTTTTCTCTATTTAAATTAAATTAAAATAGCTATTAATTACTTTAAGGATGTCAATAGTTATATTTATTCCTTTTATCTATAAAATACCTTAAAGGTAGTATTTTATATATACCTCTTTTTAGTTAGATAACTAATAGGTTATATTAATATTAATAGAGGCTTTCTATAGAGTAGTATTATATTTAGTAACTATAAAAGTATTTAATATAGTTAATATAAATACTAATTTAGCTTAGAGGGCTTTAAGAATACCCTAAAGAGTATAGTTCTTAATTTAGATTATATCTATATAAAAAGTATTACCTAGCTCTAAGGGAGCTTTATAATAGTTTATTAATATAAGTTTTTTAGTTTTTTAATATAATTTTAATACTTTAGCCTATATTATCTCTTAATATAATAAATAGATATAAATAATAGTTAAATTAATATTAACTAATAAGGTTAGCCTAGCTAAGGTCTTTAGGTATATATAAGTTTATAAGAGCTATAAAAAAAGGGGGGGTAATAAGCTTTATTACTAATAAGTAGTAATAGTAGCTTAAATCTATTATTATAGTATTAAACCTTTTAATTATAAGTCCCTCTTTATAATACCTTTATAGTTCTTTAGCTAAAAGGGTAGCTAATAGGGTATCTCTATTATATTATTAAGTAGGTATAAGAAGCTAGCTATTATTTTAAGCTAAAAGCTTATTCTTTATCTTCTTTATTTATTACTATATTTAAATCCTTTAAGATAAATATTATTTAACTTAATATATTATATAATAAGCTTAATAATAATAATATTAAAGAACTAATATATATTTATAGTATCTAAAGTATTAATAGCTATAAATATAATAATAACTTAAACTTTAATATAAAAGTCATTATAACTTACTTTACTTATAAAACTATACTATTAGCTTTAAACCCTAATAAGGAGGGTATTATTATACCTACTCTTAATAAGTTTAAGAATAAAGATCTTAATATTATTAAGGTATTTATTTTAGATATTAATAATAATTTATTAACTTATAAATATTTTATAAGTTTCCTCTAAATAGCTAAGGATCTTAAGCTTAAAGTTAAGTTATAAATACTATAGATCTAAATTAATATTAATAGCGTTACTAATAGTAAGTAATAGAACTATAATAGTCTTAAGTACTAGGGGTAAGCTAAAAGTCTTTTAAAAAGTTTAATTAGTAAATAGTAAAAGTTTTAGAGATATCTTCTAAAGTATTAGAGATATCTTAGTAAAAAAGTCTATTATTATTATTATAATAGGGGAAGTTAAAGCGTAAAGTAATAAAATAGTAGCTAAGATAGGAAGGGCTTATATATAGTTATATAACTAGATAGCTATTAATTAGTTAAGTTAGCTAGGCTAAACCTAGAGTTAGTTAAATATATAGTTTCTAAATATAATATAGTAGCTAAAGGCTTAAGCTAATTATATATAGTATCTTAATAAGGCTTACTTTTTATAATAAATTAATAAGATATATATATATATATATATATATATATATATATACTTATAGCTTTATAGTAGTACTATTATTACTAAGTATATAAATTATATTAATTATATAACGTTATATAATTATAGCGGTTTATATACTATATAGTTAGGTATATAAGTAAAGCTTAAAGCCTATAGGTAATATAGGACTTAAACCTACTGCTACTATATATACGCGCGTAGTAGCTAGCTAGACTAAAAACTACTTAGCTAACTACTTAATAAGAAGTATATATTAACTAGTTTAAGCTATAAATACTATAGATTTCTAATTACTATAGTAAAACTAAAAGCTTATTATTTTAATAACTACTTTAATAAATTCTTTAAATAAGGAATATAAAATAATAAAATAAAAACAAATTAAGAGAAAATAAATAAAAAAGGATAAAAGTATTAGAAATATAAAAATAACTTAAAATTAAAATTAAAAAGGGCTTTTGAAATAAATAGTTTAATATATTTTAAAAATATATTATAAATAATATTTACTTTCTTTTAGAGGGGGGGGGGGGGGTAAAAAATATAGATTAAAACAATATAAAAATTCTAAATAATTATATATCCACAACCAAAAAACACCCCACACCCCCCCCCCTCCCCCCCCCCAACAATAATATAGATTAATACTATATATATAGTCTCTATAAGTATATAGCCCTCTTAGGCACTTAGTCTTAATATAAATAGCTCTCTATATAGTAGATAGATAAAATAGACTTCTTATACTTTTATATTATTATACCTACCTTTAGGTTTCCCTTATAGAACTATTATAAATATCTTTATAATAAGTTTAAGTTATTATTATTATTTATTATTAATAAAGCTTATTATTTCTCTTTATCTTTTTATAGCTTTTATAAATAATATATATATTTAAATACTTTAATTAAGCTAAATATATTAATATTAATTTAATTATAAATAATATCTATTTATTTTATTAAGAAATAATATAAGCTAAAGTACTATTATTATAATAAAGATATTATAGAACTTTATATTAAGAAACTACTATAAAGCTTATTTAGAGCTAAATACTAATTTATCTTTATAAATATAAAGGTAATACTATTTATTATTTTAAGATACTAAATAGAGTATAGCTTAACTTATAATAATATAATAGCTAAAAGCTTTAATAATATATTATAACTAATTATATTTTTTAAAAATACTATTTAGCTTATTTATATTTTATATATATTTACTTTTTATATATTTTAATATAAAATAATTAAAGTTAATTTAAAAATATAAAATAAATTAAGTATTACTTTATTAAGTATATATTTTATTTTAGTAATTAGATTTTTTAAATTAACTATATTTAATTATATAAGCTTAAAATAAGAAATCTTTTTCTTTCTTTATTAAATAAATTTTATACTTTATTTACTTTTAATATATATTATTTATTTTTAAAGCAATCCTTTAATTAAAATATAGTATAATTAGTTAAATTACTTAATAAGAATAGTTTAATTTTAAAATGAAGTAGTTATTAGTTTATAAATTAATAGTTCTATAAGTACTACTTAAGTAAGCGTAAAGCTAGAGAAAAAGTTCCTAGTGTTTTTCCGCCTACTTATAGCCTTACCTATACTCGTTCTGCTGAACGTGAGAACCTTTTTCATCCGCCTCACCCCAGCTCATTCAATATGTCCCTGCTCAGGCCGCAGTCATTCCTAAGCAACACAATTATTACACATCTAACTCATGCTCGCCTTCTGTCGACGCAGAAACGTCTGACACTGTCATATGATTTGCACGAGCCTGGCAAATCAGCAGCCGGCATCTCCGCACCGGTTTTGTTTCTCCATGGCCTCTTTGGGTCGAAGAAGAACAATCGGAGCATTAGCAAGTAAGCGAAAGAATCTAACCGGCCGTGAGGCGTTTCCTACTGACATTCGACCAGAGTTCTTGCCCGTGACCTCGGGAGGCCGGTGTACGCACTGGTAAGACCTCATCTCAAGTCCTGCGGGTGTGGTTGATAACAGCGGCAGGACCTTCGCAATCATGGAGAATCACCCCATGACCGAAACCATGACTATGTTCACATGGCAGAAGATATCGCCGGCTTCATAGACCAACACGGGCTGCACCAGCCGACAATTATCGGCCATTCCATGTATGTTTTCGCCTACGAATTTGACACCACCATCAGCATGGTGTGCTGACAAGTCAACCTCACAAGGGGCGCCAAGGCAGCCATGGTCCTCGCGCTTCAGTCCCCGGAGATTGTACAGGACATTGTTGCTGTCGACAACGCCCCAGTTGATGCCGTGTTGGAAAGCGCCTTCGGCAAATACATCCAAGGCATGAAGAAAATCGAAGCTGCGAACGTCACCAGACAGGCCGAGGCCGACCAGATCCTCAAGGAATACGAGAGCGTAAGCGTCGACTCTCTCTGCTTGCTGTCCAAGCCCAGCCTTCGTTGACACTGTAACTTCAGTCTTTGCCTATCCGTCAATTTCTTCTGGGCAACTTGCATCGGCCGGAGGCTGGTAAACCGGAGCAGAAGTTCCGGGTCCCGCTCGACATTATTGGTCGCTCGTTGAACTACATGGGTGATTTCCCATTCAAGGACCCGAACCAGGTTCGCTTTGAGAAGCCTGCGCTGTTCGTCCGTGGAACCAAGAGCAAGTATGTGCCCGATGACGTCTTGCCAATTATTGGACAATTCTTCCCCAAGTTTCGTTTGGCAGACATCGATGCTGGCCATTGGGTGATATCGGAGAACCCAGAGGCATTCCGCCAAGGTAAGTGCTTTCCATCCGTGCCCCGTACGAAATACTAGCTGACATGTGACAGCTGTGGTCGAGTTTCTCAAAGGCCCAGAATAGCACGTATCCACCACGCGGCACGCCTGTTACATGGACCTAGATAGCTGGGATGTGTCGAGGATAAACGTGTTTGTATAGACACATAGATAGACAAGCACATAGACATAGAAATGAAAGCCCCGCAGGCATCAATAAAGACTGCGCATCGTAGTCCACCAAAGACAATGGCCTTAAGACGTACGAGGGACGACTGGAACGACGTAGGCCATTTCCCAGGCCATCAACGAGCGCTAGTCGTCTTGTTATTGGCAAGTATCACAAGACGATATGGTCCTACGAGTTGCAGGAACGAAGTCGCATTGGTACTGCGAGAGACTGCCCTTGGTCGAAGACGGACTGCAAAAATCGAGACCGTTCATTCCACATACACACATGACGCCTTTTTCTTTTATATCCTCCAGTCGGATCCCGAAACCCAAGTCTTGCCATCATGATTCGGAAGCGAGGCTGCGTACACCCGGCACACTGTCTTTGAAAGAATTGACCGTTTACCATTTTGAGGTAACCTAGACCCGCAGCCGCCTTAATGCTACGCCATGTGCAACGACCTAAAACAATGCCGGATTCGTTTGCCGGCCGATGGAGCCAGAGTACCCTGCTGCCGAACCATCCTCCGTCTAAGATTTCGTTCCTTAGACTTCCTCCAGAACGCGCTCCTTGAACTCACGCTCGACCTTCTGTCCCTGGTCATCGGTACCAGACTCGCCGTGGAGACCCATGAGGGCACCGAGGTCGAACTTGGGCTGCTTGAGGAGCTTGACCTTGCGGATGTGGACCTGGTTGTGTCAGTCTCCAGTCTTGAGAGGTGGCGGAAGCTAAACATACGTTCTGCAGGGGGTAAATGCCCTGGGTGGACTTCTCGATCTCACGGCCAATGACCTCGGGGATGAGCTTAGAGGTGAGCTGGGTGAGAGTGCAGGTAGAGGCCTCGCGCTGGATGATCTCGGTCATCTTGCGGCGGATGGCACGGATTTGCGAAGAGGCGGCGTATGTCGTCTTCTTGATCTGGTTGGGGCGGCGCTTGGTGAAAGCGATGGCGAAGAGTCTGAGGAGGTAGTCGTCGGTGGTCTTGACGGTGACGTTGGCCTCGATGAGGGTCTGCCACTTGCGGACGAGGGAACGGAGCTTGTCGGAGGTGAAGTCAAGTCCGTGGAAGTTGGTCAAGCAGTTCTTGCCCTGGACCTCGTCGACGCGGAGCTTGACCTTGCGGAAAGCGTGGTCCTCATCCTTCTGGAGATCCGCCAGAGAGACCTCGAGGATACGGCCCTTCAGAGCATCGTTGGCGTTCTTGAGACCGGTGGTTCTGTTCACCAGGGTCTTGCCGACGCTGTAGGTAGAGTTAGTTATTTGCCATTCATCGTCGGTGCATGTCTTTCGATCGTCTCGATGGGTCGTGTTTGATGCTGGGTCGCTGCCGGGGTTCTTCAAAGAAACATCGGGATGGCGCAGAACTCACTCTCTGACGTTGAAGGGGGCCGGGGCCTGCGAGAAGCGCTTTCAGTACTTGCAGCTCTTGAACCTCGAACGAGTAGCGACGATGCTCACCTTGATCTGGTACCAGTCCTTGCGGGAGAAGGGGTCGACGGTCTTCTTCTTGAGGCCCTTCTTGCCCTTGGACAATCTCTTGTTCCTGCGGAAAGAAAACTTGTCAGCGATTGACTTGTGATGCAGGAGATCAAGCCGTGCTCGCGAGCGCAACGGTGGTAGTGATCGTAGTCGTCGTATTTGTCGTCGTCGTCGGTGAGCGAAGGTCTCAGGCAAGGCGCTTACTTTCCAACAGCCATTTTGGGCGGCTGTAATTTGTCTGGCGGATGAACGATGAGTAGGTTGAAAGATTGGAGGGGTGGTGTTCGCTGGTGATAAAATTGAGAGCTCAGGTTGTGTGGGTGAAAATCTTAGCGAGTGTGCCCCGTTGGAATTATGTAATCTGCGCTCAGGGCCACGAACCGCTGCCCCAATTGGTAAGGTAGGTACGTACCACGTTCTGCGTCCGTGCGTACACGTGACCTCTCCCAAGACTTTTTTTTTCCTCTCACAAAAACACCCAAGGTCCGTAGAGGTCAAAATTTTCCGACCCACTCGGGCATCCCTAGGTACCTAGGTAGGTTTCCCCGCCTGCTCAAGTGGCGCCAAGTGTGGCTGGTGAACCCCCCTTCCACAAGGTAGTCGGTCGGCTTCCGTCAGGTCCCGTCCACGCCCGGGTTACCGTCTTGGAGCTCCGGCTGGGCCCGGGGGCTGTCAACGGGACTGGCACCGATGGGCGGCTGGGGGGGGTTGAAATCCCCTACCTAGGTATCTTACCTATGGAACGGGGGAGAGGTTACCTACTGTATCTAGGTAGTGTCTCCAGCGTTATGACGATGTCGCAGTGGACCGGTAGTGTCTCATCCATTGCGAGTTTGGTTTTCCCTCCTGTTTCGTTCCAATCTACACTACCTTAAGGTAGTGTAATTACCTGCGCAGCACGAAGAGTGACTTCCAACAACTGCCTTGGCAACGCTTTCCACTCACATCACCCTGCATTTTGCCTCATCCATAACCAGCTTTGCATTGGATTCCTTCGGGCATTCGCCATGGCATTACTCGGTATGAGATTCTTATTCCTGTCATTTTACTGGTTTGTGTGTGCGGGTATCCCGCCTAAAAGTACAGAATCAAGTCCGTCCATGTCGCAAATTAGTTGACAGACGTATTTCCTAATCCCTCCATATTTCCTCTTGCTCCTTTAACAATTGGCATGTCGTTTGTTCTGTTGTAACCGACAGCCCACACTATCGCCCCCCTCCCCGCGTTCGTCGCTTGCTGCCTCAAATCAGACGCGGCCCTGCTGACAACCTCGCCTTTTCCCACTCTTTGCGTCTATCTGCTGGTCTTCGCCGAACGCTTCCCAGCTCGGCTTAAACCAGCACGCCGCCCAGTCGCCATCGCTTCAATGGGTTTGTTCTTCCACAGCCGAGGCCGTCATTCGCCATCGCCATGTCGTGAAGCCAGGAAACCTCCCACAATCCTTGCAGAACCCGCGGGTACGGGAATAAGGTCGATATATGCCGATCTTTCAATCCTCCCCTCTCGTTCTTGACGACGCCTCGTTCTGGGAAGAGTTGGTGTCTGGCATGTCCTACTATCTTCGCCTCCTCCGACGCCTACTTTCAAACGTCCTCTTCCTTGTCCTCACCACGCCGCTCTCCGTCCCAGGCATCGAAATTGGGAAAGCTGAAGTAGCCGTTCGAGTCTGGCACGCATCGTTGTCAGCGACTTATCTTGGCAGGACTTGGGACTCTGGAGTCGCACGAACAAGAGCGATGCTCCATGGGACCCTGAGCTCGGTTGGCGTTCACATCTTCAGCACTCAGCGATGCCATTGGAGGTGCCGTGCCCGACGTGGGCGAGTATTCGGGGACCGGGCCGGAGTACACAGCGACGCGATTCAGAAGCTCCGTGGCCCTCTGCGTTGACTGTGGGCTTGAAATTGCCCCGCGGCTGGCATTGGATGTGGTTGTAATAGACGGTTCGGTTGCACTGGCTCGCAGAAGTCTTGGCCGACGTCGACGGTCTGGCCGCGGGGATGACTCCCGTCTCGACGTATCTTGCAGGTCTCGGGCAACGGCAGCCATAGTGCTATGCTGGAAAGGAATGGATGGATTGGCCTGTTGGACGGTTGAGCGATCGTGAATGCCAAAGTGCCAGCGCTACGGAGCAAGGGGAAACCATGACTGCTCCTGCCCCTCCCTCCTCGCGCGGGCATCGTGCACATTATCAACACATATCGAGTCCGGCTACCCGGCGGGAGCGTCGGTTCACGGGGGGCCGAGCCTGGTCGATGGTTTTCCGCTGACAGGCCAAGCGGGCAATCATTGGGCCACATGGCCGGTGCCTGATGGGACCGTCTCCCAACTATGTGTCTTGTCATGTATGGGTCGGTGAGCGTTTGTTTGGGCACTTATACGCAAAGCCCATATGCAAGGCCGGCGTCACGCATGCAGCTGCTGTGGGGTTACCAACCGTTTCTTTGACCAGTTCCCGTCACCTCCCGCCCATTCCCGGGCATATCAAATCCAATCACGGCCGGCCCCTCTGCGGACCGGTCAACACCCTGGAACTGGACCTGAAGAAACTGCCACCTGGACACGCGCTACGTGCGCCGTGACGCCCTGTCCGTCTCTGCACACAACACACGCCCGCAGCCCACTTGAGTCTGGCCTGGCCAAGTCCGGCTCCTCTCGTCCGCCTGGTGGTGTAACGACTACGTATGTACGGACGCTACGTGGTTGGACTTTCCGTCCTGCGTCGACAGACTTATTGAGGGAATTACGCAGATATTTAACCCTATGAAACTGTCCTGTACAGAGAGAGTACCATGTCCGCCAATCCCCTCGTCACCATCCGCTCGGTAATACCTACGATGGTACTGCATGGTTTCTATCCTGGCTTTCCCCCCTCATCCCCCCCATCTTCTTCATCCTGCCGACACGACCCGGGTGGAGACGTGCCACCGACACGCCCAGCCGCCATTTCATCGACCCATCTATCCGGAGACCGGCGAGTGTGCGGGAACAACATTGGGGTTGACCGACGCCGAACATGGAGCCCCCTTATCATCCCAGTGCTCACCCAGCTCGCTCGACTCCCAGTTTCTTGGCCGAGCTGCTGTTAAGCCGCCGACCTAACCTCGCCCTTGTCCCGCCCCCGGGCCAGACGTAAAATGCGGAGGCTAGTGGTCGATACTGCGAGCAACGTCAGCCTTCGAGCTCTAGGTACCTGGACCTGGGGAACTTACTCCTCCCAGAGACGGCCTTGGACAGCTCTTAACTCGTCCTCCGTCATACGTTTTCCCGCGGTGAAGTACCCTGGGTGCCACCGTCAGTACTGGGCATTTGGGTCCCGTGAGTTCTTCGAATCATGTTGACTTGCCTGCAGTGATTTTCGCGTCAATCTCAACTCGGGAGTCTGCCGGGATCCACTCCTCTGGCAGCTCTACTCGCTCGTGGATAGGAATGCTATGAAACCCGTCAGCAGATAAGCCCAGCATCGGCCCGGATGGATGGGAAGGGGCCCTGAATCGCACCCTTGTCCGACGATGGCATCGTGCTTCATGCTGTAGGCGATTTATTAGCAATGCTGCTCTGCAGCCGACAGGAAGCATTTCACCCACTTGCTCATGCTGAGCATGCGATCGATCTTGCGGATTCCAAGCCAGTGTAGAATATCCGGCATCAGGGCTTGGAATCGCATGTCCTTGACGCCTGCGATGTTCTCGGTTCTCTTGAAGTAATCTGATGCTCGGTCCTCACCCCGCTTCCGGGCGTTGTACACAACTGTGTCCAATGTCAGCATCCGCAGCGACACGGATATTCGGTGGCTTCCGGTCGGGTCGGACAACGAAAGATAAGGCCCAGGTTCTACTCACGATACTGGCCTCAAATTAGTCACGTTCGTCAGACCGCTGAACAAGCGTTGCACTTACCTTGGTTACTTCGCCGAGAGCCCTTCCTTCCTTTCGAAAGTAAATAACGACGCCACTACCACCATTCTGTGCCTCCTTTACGGCCTCCTCGATGCCGAAGATGAGGTAAGGACGGCATGTGCAGATGTCGGATCCGAAGACGTCGCTACCGTTGCACTGTGTGATCATAAGCATGGGGAATGGCCACGGGCTCGGGACTGCAAACCTCGTCATGGATGCGTAGGGCCAGTCGCACCGACTCGTCCGACATCTTGGCCGGGTCGCCGAAGCAGTACACAGTGAGACCACCTAGTGGTTTGTTCCCGGTCAGCTCTGGCCTGATTTCGACAAGCTTTATCATGGGGCCGAGGTCCGCTCACCAATTGGGGGGAGGAAGACCTTAATATCTCCACGAGTGATCAACTGGCAGACTGGGTAAGTACAAGCACGACTTCCGAGACAAGGACCACACCAACCTCGGGGTAGCTGCCACCCGTGTGCTCGAATAGCGACCTTCTCAGAGCACCCTCATCTGATGGCCAGGGTTAGAAGTGAGCTCAGCAGCAGTTGCATCATGACGAACCAATGCCAAACCGCTCGGCCACTCCAGGTAGGTACCATACCTAGGTGTGGGGTTAGTTGACGTCTTGGAACATCGGTTTTCGCTGGGTGGTCAACATACCGGCTCCACGGCAAATTTGGTCACTGCGAGTTCTCCAAGATTATTGAGGCAGACTTTGCCATCCGGGACGCTTATGGCGAATCAATGAACGAGTACGTTACGCGTGGTAGAAGCTGCTTACAGTCTGCCACTCCGGACACTTTCCTCGAGCTCAGGAAGCTGCCAGAAGTCAGTCGAGACCTCAAATGCCAGGAAGCATACTCTCAACCTTCATGTGAGCCTTTGTAATGGCGATGGTCGGGCGAATATCGACTATGGCCGAGTTTTAGGCCGCGTTTAGACCTAGGACGGGGTTCTCGCATACCGTTGTCTCTCTCAATGGTGTCCTTGAACAGCCACGGTGACAAGTGGCCCCAGGGGTCCATGGCGACAATCTTCTTAGGGTCTCCCCATTGAGGAAATGGGCCGATCTTGGAGGCGGGTTCCGTGTTCGTGAAGTCGGGCCTTGATGTATGAGCTCGTCATTACTGTTGAGGAAATGCCATCACCTACCTGTGTTCCAAATTGAGCTGCTTGCTGGCAACGGCGAGTGCGTAGTAAATGGAGTAAGAACCCCCGCTGAGCCACGTGTCAGTCGGACGAAGCAATCCAGTCGGGCGCCGGCCAAGGCGGGCGAATCTATGGTATTTCACTCACTGGGCTGGATCCAGGCTGTCAGCTCCGACAACATGCGAAGACGAAGGGGAGCAAGGGTTACTAACCTCCAATGGCTGCAGACAAGAATGATTGTCAGCTGGGAGGGCATAAACGCATAGCTTTTGGGCGATATATGTACGAACCGTTGCGTCTTCCAATGGTAGACGAAGATCGGGAGACAACAACTGGCCCTCGGCGATGAGGTTCCGATTCTCCCCAATTCAGGGGAAGAGGTTTGATGCCAATCTGCTTTGGGTACGTGCTAGGAGGCCGAGTCAATAGTGCAATTGGCCACGATCATATCGTCGACGACCAGGGGCCAGTGAGAGACGTACGTGAGGATGATGCGGGACGTTAGACCAGATCGCTGGCTCGGAGAGGAGGGAACGGCCGGAGCCTGCAGAGTCAAGTCGGAGGACTGCTGGTCCGAGCCGCCTGCGGCAGCAGGAAGATTGGGCGTGCCGGGTGGATCGGAGGAGACACCGAGAGACGGACTCGGATCAAGGGCGGCGGCAACATTTGCATCACCGGACAGCTGGTGATACCGCTGGGTCAATGAGTCGACGGCAGCTACAAGATCGGTCTGGGTTTGCTGGATGGAGCGCAGGGAGGTCAAGACCTGGGCCAGGGCCTCATCGCCGGGGTTTCCGTTGCTCATCACGACCCGATTTCAGATGAAAGTCTACAGCACGAGGTAGAGTACTGATGGTGACGAAGTTTCACGGGGGAACGAGCGGAAGCTAGAGGTAGGTAAGGTGAGGTAAGGTAGGGAAGGGGATGTGGTAAAAGAGGGGGATGAAAGGGAGAAAATGGATGAGGAGGACAGTCAAGTGAGACAAGATGAAGTTTATGACCGGGCGCAAGTCAGGACGAGTTGTACTTGTACTTTGGACGGAAGCCAGGAGTTGGGAGCTAGGACGGGATCTACCTAAGGAGGCTTTTGAGAGGGACAGCACACACACTCACAAGACAAGTCGGTGACCACCGATGGCTGGTCCACACGGTCTCCCAGGATGGCAGCGGAAGGGATGAAGAAAAGGGGATGGCTATGTAGTAAACAGCTATTAGCAGCGCGGAACCTGAGTTGATATGCAACAAGGTCGTTTAGATTACGCACCCGATCTCGAACGACTGGATTGGAACTCAGCTATTAGCTGCCCGAGCGAGGCCTGGTGACCTTTCACTGTCGGAAGCCGCCGTGAGCACCGGCCTCGACAACTAAGGTATCTCAGGTGAGGCACCTAGATAGACCTCCCCGCCCCCGTTGCTGCCCCGCCGTGGGAGCTTGCACATGCACATGCACATGCACAAGGACGCCCTGGGGGTCTGGAAGGAGGAGGGGCTGTTTTGCTGGTGAGGGCACTACGGTATTGAGGTAAAATACAGAGGACAAGGTACCTACCTACATTACATACCTTACTTACCTGAGGTATGGTAGGTCGGGTACTTTGTAGACTCAGCATAATGGAAGGTACTACCTTCCTTACCTACTTACCTATCTAACTTGATCACTACCTAGGTACCTTTTAGACTTGTGAACTGGAAGTGCCCATTAACAACAGCACCGACGTCAGTTGGATCTGACGGGAGGTGACGTGAGGCACCGATGCGGGGCTGCGAAGGGACGGAGAGATAAGATACTGGAACAGATCTAAAAGAAGATACCACCTACCTAGGTAAGGTCTGGTGTGGTGCCTTGAGTAACTGGTACGCGGCGGGAAGCGACGCGCCCTGGAAAGATAAGGGATTAAGATCTCCCCACCGGCATAAGGCGGGCTATCCGTACAAACCTGGCCATCTTGGCACCTAATATTACCGCCTCTACCCCCCGACGTTACATAGGTACCTTATGGGATGGGGTGCCTTTTGGCCCCTGTCTCTTCCCCACACTTTCACACCTTAAGGTACTACCTTACCTAGGTAGGAGCCCGAGGAGGTAAGGTAAGATATCTGCCTTCTGTAATGCGCTTTCGTCATTCAGACTAAGGACAGAACTTCTTGAGTATGAGCCGCAAAGATGCGGCGACGATAGAGAGGCAGACAGACAAGTAGCTACATTAATCAACCTTTGATAGAGGCCCGGTATTTTTTTTTCTCGCAGTAAACAACTAAGGTATGCTTTAGATGAGGTGCACGTCCGTCCTAGAGTGAGGTGCTGTTTGACACCGGCTTCAACTATTGGTCGCGGGGCTGGACCGCGATTAAGTGATCGCAGCCCCGACTAGTATAATTACGGCGTACGCAATTCTTCACTGTATCTAACTCACACAATCCTTTGTCTCACTACAAGTTTGTGAAGAGAATTTAAGTACGTTGAAGTACGTTGGCTATGAACTTCATGTTGGTTGCATAAGATGCTACGCGATCCCCTTCGTATCTTTAGGTTAGGTAGGTAGGTATCTTACAGAGTGTATTGCTCCCAACACCACGCTGCACCTGTACATAAAGTACCCGAGTGCCTTAGGTACCTAGGTAGTCCAAGAGCCCCGCTTTCCTGATAAGCCGCCATGATTTTCTGATGAGTTGATAAGAGCTTTTCGCTGCGCCTACCTACCTTACCTAGGTACCTAGGTACCGAGGTACCTTGCTAGGTAGGGCCTACGTCAAGGTATCTAAGGAGGAACCTGAGGTACCTAGTCACCACGACTGCCAGCGCCAGCCTGCCTTACTTACCGAGATGGGACATCGTTTCGCCCGCCTCGCGTTGCGCTGCGCACTCTTCCACATCCTGGCATCGTCTTAGTCGCAACATTTCGCCGTCGCAAATACAAAATTCCATTCGACTTCTCTCGCTCGGTCTCTGTCGCGCACCACGACGGCCTCCCTCCACCGAACCAGGCCGTTTGCTGTAACCCACGCGCCGGTCGCGCCCGTCTTTGACCACCTGCATCATCGCTGACGCAGAACATCCCATCCCACACGGCACCATGGGCAAACGCAAGAGCTCATCCAAGCCCCAGGGCCCCAAGAAGGTTCGTCGTCACGGTCACCAACTTTCTATCGCAATCTGTTTCGCTCATCGCAACCTGCCGCACAGAAAGACCCCCTCCCGACCAAGTTCACGTGCCTCTTCTGCAATCACGAAGACTCCGTAGTTGTAAAACTAGATAAGAAAGCCGGTGTCGGTTCGTTGGATTGCAGAGTGTGTGGCCAGATGTTCCAGTGCAGCATCAACTGTGAGTAATCTCGTTCTCTTTATTCTTGCTCGCTAGTGCTAATCAGTCCCAGACCTTTCGGCCGCTGTCGATGTGTACGGAGAATGGGTGGACGCTGCTGGTGAGTTTGTTCGCCGCAACACGCACGCCCCGTTCGTGCCGGTAGAACCCATTTCTGACATAGCATGCCTAGATGCTGTTGCCAAAGACGCACCCGCTGGTGGAAGCAAGACCGCTCGACGCCCACCTCCAAGCCGACCGGTGAATGACGAAGACGACGATAGAAGATACGGAGGCGAGGGCATTGACGATGATGATTACTAGACGACGTAGTCGTCTTGCGGAACCCACGTTGATGGTCGTTTCCAGAATATCAGTCTTCGGTTCTGGTTTCCCCGCGTACGGTACTGCGCAAGGGCAATAGAATCGGTATACTCCAGAGGTTGAACCCTCTGGCATGGCATTAGACAGTGTAGAAACGGTCGCCAAAGTCGCCGAGGCCGGGAATGATGTAGCTGCGAAGGCTTGTTAGCAATAAGACAGAGTGCACCGCAGTACGCATACTGACTTCTTTTCGTCCAAACCCTGCAGTGCTTGTGATTAGTATCATCATCCAACGAGGCCGGGAGAGACGGCACTGACCTGATCAACAAATGCGGTGACGACTCTGAGCTTTGGGAATTTAGAGGTAAAGTTCTTGATGCCCTCGGGGCTGGCAATCAGATTGAGGAACAGAATACGATCTTCCGGAACGCCCCTGGCCTTGAGAACCTGCACAGCCATGATGGCCGAACCACCTGAAGAGAGGCACATAAGATTAGCACATTACCGTAAGCCAAAGCCACGAAGCCCGTAAGCGAACAGCCGCCTTACTACCCAAAAAGACAGGGGGGACAAGAGAGGGGATTCCGAGCCCGGGGACCGAGGGGTTGGCAACAGCCCATCATACCTGTGGCAAACATAGGATCTAGAAGTAGAACCCAGCGCTGGGCAATGTCTTCGGGCAGCTTATCGTAGAACAGCTTAGGCTGGGCCGTCTCCTCGTCTCGCTGGATCAAAATCTTGCCGATTCTCACAGACCGGCAGCAATCTCGCAAGCCTTGCTCCATGGCCTCGCCAGCACGCATGATGGATACTCCGCAGATCTTGCCCTGGAACATGAGGCCCGAGTAAGTACGTCCAACGGGCGTGGTCACATCATGCTCAACGGTAGGCAGGTGATTCAGACCCTCCTCGACCAAAAGCCGGATGATGCGGTTAGAGTAGAAGATAAAATCGCCACGTTCAGTGTTCTTGTCCCGGATGATGCTGGGGCTATGTTAGCAGCGCACGTGGGATCGAGGATCTAGATTCACTATCTCCCCAGACAACCGAGACATGTGAGAGCATGTCAGGGAGAGCCATTGCAAAGAGGGACAAGGTACTCACGTCAGGAGGGCAATGAGTTGGGGAGTCTGAGAGAGGATGGTAACGTTATCCAAATTCATCTCGGTCGAGACGGTTGCCGAAGGCTTTTGGCTCTCTGAGCGGTACAACGGTCCAACACACTGGGTAGGGCCACTGGCGCCAGCAGCGGGCTTTGAATCTTGGCTCGCCATGTTTGGTAGTGTCTGATGGTGGCTTGATCTAGATATTCCTGAACGAGACGAGACAGAATAAGTCCAGGCGTAGTGGGCGACAACGACAGTCGGTGTGTGAGGGGTTGCAAGGGCTAAGACTGAGTGAGAGCTTGACCGAACACAATATCGCTCGACTTTTCAAGGTAGAAGAGACCAGGTGGTGTTGTGTCTGAGAGAAAGAGTTAGAATAAAGCACTGGAATGCAAACTTGCGATTGCCCCGATACAGGATGCGCGATAGGCTCCAAAAGGTCAAAATAAGGACGGGAGTGTTATGAGACGCAATGGAGCTCGCCGTCTGCCGTCCCAATGCTTTTGCTTGGGCGTACTTAGGGTACAGTTAGAGAGGTATGCTGGCACCGGGGAACCTAGGCAAGTTCACTCTCAAGCCGCAGGTCTTTTAGGTAAGAGACGCCAGATAAGGGTCTCTGTGGAGTATGAGAGGGGTTTTCCCAGGTTGTTGCACTACACTACCTACCTACCTATCTTATCCAATCAATAAAAGTACACTGTAGGTACCTACCTACCTTAGGTACCGACGGATCAATAGCCCCAATTTTGACTAGATGTTCCATAATATCCAAAGGTGGTGAGGGTATCTGCATACATCACTTAATATCGGTGATGTGATTATAAATCCGGGGTATGCAGATATCGAGAAGCGCAGCAAGCAACGCACCAGGAGGTACGTGCCCCATTCCGTAAGACGACAGCAATGCGCATGGAACCTGCCTTCAATTCAAGGAGAAACGGGACAAGCCAATGAATGGAACAGGCAAGAGCAGGAGACCCCAGACTCATCTACATCAACTTCAAAACACCTTCCATCAACGACCTTCTATGTCCCTCGCAACCTTGCTCCATAACCCAAGATACTGATTGCCATTTGTCGCACTGCGAAACATCAGCTTCCCAGATCTCCATCCATCCAGCCTCCCGTCTCACTTGACTGTGTCTCCATCCTCCGCTAAGGACCTCGTCGCATGCGCTACGCATTTGTAGGATTAGCCGCCTATATTCACGGTCACCACAAAGTCACGTCGAAGCCACGGTCGCAATCTGGCTCGTCCTTGCACCCCATTCTTACCTGACGAACAGTCAACAACAACAACAACAACAACACCAACAATTACCACCCCACACAGGTTCGAACAAGAGCTCCCGTCCTATACCTGCCCAGCCATCCTACTGCCGTCCGCCGGCATCCCATGTATGGAGCGCATTGCTCGCTTCTCGCTACTACGCGACAACCGACGTTCCCCATCACATTGCAGTATCGTTTAAGGTAAAGCTGCTGCAGAAAACATACAAAAATGGCTACCAGAGAGGGGCCTAGCGTTCCTCGCAAGAAGACGACGACCTATGGCAAAACATCCCGCAAACGACCGATCCACGCATTTCTCGAGCTGACAAACGGATCATCGAGTACGTCGCGACCCTCTCATGATGAGGGGCAGAGGAGCCCGGCGCAGCACTCCGTCGCAGATACAGATCGAGATCCCTACGATCTACCCGATGACCACCCTGAATACCCGCCGATTCCTCGACGAGTTGGACCGCAACGGGATGCACCGTCGACCGCGCAATCTGGTGCCGCAGGAAGCTTCAAGAAGAGAAAATTACCGGGAGCCGTTGCAGCCAAGGTTGAGCGCAAGGCGGACACAAAGTCTTCTGCCAGCACTTCGCAAGCGACAGTAGCCTCCACCTTCCGCGCAGCCAAACCGCCCTTGATGCCGACTACTTCAACTACGCGCGTGGCAAAGCCCGAAACAAAGCCTACGCCCAAGTCTTCTGCGCCGAGAACAGCCTCCATGCTCAAACCTCCCGCCTCCAAGACGACGTCTGCGCCAAAGCCCGCGGTCGAGAGACCTGGGAGTTCTAAACAGATCCAGGCTTATTCTTCCAAGTCACATGCCTTGATGGAAGTTCAGCTTCGGCAGAAGAACGATGATAGCTTGCAAATACGACAGAAAACACCGATGTGCTCGCTCAAGCCAGAGCCGAGAATTGGGCAATCATCCACGACTGATATCGAATTATCTCCCACGAAACCGAAGAGACCACCCGAACCGAGACGTGTGCGCTTGATTGACCAGCTCGCGGCACAAAACGAGGACAGCTCTGAATACGAGTCGGATACTTCAGAAGAATCGTTTGAAGATACGGATCAGATCGGCGAAGATGATGTTTCTCTCTCTACTCCGGCTATGCCAACAGACGCCGTGACACCAAAACCGTCAGCGCGACCAAAGCAGCTTCTGAGCCTGAGAAAGTTTAAATCAACGTATGGCGAGCAGCGGACGTTGAAAGCAGACGACCAAAGCGGAGACGGTCTTGGCAGTCAGATGAGCATGGGCATCGACAGCCAGTACGACCTTTCGCCGCCGCCAATGTCTAAACTATCCTCTTTTGCGTTCGAAGAGGAGGAGATAGATGGGGAATCATCATCAAAGGGGGGAGGCATCATTGACATCCATGCGCTCAGACAGGCTGGTGCAAACCATCGTTTTGCGGACAGCATGGCAGATTTACTCGACAGGGTTGGCACCCCCCAACCGCCGAAAACACAATCATCACGCTCGAGACGCACGGCATTGTTGGAACTTGCAAGCAAACTCCGGGACAAGACTTTTGTCCGTCAATTTCGGGACCAAGGTGCCAAGGACGCCTTGTTCCGGGCTATTGGAGCGGAAGAGGACCTTGTCAGCGGCTTCATCCTCACATCCGTTCTCCTGGTGCTATTCACGTCTTATTCAGTGCCTCATCTCGTGCCGCAGCTCCAAACCGAAGGAATTGCGCAGCTGGCCTCCAGGATGTTTGACGAAGACGAGGACCTAGCGAACATCGCTTGCCAGCGCAAGTCGAACCTGTCCAAAAACGCACAGGCATCTCTGGGTGTCTTAAAATCGACCTTGCAAAAACTGGATGTATGGAAGGGTTCGCCACCAGCAAAGTTGTCGCCGCGAATTTTGGCCCTCAAAGTACTCTATGTGCTGTGCAAGGACAGTGACGGGCCGGCTACTTGGGACATACTAGCGGGCTTGACCGATCACCTGTTTGGCTTCGTCAAGAAAGGCTGGGAAACAAGCCGCGAACAGGGCATGGGTGCAACAGAGGGCGGAATTGCTCTGTCCCTTCTTGAAGGTTACTCTATTGCAGCCATGCAATCAGAAGCTGGTCCCCGGTGGACAAAACGATATTTGCCTATTCTTGCAGATGTTCTCACGGCGGCCATGGCGCGACCCATGGATCAGTTCGGCGACTTTGAGGCTACGACATTGAAGTTGGCCCTGAACACGACAAACAATAACCCGTCCGCTGCTGGTGCCTTTAGCAGAGGCGAACTATTTCGGGAACTCGCCGCAACTAGTTTTACGGCGTTCGAGTTGCTAGAGAAATCTGTCCGCAAAGGAGCATTCTCTAACGAAATTTACGAGATGCTCATGCTGATGCTGGGTGTGATGATAAACACCTCGGAACACTGTCCTTCGACGCGCAAATCTGTAGATTCTTGGCAACAGGATGATGCATCACCGTTGGATAAACTGATTGGAGTTTACCTCGACAATCGAGAGTCAGCCGTCATGGTAAGTGATCTGTCTTGAGTGTATGATTTGAAGTGAGGCTGATTTCATTGAACGACAGGCCGACTCAGTCGAGAAGACATCTGTTGCTGTGGCCCATGGATACCTAGCGATCCTACTAGGCTATCTGTGCCTCGGTTCTCAGGCTCGGCGGCGGCTGGAAGAAAAGAGCCAAGGGAGGGGAATCAAGTACCTCCTTGACTCCATCCAGGAATTTATGACGTTGCACGCGAAGGTGGACACAGACGAGTTGACGACAAGCCTGCAAAATCTTGTCAATGAGTTGAGGCAAAAATACAGACAGTCGACTTGATAACGGCTAAAGTAGGATTATACATGATTGCCACGAGGAAATGCGATACGACGGCAGGATGGGTTTTGAAAGGATGCAATTGCCCACGAGACGGCGGCATAAGTACTCTATTTATCTTTGGGTGCCATCAGCGCGCCTTGGTTTTTGAAGGGTAGTAAACCTAAAGTGAGCCAGCGTTCTGTCACAGTGATTGACCAACACGCTTCCAACATGGGTCAGAATGTATGGTCGGTTCAAGAGAAGCAGCAGATGGGGAGAGGTCGCTTTAGAGAAGGCGGTCACGAGAATGGGCCTCCAGTAGAAGCATTTCCATTCTTGTCGTGGGGCACGACATAACGGCACAAGAGGTGGGCTCCGAAGATACCAGCGAACCAAGGGTTGGGTAGATAGAGGCAGTGCAGGCTTGAGACGCGCGGGATCACTTGGTAGATAACCACAAGGGACTGGACGCATATAGACGAGACATATCAGCAAAATTGCGGTGGTTTGAATGAACCCAGGCTTTGAGTTAAGGTATCGCAGGCAGTGGACACTGACTACCTACCTTACCTTACACCACGGGACCCCGCGGGCCCCACCATCCGCAAATCCGGCTGCGACAGTGCGCCGATAGGTAGCCACCCAGGTATCCGTACCTCGAGTGAGGTAGGTAGGCAGGCAGGCAACCCAGTTTCATTCCCGCGCATTAATCGACCATCTGCGAGGATACAAAGTCTCGGCTCCTTTTCGACCTTCCCGCCTGTTTGACTTGCTTTGCCTGCACGTTCCCGTTCGCCTGCTGCTATCCCGGAATAACTCATTGTAATCGTGGCCGTACCTGGTCCAGTTCCAGTTCGGGTGACTAGTTTCCCCCCACCCCTCGCCTTGAAAGAGCAACTCGGCCCTCCGTCATACCCTTAAGGAACTTGCCGCACCCGTCAAACTTCCTTCCTCCAAAGGGGCAAAGACACCACAGCTCCTCCAAACACCCACCAAGTACACACACCAAACGATACCTGCTCTTCCTTGTGACCGCCTAAATGCCGGCGCCGAAGAACAGGAAGGTGGCCATTGTTGGCAGTCGCTCCGTCGGTATGTCGAGCCCCTCGCCCTCTCTCTGCATCGGCCTGGCCCAGCATGTCATGTCGCCCTTGTTTGCGTGTCGAGAAAAACCAATCGGGTCGATGACGTATGTGCCTTGCTGACTCTTTTGCTACCACACAGGCAAATCGTCGCTTGCCGTCCAGTTCGTGGACGGCCACTTCGTCGACAGCTACTACCCGACCATCGAGAATACATTTAGTAAGACTATCCGTTACAAGGGACAGGAGTTTGCGACCGAGATCGTCGACACCGCCGGCCAAGTATGTCACATGCTTCCCATCCCGATCAACGAGCCTCGCGCATGGTCATCGCGATGGCAAACAATCACTGACGCTACCTTTCCAATCCCACAGGATGAGTACAGTATCCTGAACTCGAAGCACTTCATTGGCATCCACGGTTACATGCTTGTATACTCGGTATCGTCACTGCCATCTTTTGAGATGGTCCAGGTCATTCGCGAGAAGATTCTAAATCACCTCGTACGTCCACAGCCTTCGTTTTCCCCTTGACCAAATAGACACAGCTAACTCAGTGTTCGCGTGCAGGGCACCGAGTCGGTACCCATTGTCATCGTCGGCAACAAGAGCGATCTGCGCCCCGAGCAACGACAGGTCAGCGCCGAGGAAGGAAAGAAGCTTTCCGAAAGGATTCAGTGCGGGTGGACCGAGGCCAGCGCGCGATATAACGAGAACGTCTCTAAGGCTTTCGAAATACTAATTGCCCAGATTGAGAAGGCGCAAAATCCAAATGAGGCAGCAGAAGGTGGCAAATGCGCCCTCATGTAGTATCCCATAGACCCAATCTCTCTGGGTCAATCCCACCGCTGGTTCTGTTTTGGTTCATTGAGTTTGCCTGCATGATACCTTAACCTCCCTCAGTTTCTCGGTGGGAAGCATCGACTTGGGTGGTTCATGCCGAGATGAGCTCGGCCTCATCGCAATGTTTGCACCGCTCTACAAATGCTCTATCCCCTGCGATATACTCCCAATTTTCCATAGTAGCCTGTGTTTTAATTACACCTATACGTTGATGGCTTACGTTTCATTTGATGGCTGGAACATGCCGGGGTTTCGAGATAAGATAAGGAAGGCAATAAATGGTTGCATTAAAAACAAGAAGTTGCCTTACCTTCAGCTATGGCTTGCATGGCCGTTATCCCTGATTCAACCTATCCAACTCACGCCTTGGACACCTACCTCCGCCGGGCCACTACTGAACCCATGCTTAAGGGACTCTGTACCCAACTGTGGCCCCCTGCTGCTTACCGACAGGGCGCCTGAACTAAGGTAGGTGACTACTGACTTTTTAGGCACCTCGCCTTACCTTTTTTTATGCGCTTCACCTGACCGACCGTCAGCCCCTCACGCCTTTCCTAGCAACCCTATACCCGTGGGCGCTAAGGGAAAATTCAGCCCACTACACATAGTAGGGGAAAAAAAGGGCTACTAGTCTAAAAAGGGGTTACTACGCTAAAATACTAAAACCCACCCTTTTTAGTACTACTTATATATATTAAAAATATTACTATATTAAATTATTAATAATAAATAGTTATATTATAATAAAAGTTATATAAATTAATAGCTTTAATTTAGGGCTATTAATTTATATATAGATTATATTATCTAAATAAAAACTTAATACTTAAATATAGTACCTAAGTATTTAAAGTTTAATTATAATAGTATTATTACTTTATAAATAATACCTCTATTAGGGGTATTATATTAATAGGGGTATAAATAGATTACCCCCCTATTAACTATTAAACTATTAATAAGATATATTATTAATTATATTATAATATATAGACTTTAGCTAGTATAGAGGGGTTAATATAAAGGGGCTAGCTAATAGTAGTAACTTTAGCTTTTTAACTTTATTAGTATTAATATTAAGAAGTATATTAAAGTTATTAAAGTCTTTAGTAGTATTTTTAGCCTCTTTAGTATTATTAATAGGGTTATTAATATTATTAAATCTATTTAGATCTATAGCGTTATTAATTAGAGCTATATTAATTAACTCTAATAGCTAATATATATTAACCTCCTTAAATAGCCTCTATACTATATATACCTCTTATAATATATTATTAATAAATAGTTATTTATTAAGATTTATACTATTTAAGGGCTAAATAGTATTAATTATATAGACCTCTCTTAAGGTATTATATTAATAAGGGTTTTTAATACTAAATAATATATCATTATTAAATTTATTAATATAGTATAGCTATTAAATAAAATTTAAAGTCTTTATCTTATTATTTATTAACTACCTCTTTATAATATAATATTTAGCTTTTACTTTATTATTTTATTACTTTATTTCTTTTTTTAGCTATATCTATTACTATTTCTATTCTATCTCTATAGCTTAAGTAAAGTACTCTACTATAGTATTTTAAATATTTAATATAGTAATAAATATAATAAATAAATAAGTTAGCTTTACTAAGCGCTAAGCTATAGCTTTCTTCTAGAGGAATTAAAGCTATTACTTTTAGTCTTTTATATAAGCTTAAGCTTATATATAAAGTATTCAGCCCTCTTTAACTATACTCTTAATAAATATAATATTCTTATATATTAATAAGCTAAATAGGGACTTATATTTATTATTAATATAGTTAATACTTTAGATAAATACTTTTTATTATTCTTTATTAAGTAGGAGGTAAATAAGCTAAGAGAGTATTATCTATTAAGCTATTTAGATCTTTTTAATAAGGTAATATAATATAATATTAAATTATATAAGCTATATATTAAATTTCTTAAATCTTATTATAATATTAATATATATAAATACTATATTATATATATCTCTAAGCCTTTTAATAAAGTCTCCTCTTATAAAGTTAAAAGCCCCCCTATAAAGTTAATTATATAATATCTATTAATATTTATATTTAAATAGCTAAAAGACTTTTATATTTATAAGCTATAATAGATATATAGTATAGAGGGGGAAAAAGCTATTTATAATATTATATTAAATATAGTATTTTATTAATTAGATATTAATATAGCTAGAGAATCTATTTAATAGAAGTAATTAATATAGTTAGTTTAATAGCTTCCCCTAGAGGGCTTTAAGATTATTACTCTCTTTAGCTTATTATTATAGAGTAATAAAGTATATTTAACTTTAATTAGATTAATACCTATATATATTAATATTAAAATAATCCTCTATTTAAATATTAAGCTAGCTAAATCTTATTAACTTTAAATATAAATATATATTATAATACTTAATAAAGTTTATTATAATATCTTAATTTAAAAAGGTAATAAGTAATTAAGTAAATTAAATACCCTCCTTAATATTAAATTTAATTTAAGTTATAATAAGCTAAGTCTTAAATATAATATATATTAATATAATATTATTAGCTTTATTACTATAGGTAATAATTATATAAAACTCTTAATTTATTAGGTCTATAACCTCTAAAGGCTCTAACTTTTTTTAGAGGTTTTAAGTTATAATAACTTAAACCTAATTAGAGAGATAGCTAATATAATAACTAAACTTATTAATATTCTATACTTTAGAGCTATTATTAATATTATATTTAGTAATAATATTACTATATTAATAAAAAAACTCTTTTATTATAGCTAAGTTATATTTAGCTCCCTTTTAATAAACCTTAATAGACTTAATTATAGAGGTCTTCTATAGCTCTAAGTAATTAATAAGCTATTAGCTAATAAAATATTAATTAATTAATAGCTAGCTTTAAGTAAACTAAAAGAAGTTTATTATCTCTTTAGTAACTAGAGGTATAATTAGGAAGCTTACTTCTAAAAGCTAAATTATAAATTCTATAAAAGCTCTATCTTCTATTAGAGTTAAAGCTCATAGCTAGCTAAATAGCTAAAGGAGACTCTATTTAGCCTCTAGCTACTTTAAATACTTTATTATAAATATATAGGATATTTTATACTAAATAGTAATAAACTAAATAGACTCCTTTAGTACTAACTACTTATAATATTAGCTTAAGCTAATAGTAATATATTATTAATATATATAGAGGGTAATAATAGCCTATTAAGCTAATAATAATTAAAGCTTATATTAATAAAGTATTATATTCTCTACCTAGTAAATAGGGGACCCTTTACCCTTTAGGTAGAGAAGTATAAATATACTACTTTTAGTTTAAAACTTATTTATACTATAGGGATTTTCTATTTAATAACTAATAACTTAGTTCTAAATATATATAACTATAAAATAGTTTAATAACCTTTATAACTAATTAATACCTTTAATAACCTCTCTTTAGTCTATAACCTTTATTTTACCTCTAATATAACGTTCTTCTTTATATACTTAATATAATTAATATATATAATTAGATTACTTTTAATATATATTAATATAATTATATCTAATATATATTTATATTATAATATATAGTAGGGGTCTTATAGCTTTTAAATTATATTACTTTTTTTTTATAGCTTTTACTCTATTTTAATTTTATTTTATATTACTTTATATTTTATAATTAGGTTTATATTTATCTTAAAGGTATCTTTCTCTTATATCTCCTTCTATAAAATAGTTAATATTATAATATTAATAGAGAGAAAGATATCTTTATCTTTATATAAAGTATAGTTAATATAGAAAGGGAATAATCCCTTAATATTATATTATAAAATATATATTATTTATTAACTTAAATTATTAAAGATAATAAATTAAATATTAAACTTATTTTATTATTATTAGTTTTTATATAAATAATAGGGGGCTATAGAGAAGTCCCTAAAGAAGTCTATAATATTTAGGTATTTATTAAAGTTATTTTATAATATAATATTATTTTTATTTAAAGTTAGATACTTAAGGGGGATTTAAGCTATTTAGTAAGGTAGTTTATAAAAGATATTTAGAGGAGTTTCTTTTTATTAAAAAAGTCTTTATAAGTATTTATATAGATAGGAAGTTATAAGAGATAATAATTAGACTTTTCTATACTTTTTTATATTTATAACTATATTAAGCTTTTCTATAAGCCCTAGAGGTAGTAATAAATTAAAGCTATTACTATTTAAGTTATAGCTAGGGATATGTCTATTATAAGTAGGAATACTATATATTTATACTATATATTTATATTATATATTTATATTATACTATAAAAAGTTAAGTTATAAATAATATTAAATAAATAGGGGCTAAATAGGAGCCTAATAGTATAATAAGTATATTAAGTTATATAGTTAAGGCTTTTTTATTAGGTATATATAGTATAAGGTATTATACTATTTTATAGGTTATTTATACTAAGTATTTACTTATTAAGTTAATTTATATAACTAAGGCTATATCTAGCTTTAGCTTAAGCGTATAAACCTTAATTATATAAATAATAAAGTATTATAGATAAATAGATATAAATATTATAATAAAAAAAGAGCTCTTTTAGGTCTTATTATAGTCTTAATATAGCTAGATTTAGGTATAAAATAGTAAAAATTTAGACTTAGGTATAACTTATATAGTAACCCCTTTTTAGACTAGTAACCCTTTTTTTCCCCTACTATATATAGTAGGCTGAATTTTCCCTTAGCGCCTATGGGTATCTGCGGGATCTCCTGTTGCAGCGCGTAACATGTCACTGCCCGGTATCACACTCTTCCATTAACATCGTCACTCATCTCCTTCCTTTAGTCCAGCCTCGCAGCCTCACCTCATCAACCTGCGTGGTCACGACGGGAGGTGGCCCAGACGCCACGCCTCAGCCACCTGGTTTTCTTCGTGTCTATAAGCTGCTTGCTCAGGTTGCTTTCTCCATCTCATAAGCATTATGCGGTATCGCTTCATGACAAACAATCGATGATTGAGAACCTCTTCCCGTTGTCGGCTAAAGCAAACCCCCAATTCTTTCTCTCTCTGTTGAATCACTTGCATTCTTCCCCCCCCTTGGACAACTTCTCAACAACCACCTTTTTACCCCTTCTTATTTGGGTTTTTCGTTCTCGCTAGCAAAGCCGAGGATTTCATGCCATGGACAAAAACATGACATGCCCATTCTGCGGCACGGCTGGTGGCAGTGAGTATGACATGATGCTGGTGAGTCGATTCCCTCGAGAAAGCTACGCCAAACTACTCACTAGCGACACCCTCACAGCACATGGAGACTTCGCATCCTGAAGACCAAGCTTCGGGTTCTCAAGTACACCAGGAACAGTACACAGAGTGTCCTATGGAAGGTTGCGGCGAGGTGCTCTCCTTGACCGAAATCGATTTTCACATTGAACTGCACGTTGAGGAACAGCGGCAGAGTGCAACTGACTCGACCAGCCGCCATTCAGGCAATGGTACACCGAGGGCCGAATCCAGCCGCCACGCTGTTAGTGATCCCGTGGAGGATAGGCAGAGAAGTTCCATCCAGCAATGGGGACAAATTTTGTCGATGCCGGCGTCCAACAAGCGGGGGATCGAAGGAGAGAAACGTCTGGGAGTGAGTGTCGAGATACTATACACTTTCGCATGTCATGTCACGTTCTAATCCGGAATAGAAGGCAGAACTGGGAAAGTATGCACACGAGCATTCAATGCCCGACTGGCTCATTGCTCTTCTTCATAAAGGCGGCGAGGTCACAAGCGATGGTTCGTACAGCTAGTTATCCGTGATATTGACAGTCTCTGACCTTCTCAGGGGTAATCTCAGTACTCGAACAACTTCTCCGCCAGAGCAAGTCGACGGAGTATGCATATCTCTGCCACCCTGCCGTTCAGCATGTATCGAAGCTCAAGAGAGAGGGTAACGGAAAACTGCTGAGACGACGCCGATCAGGAGCTCACTCGAGAACAGGTGGTTTTTGCGGCTACCGTAACATCCAAATGATGGTTTCGTACATCAACGGCGCCAGTGGTCACGGCAAAGACCAGTTTCAGGGACGCCTGCCAACTATATTCGAAATTCAGGAGTACATCGAGAAGGCCTGGGACATGGGCATCAACGCCCAAGGCCGTCTCGAGACTGGCGGGATCAAGGGGACTCGCAAGTACATCGGCACTCCAGAGGTATGCCACTGATTTGATCAGATATCTGCACGATAACTAAGATCGTCCCACAGGCTCAAGCACTCTTCGTCAGTCTTCAGATCCCGTAGGTTTGCCTATCCTCTCGCCTGTTCACAACACACTACTGACACCAGGGGAGATGTACCGCTCAAGGTTTCAAGGACCCGGAACCTGGGAGATCAGAGGCGAAACTCGTGTACACCGTCGAGCAGTATTTCAGGCAAGGGTTGCACGGGCAGCCCGCCAAGGTGACATGCACACAGCTTCCGCCTATCTACTTCCAGCATGCCGGTACAGCTCCCCATGCGATACATTTTCTTTTCACGTTTTTGTCCTTTTCTAAATCACTACAGGCCACTCCTTGACGATTGTTGGCTTCGAGAAACAAAAGAATGGCCCGGCTAACCTGCTCGTCTTTGACCCCATGTTCCGCGATCCTCCGGCACTTGCACGGCTCATAGGACAGACATTCAAGCACAGGTCCGCCGATGAATCCCTAAAGCCCTACCGCCGCGGTTCCAAATATCTGCGCCGGTTTCGTGAGTTCGAGATCCTGAGGTATGCAGGCAGTGGCACGACTTGTTGTTGCGAAGCTATTCAGCAAGCTAACAGTATGGACGTTGCGTCACAGGCTCGATGGATCGCCATCCGATCCTGCACAGGGTAGTAGATGAGTCCCAGTAGTTGTCGATATCCCCTTTGCGAGTCGGCCGTCGCCCCATAACAGACTTATTGCTGTCAAGGTTGCCTAGTTTGCCTGCTTGCCAAACCAGTCCTGGAGCTTTTTGAGGGCGAGGCCTCGATGGGAGATCTTGTTCTTCGCGGCCTTGTCCATCTCAGCATAGCTGTTGTTCGTCAGCAGGGTACCCACACATACAATACAATGAACTACTCACGTCTGGCCGTCGTACTCGAAAATGGCGTCCCAGCCTAGATCTATCAGCGTTCAAGTTGCACCTCTATCTGCCAGTATGACATACCGAAGTCAGACGGGCCCCTGGGCGGCACGATCTTGCCCTACATCCGATGTTAGTCCCCCGGCCTGAGCGTAGAATTGGGGGCGTTCCGGTGTGACGTACCCTTGTACGACCTTGAAAGAGGACGGGCTCATGACCAGGACCGGGCGAGTAGGCAAAGGTGCAGACAGCGTCGGCAGACTTGTCCTCATAAGCGGCCAAGAGATTGTTCAGACCCTGGTGTCCGATGGACTGCATGAACCACTTGCTTGTGGGCAGTCAGCTATCGAGTTGGAGATGAAGGATCAACGGCAGGTGGCATATTATCTTCACCTACATATAAGGGCCAGGGAGGTCATTAAGAGCCTTGAAACACAGGCAGGTGTCCTCAACGAGGACGGGACCACGGATCTGAGTGTATGGCATTGATCAGCAATCATGAAGCAAACGCATGGCCTTTCGTGCTTATCTTACCGTGTCTGCAGCCTTGCGACACTTGGCCATAGTGACCTCCTCGACATTTCCTTGAACTTCCTCCAGATCCACTGGCTGGCTCTCGACGGTGATCGCTGGCTCGAGGATAGCCTTGACCTCACGCAACTTATTGGCGTTGCCAGTGATGAAGTTGACGACTGGTGGCGTAGCCATTTTTTGCTGCAAAACTTAGCCTTCGACCACAAACAACAACGATCATCACCATCATACTTTGAAATAGCACCAACTAACCTGGCGAGACGTAGGTCGATATATGAGTAGGTAGTTGCACTAGCGCTATGTTTGCTCAGTCAAAATTGGGTTCTATGCGACGATTTAATGGGCTTATTCTTCTTATCGGGGCAGTGCCCCGCCTCAATGCATACATTCATCCGCCAACAAACCCATTTTGAGGAGCCCAATTCCCCAATAATGCTAGGTTGTAGGTTCCCGGCGGAGAAGGGCCTCGACCTTCTCCGCGATACGTTTCGTGATGTCATGCAGTGTTCCATAGCCCCCGGCCTGGATATTCACTCGTGGCCATGGCAAGTCCGTATTCATGATGTCCAAGCCAACACATCATCCTGTGCTCAGCTGTCATGTACAACTGTGAAATAGAGCAACACGTAGGAAAACAAATTCTGTTTCTGTACTCTCATGAGGACTGATCCTTCTTCCACTGCTCCGCCCACGCTTCGACCCTCGCCACGTTGGCTTCCATCTCCTCAGAGGTGTTGCTGACAAGTTCGACGACAATCTCTTTGTCAAAGGCGTCCCGTGCTTCCTGTAGTAGAACCTCCATGATTTCCGAGTCGAGGTTCTCCTGAAGTTTGGCCTCGGGATATTTTCTGCGCAACCGCATCAGCTTCTATGCGACGACTTGGCCCCATTAATGTGTCCATAGCAATCGTTTCCGAATGGCACATGAATGGGGCACGATATTCCATCACGAATTATCCCTTACCTGGCTGACAAGCGATCGTACAAAGTGGTTGAGTCTACACGAAGGACGACCACAAGGTCGATCCAGCTCTTGGGGAATAGGTCGCAAGCATGCCAGTCAATGAGATAACCACCGTTCAGGACCTCAGACTCGATAGCATCAAGCAACTGTTCAGCACCGTGTTAGCTAGGGATTCAGAACCTAACCTCTCGCACACAGCAGGGAGCTGCAGACCTTGTCCTCATCAACGATCCAGCTCTGGAACTCCTCATCCCAGCCCTCATGGCATTCTCTGTCCTTCACGACCTGGTTTACCGAGAGGTGTTTCAAGCCCGTTTTCCTGGCGAGTTCCTCGCAGTGAGTCGTCTTGCCAACACCCGGGGTGCCGGTGACGATGATGTTAGGTGATGCTCTCATGTCGTAGAAAAGCTTTGGTGGTTGTGTGATGGTCAAGGATACCTAACAGGTGATATGTAAAACCCTTGTCTCCTTCCTAGTTGCCTCGAGCGTCGGACTATGGGGCCAACCATGTAATTGCATCCGTACCAACCTGGAAACGAGGCGACATGCGTATGCATCTAGGCATTACTTCTGTAGGGTTTTTGACTTGTCACGTCACGTGTCAAGCGGGCCCCATGCAGCAACACAGGGGAACGCCTCAGGTACCTAGGTAGGTCAGGACAAGCCTGCCATCGGTGAAGCAGTGTTTTGTGACAAACTCTTCTAAGTGAATACTTCGTAAAATGGATTGTTGGTATTGCCCTGAAAGTGATGCTTTGTTTGCTCCGCCATTGCCACTCGCGTTGACTCTAACCAAGACAAGGCAATATTGAAGATTGTGTTATTTTCTCATCTCACCCCTGTTCCATCCCTCCTCCGCACGTCATCTCTTCCAGATTTAGACATGAGTAGAATTCAATTTCAAACTGTCGAAACGTCTGTCCCGTCCCTGGCGGGTTTAGGATTTACGACTGTGTATGCGTGCAAGTTCGTCCCTCTTGGACTTGATCAATCGGCGATATCCTTAACGACACTCAACGCCCACAAATATTGCTTCTTCTACATTATCCATGCAAAAACCTGCCGTAATAAATCCCAGCTCTAGCTCATGACACGGAAGTACAGACATTTGGCCGCCCAGCTAAGGTCCCCCGACCATCTGACAGCCTCATTATGTCAGTGGTCTACGTGGACCAAAGGGTGGCGGGCGGCGCACCACCACGCTGCCCAGCTTGCTCGATTCACAGCCTGGACCCTGCATAGCAAAACAAACGAAGCTGCTGCCCGCACACGTTAGGCGTTTGCCTACGCAGCTACCTCCTCGCTTTCGTCAACTTCGGCAAGATCGCCATTGGGCTCGAAGCCATCCTCAGGATCGTACTCCAGCTTTTCCTGCTGAGCGATGGCCTGTGCTGAAACGATCTCGGCGAGGCGCTTTAGTCGCGGTGTTTGAAGCCCTATGGATAAAACTGTTAGAAAGAAACCTCTCAAGAAACGGTGTCCATGACCACATCACGTACATGAAGGAGTGTAAGTCTCCAGAGCGGTGATGACTCTCGGCTCAGCAATCTCGTATGGGCCACTGTCGTCCATGTCGACAGCCTGGAGCAACAAGACGTCGCTCTTCTCTGTTACACGAGATGCAACGGCCTTCATGATCTCGCCGTTGATGGGCTGTTCATAATCCGCAACTAGGTACTGGTTCAAGAGCTTCTGGATCTGGTTGGGAGACAGCCTGAAAGAGTAGCATCGTCAGCATCTTGGTAACTGCCAAGCGAACTATCACTTACATCCAGCAGATGTCCTGAATAATCTCAATGTCATTCAGCGTGGCTTTCTTCAGCTGCAGGAGCTTCGTCGCTTGCTAATTAAGTGTCAGTCAGCTGCACAGCTTAGGGTGGCGAACTTGACACATACCATCAAGTGCTCCAGCTGCAGGGTGCCTTCAGGCATGTCGTGACTCTTGCACCATTCCTCGATCCGGGTAATGTTGTAGTTGATTTGGAGACCGCGCTTCCAGGAAAGAAAGTTGCGTCTCATGAGGAGATCATTGAAGGCGGTTACGCCGACAAGGCGCAGCAACTCGGTGATTGTTTGGGTGATGATTGAGTCCTCCAAGTAGTAAGCCTTCATGGCGCGGAACACACTGTTCAGCAAGCTGAGCAGATTGTCCATGCTGTACGCGGGCGTGGAGTTGGATTGCAAGAGCTTTCCGAGAAAGCGGCTGCTCTCGTTTGTAACGAATCCAGGAAGAGACTGGGACTCAATGATGGCAGGAATGATCATCTTATGAAGCTTCTTCTTCAGAACCTTCATCCAGGTGTGGTAGATGTTGAACTCCAAGCTCTCCAGATCGTGCTTGACAATCTCCAGCAGACGGTCGTACTCGTAATTGTCCGTCTTCTGAGCCTCGTACCAGTCCTCAGCGAGGAACACGAAAGAGAGCATCTCGTGAACGTTAGAAAGCCAGAAGGCGCCGGGGTTGATGGCCTCGTCGCCATCGTGTTGCATGACCTCCTGTTGGATCGATTGCATCACGTTGGCCAGGAAACGCTCGGATTCCTTGACGAAGCCGTTATTCCACATCTCTGAGGTAACCAAATTGATCAAGTAAGAAGGGAACAAAACCTCCTTATCGGAAGGAGGGGGGTTCGTGTTGGGGGATGGAATCTTGAGGTTGCGGATCAGACCCATCGTGACCTCTTCGTTCAGGCCGTCCTCGTCGGCCAGAAGTGTCTCCAGCTCGAGCTCGATGTTGTCCACGTTGGGCGTGAAGCTACCGGCTGCTTGCAGGTTTTGTTTGAAGGCAGTGCTGGTGACGGCCATAGACACCGGGCGGGGGTTGTACGCGGCGCTGAAGCGGTCCACCTCGCGCGGCTCGGCACCCGCGCTGCGGCGCTTCGGTTTCTTGGACGACACGAGATTGATGAGCCCGCTGGCGGTTGAGGTTTGTGCGGCCTGGGCGGCGCCGTTGGTGAGCTCGCCGTTGGCAGGCGCGAGTCTTCTCGCCAACTCCAACTGATCCTGAAGCTCGGCGAGCTGCTGGCGCAATGACAGCTTCTCGCTCTCGATCTGGGCGCTTTGCTGACGCACAGTCTCTAGCTCCGTACTTGTCGATCGCAAAGATTCCCTAAGCTCGCGCTCTTCTTCTTGCATCCTCTTGATGTTGGAAGTTGACTCCTCGAAGCTTTGCTGAAGCTTCTTCATCTCGTCCTCCATGGCCTGCAGCCTCGCAACCGCAATGCTGCCTTGGTTGGCCTCAGTCTGAAGTTCCTTCGTACGGGCCTCGAGTGCGTTGTGACGGTTCTTCCACGCCTTGATCTGGCCTTCGTAATTCTCCACCTGAGACACCAAGTTCTTGTTCTGAGTCTTCATAGAGCCCAGAGATTGGGTCAGCTCGACGACCTTGTTTTCCAGCTTGTAAGAAATCTGCTTCAGGTCGCGAGCCTCCTCCCGGACCTTCTTGTAATCGCGTCGAGCCATTCTTCCACGCCACAAGCTTTGGATAAGGGTGACCTTCTTTCTGTATTGCCTCCAGGCGAGTACCTGGCGACGAGATCGCCAGACACGCTGGATGAGGATCGCAGCGTTGCCTACGCGGGTCTCCATGATTTCTTTTCTTCGAAGGTAACCTTTGGCCGCCGCTTGCGCCAAGACGACATTGTTCCTGACGCGTAGGTACTCTTTTCTTTGCCTTTGGCCACGCCAAACCCGCTGAATTGTTGTTGCGGCTTTGACAGTGCGGAGTTCCTGGGCCTGCTTCCGGGCGATGTATGCTCGGACTGCGGACTGAAATGTTACGATGGCGTTGCGAGCCTCGACGTAACGGTTGCGGTAGAATTTGGCGCGGAGATTCTTTTGGATGAGAATCGCGCAGTCATTCAGACGACTGGTGCGCAGATTCTCGAGAAAGGCAAGCATACCAGCACGGAAGAAGATCTTGGTAAGACCGAGCTGGTACTTGTCCGTACCCTTACCGGAGCTGCTGCCCAGCGCTTTTGAGAGGATGGCGTTGGCCATATCCCGGATCTCGGCCGTCCACTGGTCGGAGTGAACGAGCATGTAGTAGCGCAGGGCAAATTCTTCATACGTCCAACGAGTAGGGTAGCCGGCGCAACTTATACGAACGGTTTCGAGCACACCGCAAGCTCGCAGCTGGCTCAAGACCATAGGGCCCTCAAACTTCCATGACTCCTTCGCCTCGTTGGGCTTGATGCACCGGATGTAATGGACATCTGTGTTATTGATGGTGTTCATGAGCTCGATCAATGAGGAACGGAAGATGCCTCCGAGGGTCGGTTTCCTGTTGACGGCCACACCGATCTTCCTACCAGCGGCGGGCTTCACAGAGCTGGACGAAGCGGAGGCTAAATCCTTTTCGCGAACTGCAGAGGCGGCATCCAGGACATGACGAAGGAAGTCATTCGTAGTCGCGCGGAGAACGGCCATGTGCTCGTCGGGCACCGTGTCACGGTTCTTCTCGATGAAGCCCTCGGACTCGTAGGTGACGTCCACAGCGTAGTGGCACACGGTGAAGGCGGACTTGCCGAACCTCGGCTTCTTGTAAAACTTGTGTTTGTCGGTGCCGTACTGGTTGTGCAACTTCGTGACGAATTGGTCGTCGGAGCCCATCGGCAGACGAGACTCTTCATCCAAGAGAGACAAGATACCAAGCTTACCCTCAATCAGGTCAATGGCGGGCTGGTTATCAGAGAACTCGATGAAAGTCCAGTCGATTTGCTCTCTCAGGTATTCCTCTTGCTCCAGCTTGAAAACGTGCTGGTTGAACTCCTGCTGAAGCTTCTCGTTGGCGTAGTTGATGCAGAACTGTTCAAAGGAATTCTTGGCAAAATGCTCGAAACCGTAGATATCGAGCACACCGATGAAGGAGGTTACACGGTTCAGAACCTCCTCGGTCGCCAAGCTCATGTTGATGATCTCAACGAGCCAGTCGAACAGGCTGGAGTAGATAAACTTGGCCACAGAGTCTCGGACGACAATAGCTTGTGCTTGGGTCAAGTTGGAAGTGATCTTCTCGCCTCTCGTCACCAGCTGCTTCTTGACAATCCATTTGGCAAATTCGGTTCCGTTGACGCCCAGAATCGAGCAAGCCAGCTCCAAGGATGGTTCCGTCGGCGCGAGAACGCTGTCGTTGCGAGACGCCCCAATCTTCACATTTCCTAGGTGGAGCAAGCCGGCGAGGAGCTTGAAAATCTGGGATTGCTGGGCATCGCTCACACCGATCGTCTTCAGGGAACTCTTGGTGGCTTCGAACTCAGCCTTGTCGTCTACTCCGTCAATCGTGGGGCAGTTGCCTTGGTTCAAGTACTCATATTGCTCGATGGGGAGAATATTCAGCTCTTGGCGCTCAGCGTCCGAAGCACCTGCGACCAATTGGTAGAAAATGTGGTAGTTGCGCTCCTTAAGAGGTTGGAATACGAGTCTGGAACGCTCGAGCAGATATGTGCGGATCTTGGCGCCAATGATGTTTGTCTTCTCGTCGAACATGATTTCGATGTACTTGCCGAATCGCGATGAGTTGTCGTTACGCGTCGTTTTTGCGTTTCCGAAGGCTTCCATGATGGGGTTCGTGGCCAAGATCTGCTCTTCCGTCTCGCTCATAGCTTCGGCGCCCTTCTTGGACCGCGTACCCGGGTTGTCGGGAGATTCCCTCGTAGCGAAATAACGCATGATGTACTTTGCGCTAACCGTCTTGCCGGCACCGGACTCACCCGACACAACAACTGTCTGGTTCTTGCCGCTCCGTACCATGTCACTGTTCGAATGTCAGCACACGTCTGGGGCGACCCGGAAAGCCAGTGATGGCGAGGACGGCTCACATGAAAGCCTCTTCTGCAATGGCAAACAAATGGGGCGCCTGTGTCGCCCTCTGCTTTCCGGCATACACCTGAACCATGCCGGGGACGTAGAGGGAGTCTACTCTGGCAAAGGGATTCGCGGCAATCAAGACGATACCGCTGTATGTATAGATCTCTTTCTGCGCATATCGGAGACGGATAGCCTGGAGGACTGGTCGAGGGGAGCAAAATTAGCATATCGACCCGGCCTATGTGTGGGAATATTGGAGCTATACCGGCAGGTTCGTTCAAATGGGACAAGTTCGTCAGGTCGTCGCTCGCCTCGAGCATGGTCGGATTCATCAGAGGGGGGAGGGAGTCGCCATTCTGGAGGGCCTCGGTGGTGACCTCTATCGTCTTTTCCTGTCGGGCAGTCAGCAACGAGGTTAGAGACGAGGTCAGACGCCAGGTTAGTGGTTTCACTGAGAGATAATTACCTCGCCGCTGTCAAGCTTGAAGACCAGCTTGACTTTGTTGCCATCGACGGTCTTGTTGGTGACCTCGGACGCGACCCAGCCCTCGGTGGCATCGGGCTGCCATGCCCTCGTTCCAACATCGTAATTCTGAGACATTGAGATGGACTTGGTTGATGGAGATGAGGTCGTGAGATTGTTGTTGAGAAAGACTAGTACTTCCTAGAAGAGAGAAGGATGTGGCGAGGCAAGTCTAGGGGTGGGAACTCGGAGCGACTGAAGAGATTCATGGGCGAGCAGGGAGAATAGGAGAAGCGGGTTGTCGAAGGCGGGCTGCCAGATTAAGACGCTGCCGACTCGCTGCGGTGGTATTCGCGTTCGTCGGGGCGGTAGAGGATGATATGTTGAAAGGGTAGCGAAACAAAGGGGGTTTCCGCGTCGACGAAGAGGAATAGGCGGAGTAGAGTAGGCCGGCCTAGATAGCAATGGATGGCCGAAGAGGACGACGCGAAGGAGATCGCGACGTGTGTGGCCTTGACGAACTCGGGAATGTGTCCGGAGTTGTGGCCAGTTGAATAGTCTGCACACAGCTGCCAGTCGTACCTAGGTAGGTGAGGATGGATAGATTAATGGCAGTAGGAGGAGAAGGATAGCCGACCTGGTGAACTGGACAACTTTTTGATGTTCCAACAAACAGGGGCTCGAAGTAAAAACGCTAGGTGCGATGGCCGGGGGTTGAGAGATGGGGGGGAGCGAGGAACAAGCCCACCCGGCTGATGTTGCCAGTGCCGCTGCCGCAACTGGTGCTGCTCCTAAGGTGCCTAGCCGCCTGACTGAAGTAGGTACCTACCTTAGGTAAGGTATCTTCAGCGTGAGAGAGACGAAGGGGGATTCCCGCTCCTGCTGGCTGCCCGATACCAGACGTGAGGACCCAAGTCTTTCTCCAGGAGGTAAGGTACCTACCTACCTACCTCCAGCTGAATTTTTACCGTCGGCAAGTATGTGCTACTACTGCGAAAGGTACCTGGCAGCGTGTGGTGTGCTGATTGAGGTGGTCCCCTATTCAATTGTGATGAGTGATGGGAACGTGCGAGAGGTGCATTGCATTGCAGGGGCATATTTGAACAATAGGAGGAGCTAAAGCACGTCTCCCGCATCCATGTCTGTACCTTACAGCAACGCGACTTTCGGTCATTATCTTCTTTCGTGAGACTTTCACATTTTCAGTAAATAATCCCTATAGTCTCATGATAGAACACAGGTACGAAGAGGTAGGTAGGTGCCTACCTAATCCACAATCGCTTTCTTACACGAGATAGGTATTAAAGTCCTCAGGGCCAGGTTAATTCTACAGTCTTGGGCTGGACACGCAGCTAGATTGCATTTCTGTAAGGAAGTGGCATTTCGCGTGCAGTCAGGCAGTACGACAGCATGTGAAGAGCACGCGCAGCCGTGTTTTGTCGCCCATGTACTTACTCTGTCTGTTCCGAGCTATATTGTAAAGCTACGTGATGACAATAGGTAGGCAGGGCCTTTACGACCAGGTTTCTTCACCTCGGATAGTTTAGCATTTGCAAGGTCAAGAAGATGCAGCCAGGTGTACTGAGCTGCTCGAGCTTGACTCGTCTCAGAACGATGTTCTAGCAGTCAGCAGCAGACATCGAAAGTTCTGGGGACAATGGCAGCGAATGTAGAGAGAACTGCACGAGCTAAGCTCGAGAGTTGGTGAGAGATAAATACCCCGACTGCATCGTGTCTCCAATCTAGTATAGAAGAGGTCAATCTACGGCTTCGAACCGTGATAGCCTCACGTCAGTATTAGGCTTCAAGCGTCAACAACATCAGCCCGCAATATCCCACTGGTCGTATGCTCATCCGGGCGAAACAACCGAAGGGCTTAAGCTTCTTCGACTAGCACCTTAGCGCATGCTCGACGCATTTACTTGTTCCTTTTGCTTCTTCACAGCTTATCCAAACCGAAAAAGAACAAGGTGTCGAGTATCTGAAAACCATCTTTCGTCTCAAGTCGCCGTCGAGCTGCAGAGCTGCAGACAGAGAATGAGACTCTTGTATTTACAGCAGAGTGCCCACGCGATCGCCATCCAGTCAGTCGTTCAGTTAAAGAACGCAACCAGATCGAGACACCGTCTCTTGTCTCTTCCACTTCCGAATGGGGTATCGGTCGTGAGAAACAGCATGTTGCATGCCACGCTGCCCTGTTGCCGGGGGATCCCCAAACAGAATCGTGTTGCGCTACTGTTCCGTTCATCATGCCCGTTATGTCTCGAAGCAGGTCAGACTCAGCACCCGATGTCGTCGGCTCTTCAAACCCCTTTCCTTCGCCCCCTTCTTCCTTTAACCCCGGCGACTGGTGGATACAAATGGCGGGCCCCTACCCGATTCTAGGTTCCGCTTTGCTTTGAATTTAACAAACTGACAATTTCATCTCAGCTACCCAAGTGCAGGACGGGTCAGGGTCCTGCGTGCATTGTCTCCAATTTTCGCCAATCATGCCATTTCCGTTGCCTAGGTACAGAGTACGGCTTGCTTGACAATGTCAATCAGCAGATATGATTGAGCATCTCGCTCGGCTCTACGAACTGACATAGCCAGTCATGATTATTTGTAGGTCAACACCGGTGCCTGAGATGAGTTGCAAACAAAAACTCCACGCTGCTACGCGATCTCCGGCCTAGCGGCCTGCTGCATTACCACAATCTCCGAATCGTCTCCCGTATACTCCAGTTTCCCCATCTCATCCGCCCTGCATGCAAGAGTTCTACAGAGTACTCCGTACGTGTTCTGTTTCTCTCTCACCGCCTTATCAGCAACTTGAAATCCCGCGCATTCCTCGTTCAATCACCAACGGAGCAAAGAGAATGCCCCCACTCGGATCCTCGAGAGCACGTAGAGTGCGCCTGAGGCAAGTTCCAAGTTTATTTGCGCCATCCATGCCGCATTTACGTCTGCCTCTGTCTACCCGCCCTACATTTTTCTTTTTTGTCATGCCTACAAGTTGATGTAATTCCGGTACTCCATTATCCAAAGCGTCTGAGCAGCCCCTGCCGACATGTTGAAATGCTGTCTCTAGAGGCAGAGAGCCCTGTCAGTCGCCATGACGTCCCAAAAAGTTTCCCTCGCAAACGCCCTCCCAATGCCATTCATCGCGATATCCAATTTAGTACAGGACGCGGGTCAAGATGCGTGCTGTGTCATGGTTAGCGAAATGATTTCCAGGGCTGGCGACGGAGGTTGATGTGCTTACAGTTCAAGGCGTCTAGGCTATCCGAGATGTCCTTGATATCCTCGGCCTTGACATCGCTAACGTCAGCCATGAGGTAGGCGATGTCGCCCTTGCTGTCGGTAATCTGCTTGTCGACGTTGTGGTTGCCCAGAATCTCGTTGACTCGGCGCAGGACACCAGGGATGTTGCGGTGGATATAGATGACACGAGCATGGTCAGGCTCATCCAGTGTCAATGATCTCAGGTTGACCTCGGGCAGGTTCACACTGTTAAGAGTGATGCCCTGGTTGATGTAGCGAACAAGAGCCTCGGCAACTTCGACACCGATGGCGCGCTGGGCCTCCTCGGTGCTGCCGCCAATGTGCGGTGTCAGAATAATGTTGTTCAGGTTGCGCAGATCCTCTCCCCATGTGTTGAGAGAGCTGTTGAAGTAGTCTCCATTCGCGGCGGGCTCGTTGGGGTATACGTCGAGAGCGGCACCAGCAATCTTGCCAGCCCGCATGGCGTTGATCAGGGCCTGAATGTCGACGACTGTGCCACGACTAGCATTGATGAGGTATGCACCGGTCTTCATCTTGTCCATCTGGGCAGCTCCAATCATGTTCTTGGTCTCTGGGAGCTCCGGCACGTGCAGGGTGACGAAGTCGGCTTCCTCCAACAGGTTCTCCAGAGTGGGCACTTGTCTTGCGGTACCCATGGCCATCAAATTCACAACATCGTAGTAGACAACGTTCATGCCCATGGCCTCGGCCAGAACGGACAACTGCGAGCCAATGTGACCGTAACCCACAATGCCTGGCCTAAAGTTAGAATGAGAGCGTTAGTCGTACGAAGATCGCAGGACTCACCGAGGGTCTTGCCGCGGATCTCCCAGCACTTGGAGCTGACCTTGTTCCACGTGCCGCGGTGCATCTCGTTGGAGCGGTCGCCCAGCTGGCGAGCCAGAGTGATGATCTCGGCGATGACCAGCTCCGCAACACTGCGGGAGTTGGCGAAGGGAGAGTTGAAGACAGCAATGCCGTGGGCAGCGGCGTATTCGAGGTCAACCTGATTGGTACCGATGCAAAAGCAGCCGATCACCAGCAGGTTCTTGGCCTCGCGAAGGACCTTCTCGGTCAACTTGGTCTTGGAGCGGATACCAATGACATGAACATCCCTAGGAGAAAGTATGAGCCGAGGGTGTTCTCTCTCCGCCACCATTTTTTTCCTTCCTAGTGCCCTTCCTGAACGTTCAGTGAGGAATATGCTTACCGAATCTTCTCAATGAGCTGGTCCTCGGGCAGAGAGGTCTTGAGGGCCTCGACCTGGTAGCCCTGCTCGGTGAGTATGTCCTTGCCGGTCTGGTTGACATTCTCGAGGAGCAAAATTTTGATGTCCTGGGTATCGAAGGGCTTCAGTAGCTTGGGAGCCGGCCTCCTGGCAAGGGCGGGGCCGCCAAAGCTGGAGGGAGGAGAATGGAAAGTGGCAGTGGGAGAAGTTGACAAGCCAAGGCTGGCAGAGACTTCAAGGTTCTTTCCGAGCGCAGGCGCGCCGGTGATGTCCTTTGCTGAGGCCATGATATTGTATGACGGTTTGGGAGGGCACAGATGCGTATGACGATGGAGGGGTAGTGCGAGTTTTTGATGCGGGGCAGAGCAGCGCGATGTGCAACACTCAACTGACTGAATGCGGCGTCGAATCAAAGGGTGTCTGACAGGCGGCAATTTGTAAGGGATGGAAAAGCGATGTCCAGCTCAGTGAGCGAGTAGCACAATGGTTAGTCCTAGTACACTGAATAAGACGAGACAACCACTGACGATGTTCTGGGGAGAGAGAAGTTTTATAATCCAACGTCGAAATGACGCGGGATGGCCCTGCAGCGATCGAAAGAGTGACTCGACCGACCGAGGGGGGGAAAAAAAATTAAAAAAAAAAAATTGGGCTCTTCGCAACACCTCCGATCATGGCGTTTGACTGGTTAGGTCGGATCTCTCGTTACTTACGGTGACTAAGAGCGCCGCCAAAGATGTGCTATGGCCCTGGGCACCGTGCAAACCCTGGATACCTACGTACCTGCCTATCCGTCAGGGTTCCTGAGGTAAGGTAACCTAACAATAATTACAGCCGCAGCAAGCTGAGGTGACGTTTTCTTAAACGACCTTCTCAGACACTGGACGACAATGGGTCACCGTCCCGGCCAAGGTCCAGTAGACTCGGTATACATAGTGTCCCAGTGTCCTTCATGGCAGACCCCGAAAGTGGGTCTGGTCCCGTCCGGAACTACCGCTGCGTGCGCCAATCAGTTCAACACGGTGCGGAGGTACCTTAGTCTTAAGTTCCGTCCCGTCAGGTCGCCTGGGGATATCGGGAATTGCTCACACAGTCGATCCAGTCCACACTCGGTTCATCCACCTCTATGGTCCCGTCCATTGCACCAGCGGAGTTACTCCGGCAGTCGGTCCGTAGAGGTGTCCAGTCCAGTCACTCATTACCTTCCATGCCTTATTCTGACGGAACCGAGTCGAGTACGCCGTGGCCAAGCACCTCATCGCACTGAGCAAATCTGACATTTCAGCTCCGATGCCTTGCCAGGTGTTCTTCCCACCATCACGGAAGAGGCAAGAAGACAAAAAGGGAAGGGGGAAAAGAAGAAAGAAAAAGAGAAAGGCGACAAGCTTTTCACCCCTTCCAGCATCAGCACGAAGGCCAAGGACAACTACGCGCGGGTCATAGTGTCTGAAGACGGGACCTGATAGTCAACGCATTAGTCGTACATTCCAAGTGCCGGTTCCGGACCTTCAAACCCTCCACGTCCCTCCCACCTCATTGACCTGCTCACCCAGGCGCTCTTGTCACCGCCTTGTAATAGTGCTGACTCATAAAAGCTGAGCAGGTATCCAATATTTTGGTGTTTCCATGGCCGCGAAGGGCTTTTGTTAAGGTAGAATATCCACACGGTAAAGTCCAGAGCCCTGGTTCCTGTAACCACTGGCAAAGTAAGGTAGGCAATCCGTCCAGTCCTGCCGCTCCGGCACCTTAAACCGCCGATCCGACGTCGCGCGCCGCAATGCCCGTGCCCCCGATTTCCCACGGAGCTTCCATCTTAGTCACTGCCGCAGATAGCCCCCATCCCGAACGATTGTCGGCATCATCGCCGCTGACAGGCCTAGCTGACCATCGGTGCATCACAACCACAATTAACCGCTCGCGGCCTCCGTCACCGGAACGAAACAACAGACCAGTCATTCGACCTTGATTGCTCTCTACTAAGGTACTTCCCCCGCTAGAAACCCTACCCGTCGTACAAGACAGAAGAAATTCAATAAACACCCTTTTCACGATTCCCGTTTCAGCAGCCACGTTTAGCATCATTCATGACTATCATCATGACCGGGATGTGAACAGCCGTATCTCTTAGAAGAACAAAAGGTTTGGGATCGAAATCAATTACCATCTATCAAGCAGGGGGCCCTTCCGTGGGACGCTGCTTGGCTCAACCCTCATAATGCCGAGGTATCGCGCATAGTAGCCGCCGCCACCGCCGTAGGTGCGGGAACCACGCGTCGGAGTATCACATTCCCCCAAAAGTCCCGACCAACGTGAACGTCAAGAATGTATCAACGAAAGTGACCTATGCCTGCGTCGCTCAGCTCTGCTTGCACTCGGCCGCCTCCTGCTTGGGCTTGCCAGTATCATCCTGCCATAAAGAGTCAGCGCTCGCTAATCACTTGCATGAAATCGGCTCAAACTCACCTCGTCCTCGGACTCTTCATCCTCGTCGCGATCCTCGCTGAGATCGTCGTCATCGTCGTCGTCCTCCTCGTCGTCGTAGCCCTCAAGGTCGTCGTCCTCCAGCTCCTCGAAGGCGAGAGCTTCGCCAGTGAACCAGTCGATCGCGCGAGGAATGAGCTTTTCCTTGATATCCTCACCCAGCTGATAGTCGAGCTCGAGGCGCTCTTCAATGTCGGACGCAGCATCATCGTCGTCCTCCGTGGGGGCCTGAGGAGGAGAGAAAAAGTTGAAGAAAGACTCGGTGGGGACCGTCTTCTTGACGATGCGGGTCTGCTTGGTGGCTGTCATATATGGTCAGTGATCAAAGCGTCTGGGCAGCCTGGTGTGCCGGTCCAACTCACTCTTGTTCCTCTGCTTCTTGCTCTCAATTCTGACGGTCAGGTCCTTGCCTTCCTTCCAGTCGATCTTGTCACCCTCGGCGTGATCGTAGATGAAGTCACCGCCGTAGCCACTCTCGCTCTGGTAGAAGTAGGTCTTGGTAATAGTCTTGTTGGTGAAGAACTCGTTCTCGGCAAACTCGAAGATAAGGCGGAAACCAGGCTTGTCGAGGTACTCCATACGAATATCAACCAGGTGCTTCAAGGCCGCCTCGTCGCGGTCGGTAATCATCTCGGCGAGAGAGATTTGGTTCTTCATGGCAGAAAGCCAAAATTCAGGAATACCAGAAACGGGCTCGGACGATTCAGCGGGCTTCTCCGTCTTCTCGGCCTCTTCGGTCTCCTCATTGTCATCATCCTCCTCTTCACCAGCCTTTATCTCCTCCTCAGTGGGTTCAGAGCCTCCGTTGACGATCTTGGCACGCTTCTCATAAAGAGGAGTGAACTTGGCGAAGTACTTCTTCTCCAACTGAAGAACCTCCTCCTGGAAATCGGCCTCAAGCTTGGAGTGCTCCTTCTGAATGCCCTTCAGTCCAGCAACGCGGCGGCGCACCTGAGGGGGGAGGGACTCGATATAACCGGAGGAACGGCCGACGAGGGAGCCGAGTCTTCCCTGAATCATCTGGACGAGCTTGGGGTTTTGGGCGAAGATGGAGGCGGCGGCGGCACGGTCAAAATCCTCTGCAATGGGTAGATTGGACGTCAGTCACGGTCGGACAGAGGGGCAGGGGTGATGGCAAGTGGCGGAAGAGGGGCACATACCCTCCTTGATGCTGGCAACGCCAGGCTGCTGAGCGTGCGATGAGATGGGCGCATTTTGCAGAGGGGTATTTTGCGGCGTACTAGAGATCGGAAAGTTATTGTCAGCGATCGTGAGACTGGCATACTGCATAGCGGACGGAACAAGCGTGGGGTCGCCACGCAGACGCAGACGCGGACGCAGATTCAGATTCGCAGTGCATGTCAGATACTTACGGCGCAGTAGCCGGGTCGAGGCGCTTGTTGCGGATGGGCTCAGCCATTATGTGCGTTCGACTCGGAGGTCGTGGGGAGAAAGGATGGATTTGAGATGCAGAGAGCAGTGGGATGGAAAAAAAAATCCCAGCCGAGCGGAAGAGGGATTGACAGGACAGAAGACGCGGATGCCGAGGGCGAGAAGTTGTAGATGTCTAGTCGATTATTCTGGTGGGGGGAAGTGATCGGTGAAGTGAAAAAATTTGGGAACCAAAGAGGCTTTCTCCTCCCGTTGGGGCGGGTACTTAGGCGCCTTACCTGCCATGGGCGTAGACACCTACCAGCACAGGTAGGTGTCAGCCTAGGTAATTAGGTAGTACCTACCTTAGGTATGGACCTTAGGCAGGTAGGCATGTAAGGTAGGTAGACGGTAATTAGGTAGTGGATGGATGGAATAACAGCCTCTACCTGTGGACCGCAATTGACGGGCGACGTCCTACCTTACCTACCTTACCTGGGTAGGCAGGTGGGCAGATAGGCAGATACCTTGGGCAGATACCTTGGGCAGGTACGCAGCTACCAGTGTTTAGGTGAGTGCTCCAAGGCACCTAAGGTAGCTAGATAACCTACATGCCGCTGGCGGTCCGTGGTGGAAGTCTTCCACGATACCTACCTTACTCAAGGTACAGTGCCTTAATTACCTGGTAATGAGGGGAAAGCCTGAGGTCGCGCGCTACATCCATGCGGTTGACCCTCTTACATCAGCCTCCCACATGATTCGCCCGGGGAATCAGTGAAGGCTGAAGTACCCCAAGTTCCTTACCAAGGTATGGACGTCAAGGGCCTTTCGGAATGTTGTCTGGGTAGCCCATCCGTACTAAAGAGAAAGCGTATTTTCAGCAACAAAGTGCCCGACTCGAGCTGAACGACCAACTTCCTAGCGCTGCTGGCTGAAGTTCACCAAATCTTCGCCGTTTTCACAAACACCCATCGTTGTTTTCTTCCCTTACTGTCTGACGCTTTTGCGTCGTCCAGGCTTCCGCAACATCATCAACCCGTACATGGCTGAGCTTCTCTCAGTCGACTGCTATCCACTTGCGACTTTCTCGTCTCGCGGCAATGCGCACCATCCGCCGCCTTTATAGCACCGTATCTTTCCAGTCGAGTGTTCGAAGGGTTCGACGAGTTGATTACCGTTGAGTTCTCTGCGCCGCCTGTCCACAAACAGTAGCCGCACAACACTGTTTCCGACCCAAACGTCACCATGGCTCAACCTCCGGATCGAGGGCACCACCGTGCCTCGTCGACGTCTAGAACGAACGGCCATGCTCCCTTGTACCGTCTGAACTCGAATCAGAGCAGTACGAGCATATTTGAGGAGGTGGAGATGGCGCACGATGAGGTCAGGCTTATTGGAGCACCGCCGCCACCTCTGCATCGTCACTAACAATCATTGCCGATAGCTCTTTTCAGGTCCCATCGCTGAAAGTCTTCCCACCAGTGTTTCCGCCTTCTCCCACCGCAGACCACGAGCCGACTCTACTACAAGCTTTACCTACTACCAAGACGAGGATGAGCCCGAGATTTCCCCTACGTTCGACGATGAGCGCCACTACAATGACGAACGTCGAAGCATGTCCGACGTCGGCGACTTCAACTTCGGCGACGAGGACGAAAGCGAGGCCGACATCGAGAATGGCGACCCAGATGACGACGACTACATTCTACACCATAGAAGATCTTCGACACATTCGCGATCTTCAGTACACGCTCGACTCTTACGCAGGGATAGCACCACTACAAACAAGAGCTTGGGTGGAGATGGCCGGATAAGCCAAAAGATCTATATGGTGAATGAGGACCTCACCATTGCAATAGCAGGATTCAAGACGAGTGGCTTGGGCTTTGCTGCATATGCTCTTCTCTGTATATGCACTCTTGGACTCTCGTGGCTTCTGCTAAGATGGTTTCCCCGCTGGCAAGTAAGGTTGTTGGGGCGACCCTCCCCCTTAGCTGAATGTGACTGGGTCGTGGTTGAGGTAAGTTTTTTTGACCCAAATAGAGAATGCTGTGGCTAACTTTTGTTCAGAATCAATGGGGCGAGTTCGCTGTCATGGACGTGGACAAGAAATTGTACGGGAGACCCATGTCCACCATATTCGGCTCCAGCGAGAAGGGCTACATGATGGACGATGATTATGACCCCATCATCACCGAGCTGCGGATGCTCAACTACCGCTATGTCCGTCTCTACTTTAATCAGCAAAAGGACAAGTTCATCATGTTCAACGGTTGGGTAGATCCGAACTGGATCGACTCCCGCGCTGTGCGAGCAGGTATCGATAGCGATGAAAAGGGGCTTCGAGAGATTGTTTTTGGCAGCAACCTCATTGACATTGAGCAAAAGTCTATCTCGCGCCTCCTTGTAGACGAGGTACGTGTTGTTGGACTGCTGAGAGCTGAGATGCTGACAGTCCCAGGTATTCCATCCCTTCTACGTTTTCCAAATTGCCAGTTTGATTCTTTGGTCCCTGGACGAGTACTATTACTATGCTGTTGCCATCTTCTTGATGTCATTTGGCAGCATCGCAACCACTCTGGTTGAGACTCGGGCTGTAAGTAATGTCGAGTCTGTCCATCGAACTTTTGATGCTTATTTCCTCAGACCATGAAACGTCTTCGAGAAATATCTCGGTTCGAATGCGACGTTCGCGTCCTTCGCAACGGATTTTGTGAGTTTTGCCCTCAATGTGGTCCCGACCGACGAATCTGACACGTGCAAGGGCGATACGTTTCTTCGAGTGAACTGGTACCCGGCGATGTCTACGAAGTTAGCGATCCAAATTTGTCCCAGTTCCCCAGCGACGGACTCTTGCTGAGTGGTGACTGTATTGTCAACGAGAGTATGCTCACTGGTAAGTAATTCACATGCTGCATCCTTTTCCCCGTATGTGAGCATCGCTGACGCACTCAACTAGGCGAGTCAGTCCCGGTTTCCAAGACTCCGGCGACCGAGGAGACCATGTATAGCCTAGACTTGGCTGCGCCGACGGTCTCGCCAGAGATTGCGAAACACTTCCTCTTCTGCGGCACTAAAATCATTCGCGCTCGCAGGCCTCAGGAGGACCGAGATGGTGACGCTGTTGCCCTGGCACTTGTTGTCAGGACAGGTTTCAGCACGACGAAAGGCTCCCTAGTCCGATCCATGCTCTTCCCGAAACCATCAGGCTTCAAATTTTACCGGGACTCTTTCCGGTATATCAGCGTCATGGCCATTGTGGCAATGCTTGGATTCATCGCGTCTTTCGTCAACTTCTTGCGGCTGCATCTGGCCTGGCATTTGATCATTGTCCGCGCTCTAGATTTGATCACCATTGTGGTACCTCCTGCATTACCAGCCACTCTGACAATTGGGACGAACTTCGCCCTAAGCAGACTCAAGAAGAAGCAAATCTTCTGCATCAGCCCCCAGCGGGTCAACGTTGGCGGCAAACTAGATATCATGTGTTTTGACAAGACGGGAACCTTGACAGAAGATGGACTGGATATTCTTGGTGTGCGGGTAGTGTCGCCAGCCACCAGCAGATTCACGGATGTCCTGTCAGATCCAGTGTCTCTTATTTCTGCCCCGGCCCTTCAGGGCGGCAACATGGGTCAGAACTCGAACCTCAAGGCTGCTCTTTTCACCATGGCAACATGTCATTCTCTCAGGTCCATTGATCACGAACTACTGGGAGATCCGCTCGACCTGAAAATGTTTGAGTTTACCCGCTGGTCTTTCGAAGAGGGTAAGCAAAGCCTGAACGAGGACGATCAAGATCAAGGAAGCCTCTCTCCTTCGGTCGCTCGGCCGCCCGCGGAGTATAGCGATCTTCTACGCGGGAACAACGATGGCACACATTCGGTAGGTAGAAGTCGATTCTTCTATGAGACCGAGCTAATCTGGACCAATAGCCACCTCTCGAACTAGGAGTATTGCGGTCTTTTGAGTTTGTCTCTCAACTGCGCAGAGCAAGCGTCATTGTGAGACAGTTCGGAAAACCCAGCGGGGACATCTACGTAAAAGGCGCCCCTGAATGCATGCGGGAGATTTGCCGAGAGGACAGCTGTATGTTGACGACACTGACACGGGTCATGAAATCTGGCCAAGCGTCGTTTGCTAATTGGTGGCCCTTCTTCCAGTTCCCGTCGACTACGATGAGCAACTGGCTTACTACACGCATAAGGGTTATCGTGTAATCGGATGCGCAACTCGACACATACCCAAACTTAGCTGGGTTAAGGCACAGAAGATGAAGCGACATGAAGCCGAGTCCAACTTGGAGTTCACAGGCTTCATAATATTCGAAAACAAGTTGAAGCCTACCACTGCGTCGGTGCTAAATGAGCTCTTGGGCTCAAATATTAGCACAACCATGGTGACGGGTGACAACATCCTGACAGCCATCAGCGTTGCTCGCGAATGCAGTTTGATGAAAAAGACAGCGCACTGCTTCGTGCCGAGGTTCATCGAGGGTAAGCAGATCCTAGGCAAGCTGCGTGCACGTTGCATCTAACACAGAGAAGGAAATGCTAGCGACCCCAAGGCGCGCCTGCAATGGGAGAGCATTGACAACAACGCTTTTCAGTTGAATGACCAAACGCTGTTGGCATGTCACCCCTAGAACCGCATCTCTTTTCTGTAATTACGCTAACCGTGCTGCAGCCAATGGCTCCTCCTGCTGACGTTGATGCGTCACTGGCATACAATATCAACGACATCCGCAACTATACGCTTGCTGTTAGCGGCGAAGTGTTCCGCTGGATTGTGGACTTCGCTCCTCCCATTGTCCTGCAAAGGGTAAGTTAGATTGTGATCACTGTCACCAGTCAGTATTGACTCATCGTCCTAGATGCTTGTTCGTGGTAGAGTGTTTGCACGCATGTCACCTGATGAGAAACATGAGCTCGTCGAGAAACTGCAAGGCATTGGTTACTGTTGCGGATTTTGTGGCGATGGTGCAAATGATTGTGGCGCACTGAAGGCTGCAGACGTGGGCATTTCGCTCTCCGAAGCTGAAGCCTCTGTTGCAGCGCCCTTCACTTCTCGAATCTTCGATATTGGCTGTGTGCCTACTGTCATCCGGTATGTGGGGTACGTGGTTGTCACTTCGAGTTGTGCTAACATGTTTCTGTAGCGAAGGACGTGCTTCACTCGTGACGAGCTTCAGCTGCTTCAAGTACATGAGCCTCTACTCGGCGATTCAATTCACGTCGGTCACCTTCCTCTACGCCAAAGCCTCAAATCTCGGCGACTTCCAGGTTAATTTGACAGCTATACTTGACCTTACCAGTACTGACCGGCCTCCAGTTTCTGTTCATTGACTTGCTACTGATTTTACCAATTGCTATTTTCAGTAAGTATTCTACCAACAGCCGCCAGTTGTATGTTGTACTCATACGTGAATCAAGTGAGCTGGGGCGGACCATTCCCCGTGTTATCGCGGGAACGACCCACAGCGGACCTTGTGTCGCGCAAAGTCCTCGTACCGCTGCTTGGCCAGATGATCATCTGTATCGCCATCCAAACCGTCGCCTACGTTGCCGTGCGCGAGCAGCCATGGTGAGTTCACGGCCCTTTCCTTATCGACGAGATGACCTTGTTACTAATGGCCTGAGAAGGTACATTCCACCACGGCTGAACCATGAAAAGTCCAGCATCAAGAACTCTGAAAACACGGTACTCTTTTTGGTGTCATGTTTTGAGTATATCCTGGCAGGGGTGGTTCTCAACGCTGGTCCTCCCTTCAGAGAGAGAGCGCTCAAGAACTGTAGGTTTTTGTTGACATCTCATCCTTCGAAATTGCTGACCGTTGGCCAGGGCCATTTTTGGCGACCGTTGCGGGAACGGTCTTGATCACGATTTACATGATCTTGGGACCAGCGCATGCAGTGAAGAAACTGATGCAACTGACAAAGACCAGCTGGGACTTTGAGCTCTTCATGATCATGCTAGGCGCCATCTACTTGGCTACAGCTTGGATATCGGAGAAGTATCTTTTCCAGAAGTTAGCTCGGGCAGCTGGGCATTTCAAAAAGCGGGTACTGAAGGAACCAAAGCAGAGAAAGGAGTACAAAATCATCCTAGAGAACATGCACGTGTAATATAGCGTCAGCAGCAGAGGAGCTTTCACGTTAGGTAATGCTACCTCGTGATGGCTCATTTCTGTCTCTTTAGACATAGCCACAGAAACCAGAAGGTCTTCAAGGACGAGCGTTACGGCGTCAATTGGCGTCTGCGCGCTTGGAACTAGATTGACAATTGTCCAATATGTCCTCATGGCTTTCACAATTGAGGTTGGCGGCTGCAAGGGAGACGAATGGACGTGTCATCGATGATCCACTCGACCCGCATTCCGGTGCCAAGCTAGCCCAAGCGCGTCGCCCGGCTCCGAGTGGCCGGGGATTCTGTTACAACTGTGTGAGACAGCCAACATTAACCTGCCACTCCCAACCGCGTACAAGAGGTATTCATTGATTGATATGTGCACCTGTTGAGATCTTCTTGTGATCGACTCATTTCATTCTTCTCTTCCACAGCCTTGACTCCTTTTTGCCAGCTAGTAAAGCTGCAGCCGACACGCCAACCTGCTGGTGCCCGAACGGCACCCTTGTGCTCGGGCTTGTAACCGGTTTCGAAGTTCAACATCACACGGCTCCGAGCCCGGAACGACAAAAGAACCACTAGGCGTCTGCGTTATTCGCTCACTGGAGGAATTTGTGCAATTCAATCTCAATTAGACTCGTTTCATCGGTTGTCAGTAGGCGTCTATCTCCCAGTAATCCTGCACATTGAACATGGGTGAGTTCAGCAGGCTGGCAATGGGTGACATATGGGTCACATAAGACCAACCCGTATCACTAACATCAGTTTACAGACTGGGTTCTTGATGGCGGGTATTTGCCTCATGCCGTGATAAGAATAGGCATCCAGCGCCAGCTCCAGGAGCGTCTTGACTCCATTGCGAGCACCTCTCTCAGTCTCGACTATGAGCGGAAAATGACATTCATCGAGAAGCTGCGAACACAGCCAATCGCCATCGAGACAGCCACTGCTAACAAGCAGCACTACGAGGTCGGCACCGGTGTGCTAGCTGCCTGCCTGGGCCCGCGCATGAAGTACTCGTGTTGTCTATACCCCAAGGGCGGTGAGACTTTGGCGCAGGCCGAAGTGGCCATGCTGCAGACCTATGTTGAGAAGGCCGAATTGAAAGATGGCATGAGCATTTTGGATCTTGGGCAAGTCTTCGTTCCCTTCTACCCACTACCAGCTCCGGGCATTTGTGGCTGAAGTGCGACTGGCTAACTGACTCCCGTGATCTAGATGCGGTTGGGGATCGGGCGCTTTGTATTTCGCCGAGGTCCTGCCCAGCTCCAAGGTGACAGCCTTTTCCAACTCCAGGACGCAAAAGGAGTACATCGATGGCAAGGCCAGGGAAAAGGGCATCACCAACCTGACCGTCATCACGGGTAACGTCGTTGACTACGAGTTTGAGCCCGAGTCCTTCGACAGGGTTGTGTCCATCGAGGTACGTCAGTTGAATATCACCAATACAGGGCACTCGAGTAATGCCAAATCAAGCTTTTCGAGCACATGAAGAATTACGAGCTGCTGATGGCCAAGGTTGGCCGAGCGCTGCGGCCGGGCGGCAAACTCTTCGTACACATTTTTGCCCACAAGACAACGCCTTATGACTAGTGAGCTCAGTTCTCTCCATTTTACCCAGACACATGAGGTCGCTAACCCAAGGAACTCAGCGAGGAGGGTTGGATGACGACGCACTTCTTCACGGGAGGCACGATGCCCTCTGCCGATCTGCTCCTTTACTTTCAGCGCGATCTCCAGATCCAAAAACAATGGTGGGTCAACGGCCAGCATTACTCCAAAACCTGCGAAGTAAGTTCAGTAGCCTTTTAACGATGTTGAACGACATTTGACACTCGCGTCATAGGACTGGCTGAGCAAGATGCTCGCTCACAAGCAGAAGATCTGGCCGCACTTGACCGAGACGTACGGAGAACAAGACGCAAGCGTGTGGTATAATCGCTGGCAGATATTCTACATGGCGTGTTCCGAGTTATTCGCCTACCAAGGCGGGGACATTTGGGGCGTGGCGCACTATCTCTTTGAAAAACCCAACCAAGGTTGAAAACGGCCGCGATGGTCGTGATGTAATATTTGTAGAATGTTTGATTCCTTCGCGCTGCCACATGCCAGATAGCTATGGCACAACCGACATGTTATGACAGCTTCCTTTGCAAAACTTGTGTTCCTGCCGATTTGCGCCTCGAAATGTGTGGTTTAGTGGTCCCAGGGGTGCTTCCAGCCCAGCAGGACGGCGCCTGCGAATCGTTGTCAGCTCCATGAATCACGATAGCAGCACTGCGAGAGGCTATAACCCACCGTCCTTCTTCGCGCGGTACATCAGCTACGGGTATCGCATAATGTCAGTTCATCGGAGTCTCGATCGGAAGGCTGGGAAGGAGTGACGCACGAAGAACCACATGCCAGCACCCAGAGCAGTCGCCGTGTAACGGTAGATGCCTGGAACGTGGGGCGTAGGATTCTTGAACTTGTGGACAGGAGACATGGTGAATTTGTGACCGAGCGTGTCGTTCGAGAGTTGGGGTCGAGTTCCTGCGAGCATGGTGTGTTAGAAGCGGTGGTAGAGTCAATTGGTTGGGTCACGATGAACCTACAAACCTCGGATGTCGCCCTGTCTTCGTAGCGCTGGATTCGGCTGGAACGGGGTAAACAGAGGCTCTGAGGTAGTGGTAGATGGAGGATCTGGTATGGCGTCGTTCAGACTGACGATCGATAGTGAACCGGAGCCTTCCTTGGATGGTTGGATGATTAGGTAAGTCGCACCACCAATAGCGTAAAGTCCATTGTGATGGAAGATAGGTACGTATGGGTCAAGCCTACCTGAGTGGGGCCGTTTACCTTCCAGGGATTCCAACCTTCCATGGCGGGCACGTCCCGCCGTCTCAAACCAAGCCACAGCTGCGAGGAGCCCTTGAAGTGTGGTGGATACGTGGATACGCCTCTTTGACAACCTGGAATCGCACAAAGACGTGGCACCCTTGGCATCATTTAGCGGCGTCAGCGGTTGCATGCTCCGCGACGTTTGGATCCGATAAGACCCCCATTATCGCGACGTTTGATATCCGAGAAGGAAGCATTGTACTTCGAGCCACCTGTCCCTCTGCCCTGCGATTTCTTTGAAAAGACTCTTGGTCGGTCAACTCCAATAGCAACCAAACCGCGAGTGGTCTCTACCAGGAAACTACTCCGTCCCCTGTAGTTTTCTATTTCACCTCCTCACTCCCTATTGCGTTCGCCAAGCCGACAAGCATCGTCTACAGGGCCAGCTAGGTGCCAAAGTCGCCAGCATGACAACTCCCAAATTCAATTCCAAGTCGCCCACGATTCGGCGCATACGTAAAGAAGCCGCACGCCTTTCTATCATCCTCGCTCCTCTCGCTGACCACCGCCACCTAGTTCGCGAAGCACAAGAACTCTCCAACTCGCCGTCTCCCGATTACACGGCCGCTCCCCTAGAATCAGACCTTTTCGAATGGCATTTCACATTTCGCGGCCCCCCAAATTCTTCCTATAGCGACGGAATCTACCACGGCCGCATCGTACTGCCGCCTACATACCCCCTTCGCCCGCCGAGCTTCCGATTCCTCACCCCGAGCGGCCGATTCGAGACGAACCGCGAGATTTGCCTCAGTATCAGTGGCCATCACGAAGAGACATGGCAACCTGCCTGGGGAGTGAGGACAGCTTTGGTCGCGTATACCAACCCTGGATATATCCTTACTGATACCTTCCCACTGACTGACCATGGACCAGATTACGTAGCTTCATGGAAACTGACCCAAGGGGTCAGCTTGGCGGCCTCGAGACGAGCGACGCGGTGCGCAAGAGACACGCAGCGGCATCACATATGTTCAAGTGCCAAACATGCGCCAAGACAAACCTTGAGATAATCCAAGAATGCGAAGAAAGCGCCAAGGCCGTCGCCGGCACCTCAGAGTCCAACGAAGTCGGTATACCGTCCGAGTTGAAGATGAGCTGGAAAGACGAGATGGCCAAGCCAAAGGGGTCCGAGGAGGGCTCACCCGCGCCAGACGTGTCACAGCGGGAAGAGGGAGATACTGAAAGCGCCGAGCTCGCCGAGGGTTTTGTTCGAACGGCGCCCGAGACAGGTCTAGAAGCAAACCAAGTGCCAGCATCAACATCCGCGCCTCCCGCAGCTCGTCTCACCGAAGGAGTGCCAGCCCCCACAAGGACAGTCTCGCTACCTCCAGCGCCAAACGTACGGCAAGTTCACCAAGGGCCGCATGATGAGGGTGTGCCGCTATGGGTGGACCGATCCATTGTAGCTATTGTGGTGCTCCTGCTGGCCATGATTGTGAAGATGGTCCTTGACTTTTAAAAATGAGACGAGGAGTAATGAGAGAGGGGGGTGGGGGTTTCTACGCCCCTGCTCAATTATCCCCGTTCAGACCCCGGGTGTTTTACGAGCGGTTTTCTGGTAATGGACCTTCGCTGGCATTGCTCTGTTGATTTCTGTTGATTCATGGGTCTCACCTTTCATACAGGCCTGTCAAAGAACAACTCTATGGTCATGAGCAAGGATATAAAAGGGAACAGGATGGGTCTCTCTGCGCCAGAGACCGGGTACGAGTATTTGTCGTACAGCAGCGTGTTTTCCGATTTGCATTATCCACTCCTCCAGATAGCGTACTTGTTGACATCCAGGAACGGATGACTGCATGATGCTTTCAACGAATTGTTCCGAGCAACCCAGGTTTTGTTTGGTGATAGTAAGCCTGCGCTGTCACATTGTGTTTCAAAAGCAGAAGAACAACAAGCCGTCCGGTAATTATTCCGCACCTTCTTTTCACCCTCCCGAAGTACGTACTTCCCAAATACAGATTTCATTCTGTTAAGTGTGTCAACTGTGGTCAGCTTGTACCCCTCGCTGTCGTCCCACGAGTAGCCACCACCACTCGTCCACCGTGCAGCTTGTCCCGTACTCCATCCCCTTCAATACGCCATTGCGCCTTCCCCAGTCGAACACTAGATCAACTTCGAATTCTTGCAGGTAGGGCTTCAGGACGGCGCAGACGGAAGGAACGTTCAAAGGACCACGCGTTGCAATGACAAACGCAACAGCACCGAGAACCTGGGACCAACGTTCGATGTCAAGTTCTCCGAAAAAGTCGGACCACAGCGGAATGGCTCGATTCTGGTTTTCACGAGGAGGCTTGTTGCTTCTAGCCTGGTGAAGGATGCCTAGGCCCTCGTCGTACACGTACGCATCAGTGGGCGCTATTTCCAAGCCGAAGTTGTAGTATGACTTGGGATACTTTCTGCTCTCGTAGTTGCCCGGGTCGAAGCCGAGCGGGATACTGGGAACGTCTACAGTCGTGACATCAACTCTGCCACTTGCCTGCAAATTCATCATCGCCATGACCTCGCCATCCTTGAGGACGTAGGGTATGCGGATCTTTTCGCCGCGCCGGAAGCTGCCATCAAGTCGTGACTTGAAACGAGCCGCGTCGATGAATTTTTGCTGCTGCGTCCATTTCTTGAATCTTGGCAGGAATGTTTCTGTAAGTCGGTATGGCCGCCCCTCGAGTGCCTTCAACTTGCTGTCCGTGATAATGCCCTGTCCCTGCAGCGTCTCAACTGCTTGCTCGAGCAAGTTCTGAATGCGTTCTTCGTCCCCGCCTCCAATACTAGCCATCTTCTTCCGGATATCAATGGGTGCGTACTTGTCCCGGGGCGTGTAGCAGAGTGACCGAAGCCACGACATAGCCGTCACCAAGTCATTCGCATCTCGGTCATGACCGGACTCGTTTCTCCCATCGATAAGAGAAGTGGCCGGACGTGAGGTCGCGGCTTCGAATCGATTGAATACGGACATCTGGAAATTGTAGTAGTCATCGCGCCAGTTGTCGGCATCAGCCCACGCAGAGGCGAGAGAATAACCATGAGCCAGCGCAGTCTTACTCGCAGGCAGTTCCACTGAGTCCTCGATCAAGTTGGCAGTCCATTTGATCAGACGGGCCCAATCGTAGTCAATATAGTTGTCCAAGTCGATCGGCGGGAATTCTTGGTTTTCGTAGGCATGAACGAACCGGGTCTGGAACCGTTCCGTCAGTTGGTTGATGAACGCCCTTCGATCCTTTCGGGCCTTGGACCAGAATCGTCGCATGGCACTGAGAGCCATATCCGGAAACAAAGTCATCATGAGACCCCATTCGATTACTCTATCGGCGCCTCCTAGAAGAGTTCTGGTCGCAACAAATGCTGCTATCAAGACGGTCTCATTGGTTTCATCAAGACCATTGTTCTTCTTGGACGCATCTCTCAGATCTGAATCCTTGGGTAAGGTGATGAGTGTCCGGACTTTGAGATCAATGCCGACAACTAAGTCTCTTGTCTCGGTTCTGGACTGCTTCTGCCGTCGCTTTTTTCGTCGTTGGCGGCCTAGGTCACCACCCCAGAGATGATCGGCGGCAGTCGTAGTAAGATCTGATGTACGTTCGTCGAACAAAAGCGACGAGCGTAACTGATTGGTGGAGTTCCAATCAAGAGGAGGGTTTTCCCATTCGGCAGGCAGATCATCAACCCCGAGATTGATAAAAATGTAGTCCGGTGCTATTGATTCAGCAAGCATAAGCTTCATGCCCTCGGTTGACAGCTCCCAGTCAAAGCATCCGTCGGCCAGTTCACAAAACTCTGCGTATTGGCTGCTGCTCGGGAACTTTGCCCGTGGTCTTCCGCGGTATTTGACCATTTCAGTCATGTTTTGCGGTAGGTTCTGCTTCAAAAACCACCGAGAGTCCGGCATCCAACCGCGAATCGTCAAACTGCGGGCTTCAGCATCGAACAGCCCATCATCGACGGCAGGCCAGGTGCCACTCTCACCCGCGATTACATTGGTTTCGGTGAACCTGGGGATGTAGTCATCGGCCACAGCGGGCTCAGCTGGCGCTTCCGGGTAAGTGGGATCGGGGGCCAACTCCTCGGGTGGCAGTAGTGCGCGCCTGACGTCTTCTGGCACATCCTGTCCCAAGTACGTGTTTGGTTTGAGAAAGACGAGAGGAGTAGCGAAAACGCCCATTCCTGGAGAGAGGGAACGGCCCATCCCACTGGACGCCCCCTCACTTCCATCCATGAAGAAGCGGAATATATCTTTGCGACGGGTACTGTCCACGCCGTCGTCCTCGGCGTGGGCAATTTGATTCTTTGTGACCATTCTCCTTTTGCGTTTCCGCGGAGTCTGACCTTCAAGGGGGGTAGGAGGCCGTTCATTTGCGGCCTTGTTGGCGTAGAAAGGCGCATCGAGCACCTCGATTCCCTGGACGAGTTTTCTTCTGCTAGAAAAGACAGGTTGGGCGGTTTTGTTGTCCTCCTCAGGCAGTCCATTCTTGGGAGTGAATGCAGGCGGTGTGTAGGGTTTTGGATGCGCTGCTATAATTTCCGCTTTCATGGCTACACCTGCTGGAGATCCTGGCTCAACCCCGGGGGTTCTCATAAGCTGGTAATTCGCCATCCTTCCTTTGTGATCTTTGAACGCATGCGTACTAACAACGACCTCTTTCCTCTTGGCTAGTCTGGCCAACGCATCCTTGTAGCTCTGATGAGCCGGCGTAGGCTCAGCTGGAAATGCGACTTCCCATGTGGCAAGCACAGCATACCAGACAGAACGGCCGCCAGGGAAAACACCGCTGTTCGCACGAAGTATGTGCGTAAGAATTCTCTCCATAAGGTCGGAGTCAGTCCCATTGGCGTTGATGCTAGCGCGCACTGCGTCCGCTTGGGATATCGCAGAAGTGTTCATGATTGATAGCTCTGAGGGCCCCATGCCTGCCTGTTCACTGAATCTCCAGACTGAAGAACTTTGATCGGCGCATTGATATCCAGCGGTCGACGTGGACGGCGAAGGCTCATCAGTATAAGCAGTTGCCGTACACGACTTGCCACGGCGATATGTCGAGTTGGCCTTTGGTGTCTCGTCGGGGCGTGAGCGCTTGAAAGATGGCTGAACAGGAGCATGCTCTGCGGGCATATCTCTGACGCTACCAGCTACATCATCGATCAGACCGCTTACGGAGGTTTTGATGGCGGAGATTGGCGGCCGAAGAGTGGACGGCTTTGAGGGCTGGCGTTGGCCACTGCTTCGATTTCTGGCTCCGAATCTTGCCTCTGAGGCTGGGTGAGACCATCTTTGCCGCGAACCCCTCATGCTTCTGCCCCTAGAAGGAGTGCTGCGATTAGGAACCAAAGCGCTCGCGCTGCCTGAACCGTCATGGTCATCCCCATCTTCCGGGTCAAAGTTGGCGTCCTCTGGATCATCATCATCAGGAGGTGCTCGAAGCCTCGTCGTATGATCTGCTCGTCCCACAGCAGGTGCGCTTTCTTCACGGGATCTGCTATTGCGCGCTGTCGCGCTTGTTTTGGACGGGAGGGATAGTCTGTCTACCAACTCCGGAGGTGCGGTTGGTGGAGGAACATAGTTCGGGTTACAGGTTGTCCGTGACTTCTCGACATGGTATTTGAGTCCAATGTCGTTCTTCCATGTTCCACCGCACTGGTCGCATTTGAAAACGCGGTCGTTATCGCGCCCTTTCTTTTGCGTCCCTTTTCTCTTTCCTCGTCGTCCGCCACGTCTTGCCGGAGAACCCTCGGCCACAGCCTCGTCCAATAGCTGCAAGGAATTCACCTCCAGAGTGCCTTCAGGGGCTATGTGAGCCACGATGGCAGACTTCTCGTTATCCGCGACAACGGCCCGCTCCTGATCGGGAGGCCTGTTGTCGACGGAATCTGTGTTTATTTCGAGTACTTTACCCGACGGGCTGTCGGTGCTACCTTGGTTCGTCGCGGTGCCTCCGGTTTTTTCTGCTTGTGCGCGCATGATACTGGATAACGCATCGGGGTTGACTTTGAGTGTAACCAGCAACGAAGTGCGCTCCACCTCGGCTTGTGGTCGCCCTCTTGTGCCTCGACGGGTAGACATTCTGGTCAATGGTGTAGGGGTTGCATCAATGATAGATGCTGGCGAAAAGCCGTCTTCATCTGGACTCTCGTTGTACGTTGGAACAGCCGCTCTTGCCCGTTTCCCTCGACGAGGTTGGCCAGCCCGCGGGAAGTCCAGGGCTTCAGCCTTTCGCTTCAGAGTGCCGGTGTTCATTCCCTTGCCAGGGCCTTGAGCGAGTGCTGTGAAGCCCCCAGCAGCGCCAGCAGTCCCTGGTAGGGTGGAGGGATTTGGGAAGACGCGACTCAAATCATCAGTGATTTCCTCCGTCACAACCTGGTTGTTGTCGGCTTCTGCCTTGTTTTCATTTTGGCCAGCTGGGATTGGTCGCAGGTTCTGTGCATCCTGGGACGCAAAATACCGATACTGCTGTGATTTTCCCTTGCGATGCATTTCGCTCAGAACTTGGAAGTGGCCAGTATGTGCCGGCTGCAACGTGGAAATGGCCAAGGTCGACGAGATGGAGGAGAGGTATCTCCTGAATGATGGGCCTAGCGTAGAGTCGCCTATTTGCTTATTTGAGAGACCTGCGGCACCTGCAGCAAATATATTGTCAAAGACAGAGACGGTCAAGGGCTTGTCGGGAAACCAATTGGAAACGCGTTTTTGGTTGGAAGTACGTCGGGAGGTGGATCTTGGATTCGCGGCAGCATCTGCAACCTCATCCGATTGACCTAGTCCGTCAGCGGCGAATAGCTCCGCGTCTCCAATATCGCTGGAAAAGAATGTCGAGCTCTTTTGCTTTCCCGTGGCCAAATAGGCAGCCCAGTCCTCATGGGTGAGATCGTGGCTGAACTTGAGGCAATCCTTGAACAGCCTTCCTGACAATGTTGCTCCCACGTATTGGATGGCGCCGGTTTGTACGAAGAAGCGACAAGTCTTTGCTGCCACCTTCATCTGCCACCTGAGACCCAAAATTCCGAGCTTGCATCGTAGATCATGGTATCTAATGATCCGGTAGGCCTTCACGACCGCCATTATTGTTTGAGCCAAGGAAATGTAATCGACCGAGTCCCCTGTCCACCTGCCACGCCACGCCACGGGTTCGAGATCGCTGGCGAGAGCCTCTCGTGACATGTCAACATCGCTAGGCATACCGGCAGCCGCTTTCGTAGGGTCCGTCGGGAGTGTCGGGGCAAAGTGTGTCAGCCACATTTTACTCGTTTTTGTGCCTCTGACGAGAGTCGTGCGCTTCGAGATGTAGCCTTTCGACGCGAGGGCGTCGGTCCTCTTGGGTAAGGAGCGTTTGTCCTGACCGACGAGCCGGCCTAGATCGCCCTGCAGGATTCCCTGGTGTTTCGTCGACGCAATTCCCACCAATGCCATCCATTCCAGCCTGGGGACTCTCCTGTAATCAGGCGCATGTCCGGCGATAGACTCCCACATACGATCCTCGGACACGTAAATGCGAGGCCGTTTGCGAGGAAGGTCCTTTCGCGGGGCGGCTTGGTTCTGCTCCTTCGACTGGAGTTCATCGACAGCTTCGGCTCTGGTGTGAGCTCCCGCCGCCTGGAACGGAGCCGGCGCATTTTGAGAGTCCAGGTCTGGAATGATGAGAATATCCGATAAAGATAGGTGGTTCCATTTACGGTTCGCCCCGACAGAAATGTCCTTCCTCGCCTTGAGCCATTCCCACGCAGTGGACCACAAGAGCTGGTTGGTTTTCGTAGGAGACGAGTAAGGTGCGAACGCGGATTCATTGGTCTTCAGCTCGGCGTCCTCGTAAAAAGCGCTGAGCGATTCCAGGACGTGGGAGACCGTGCATCCTATCGACTCGTTAATAAGTGAAGCCGAATCAAGGTTTTTCTCTCATCACTAGGGAATTCTTCAGGCTGACCCGTTTGCGAACATGACCCCAAAAACGAGAAAAAGACAACGCCCTTCTATCTTGGATGAGCAGCGAATGTGGGTGGTGTGCAAACACATGGCTCTCCCGTGGAGCAGGTAAGATCTACTCACCTAGGTCGCCGTAGCAAGATATGTCAGTGATGAGTGACTCGATCAGTCGCTCGAGGTCGCGAGACATGGTGAAGAAGAGCCGTAGCGTTTTAGCATTCTTGGGAGAATTGACAATGTTGGAAAACTTGATGAGATATTGAGATGGCAGGTCGACAATGGAAAATCGAACTCGACTCCTCGACTGACTGGACCAAATTTTTGGCGTCGTTCAAGCAAAGAAGGCCTGAAGCAGATCAGGACCCCGCCGAGGTGGAACTGGCGCGTCGAAGTCCCACACAGGCTCGTAGGTACCTTACACTGACCACCTCAGTGGAGGGCCATTTTCCCCCAGGTTGGGTGGAATTGCGGCCGGTGTTACCTAGGTACCTTGGGTAGTTAGGTAAGGTGTGTTTGTGTCACGTGAGAACTTGCCATCTCCGCACCCGAACCCGACCTTAGGCGTGGACAGGACAAGTGAGGTCCACGGGTGCCCGCGTTTGGCCGGAAAAACAGACCCACCCCGAACAACTCCCGTCTCAATGGAACCACGAACCGGCGTAATCACCAAACCTCAATGACGCCTCGGCCAAAGAACCAGGCTCTAGTAGGTCTTCGCTTAAACCACAGGGTTACAGAATGATTGTAGAAAGTTCTCCCCGCTTACCATCGCCGTTGTTATGGGTCAATTGCTCACTCAAAGAGAAGTTCCGAGTGGCAAGCGTGAATCACATACTGGTGGCAGTGTCTAGTCATACTTTTGTACACGGAGATGGCAAACACCAAGTAGGGGTGTCGCGCAGAGAGTCATATTTAGGTGCCTGGATAGCGCCAAACGATTTCCAATAATAACAAGCCCTCGGGGTAACTTTCTTACGAAGAGTGAGCAGATTGGCGAGCTAATTTCTCCTCTCTCTTCCTTCTGTAAGTTGACACAAACTCATCTCGAACTTGCTGAAGCTCCTCCCGCTGCCGCAGACTCCCCGCTGACTTGGGCACGTTGGAAACGTCCACGGAGGCGCCGTCCACCAACAATTTTGCTCTGCCAGCTTTGGGAAGTTCTGGCGGTGCCTGGGCAACATCGTGCAGGCCCACTTTAACCTCGCCGCGCTTCTTCTTCAGGATCGCCCATGGGTCTTCTTCGCGATCTACTCCCCTGCCCTTCTTCCCCTTCTTCTTCTTCTTCGCGCCCTGGCCGGGCTCGATCATAGACGCCCTCGTTATGCCGAATGATCCAAAGGTTCCTCCGTTGATCTCCTCGTCAAGCTCGCGCTCAGCAGCTTCCTCGGCCTCATCTTCCCTTTTCTCCTGGATTTTGCGTTCCTCTTCCCGCCATTGATCGTACAGCTTGTGCATCTTGCGCTCCTTGCGTGTCCTGTAGGCTTTGAGGCCAGCGGGGTCCTTTCCGTCCTTTGCAGTCTTGTTGACCAGGCCAGACAAGGGTAAGGCCGCGTCGACGCGAGCGGCGAAGTCGGACATCCTCTCCCCAGGACGAATTGTTGGCATATCAGTCTCGGGTTCCTGCGCAGTCGATCCCTCCGTCTTCTCCGCCTTATTCTTCTTCTTCTTCTGCTGCTGCTTCGTCGGCTGACCGTCGTCCAAGCCTGAACGAAGCTTCTTGCCCTGAGAGAACGCCATCAGACGCTTGAACGCACGCGGCGTATCATCGCTCTTGTTCTTCCTCTTTTTGGAAACACCTTCGTTTTGTGTTTTGGGGTTCGCTGATGGCTGCTGCGCATTTCGGCCCTTGTTGACGGGTAGTGACCTTGCGATCTGGCTGGGTGGCAGGTCGAATCTGCCGAGGCCTTGTCAGTAACGTGCGTGGGAATATCGAGTCGAGTCAGTGATGGTGAGCGACGTACGACGACGGGTCGTGCTCCCGTCTGGTGTGTTTGTGGGGCATGATGAGTGATGTTACTCGTTGGCGAGGCTGTCGACAAGTGTGAATTCGTTACCAACTTGTCCGAAGACGCTGCGGACGGGCAACAGGAAGTCACGTTGAAAATTTTGGATTAGGTCAGCAAGGAATCGACAGAGAAAGCTTATCCGATAAGGTGGCAGGCACACAGGTACCTGCCTAAGGTATCCATATTGGTGCAGAGTACGTATCCTGCCTGGGGAATGAAACTGGCTGAGGGCTCTGGGGCGCCTGGTAGGTATAGTGTTTTCTCCAGCATCATACGGGGCAGGGGTCCCCCCGGCAAAAATCCCAGGGTCGATCCACAACGAAGAGATCACACGCGGGATAGCACGCGCTGGCAGCTTGGCACCTGATGTTCCTCGGGGAGACGACAGCTCTCAGCTCTGCAGCAACATGCCTTCAATGAAGCGATTGACAAGCAGAAACTCTGTACGGTGATACAGTGATGGATGAGACGGAGACCATCGAGAAAGGCGACATAGAAGTACATGGCATCGGGCCAGGCTTGCCGGCTTCTCCAAGGTTTCGCTCCTCGGCGAATTCCTCATGTCCGCATTGGCAATAATCGTGGCCACACCTTACCCGTGATTGAAGCAAACACTGAAGTGCAAGGTAAGCGAGGGAGGGCATGGATGGTGGGAACCGGCAGATTACCCGCGGCATATCTGGGATTTGAAGAGAAGCTTGTTTTACGTAGCGAAGATGGACATGCGACAATGTGCGGCGGGATTGAAACAGTTGCAAATAGGTACTTAAGGGGCGATGTAGGTCAGGTCTTGTACCTTAGTACGAGGCAAGCAGAGGAAGTGGGGCACATGACGGTTTCCATGTGTTAGTCGGACGTTTGCTATCTGAGGCCGAGAGTGGCACAGCACGACTGGGAGAATGGGCAAAGTCAATTGAGACCATCTGAATATGTGACACGCAGCCATGTTTTCGGACGTGTCTCAGTGTCGACGCCTGACGAGAGGCATACGTATTCGTCCGTTCTCCCATATGGCCTTGGGGTGTGTCGCCCTGTCTGCCATTATTGAGTTTTTTGCAATGAGTAGCAAAGTACCTTACATAGGCCTGTTCGCCATGATCAGGTTCCATGTTGTTTCTTGTTTTCGCAATTGCGCAAGTCATGTTGTCGCCTGTTCTTGAGTTGAGGACCAGTCATGTCAAGCACACCTCAACGAGCTGTGAAGTGGTTGGACGGGTGCAGAGGGCATGCGTAGCGGTCACGGTCACGTAGCGAAAAAGAAAAGGACCTGGAGTGCTTAAAAGCAGGTGATGGTGAGGCCCGGATTTCATGTTAAGGTACCTAGGTTCAGTCCATCCATCCGGCTGGTTTATCCGCCTATCAGCTGCGCCACGTGCCTCAAGCAGCCCAGCATCTAAGTACCTTTCCCAGGCCAATCTACCTACTGTGGTAGGCTGAGGGAAGCAGACGGGAAAGGAAGGCGTGGGGAAATCGATATTTTATGGAGCTTGCAGCGTACCTACCCACCTCACCTACCCTACCTACCTACCTACCTTACCTAGGTACCTTAAGGAAGTCCCTGTGCCGGTAAGGTGTTTTTTTCATGGGACACTACTTACCTACCTTTACATTAAGGTACCTTAGGTAAGGTAAACACTGTGAACTCACCAAGGCGGGGCTGGAGGCTGGAGGCGGGGCTAGATAAGGTAGGTACCTAGAGCGGAAGAACGGGGGCCATCCAATGGACCGGAGGGGGTTGAGGCAATCCACATTCAGAGTCAGGGCAGGCACTGGCCACTTAGGAACGGCTACAAGTCAGTCAGGGCGCTACAACGAACGGGATTGGAGGACACGGAGTCGCGCAAGAAATACCTGCGGTACCTGAAGGTCGGGTCCCGCAGAATCACTGAGCACCTAGGCATATCGCAACGGGCCAGACCCTGATGGACTTTCTCATTCGCCATTTGACTCAAGTATTCCGACACGACACGGTGGGTTTGAGGGGGCATGCTTGCATGATGCCGCAGCCGAACAACCTTGGTCTGAATCGATCCGGCGTCTCTCAGGCACTGCTGTCGCTGTCGGGTCGCTGTCGGGTCGCTGTCGCTGTCGCTGTCGCTGTCCCCGGACAGCGAGAAAGCAGTGGAGACAGACGTCCGTCGCAGTGGACCTCAAATGCTAGGCCCCGTCCAAACCTACCTAGGTACCTTACAGAAACAGAAATACCGGGCCGCAGGAACAGTCAGCTCTTTCGGGTCCCGCGCCCCCCACCTTCGTTTCCTTAGGTACCTTAGGTAGGTACCTATCTACCTTATCCGTATTCACGCACAGAGATAGCAGCTACCTAGATACCTAGGTAAAAGTTACCTTAGTTTCCTGGTGTCTTTGGTAAGGTCAGGTCAGGTCAGGTAAGGCTGGTAGGTAGGTAATTGGATGTAATAAGGTTGTGATCGCAATAGGCACCTCTTATCTTCTCTCCCTGCCTTACCTTACCTAGGAACCTCACCTGCTTAGGCAGATACCTGGATCTTAGAGCCTGGCACCACAGAGACTTACCTATCTCGCCCTTGCCTCTCTGCCTCGTTGGAAGAGGGCCCTAAACAATAATTGGAAGCTCGAATGCGCCAACTGCTGAAGACACTGGACTGACCAAGGTAGCTACTATGTACGCCCTACTTACAGTGCCCCACAGTGGCTGTCGCAATTCACGAACCACCAACGTGGAAACGAACAAGTTTTGGAAGCCTTCAGCTTAAGATGCTTTTAGCCAGTGCTAGGGGGTGGTGCTCGGTTCTCGTTTCCTTCCATGGGAATGGAATGTGATGTGTACGTATTTAAGGTCAGGGGCATGGGCGTGGGCGTGGGCGTGGCCTTGGCCTCAGTATAGCACATCTTTACCCCTCGCCCTCCACGTCCGCCCCAGATGCAAGTCCCTAAAATGTAATGTGTGCCATTCCCATCATGGATTGATTGCCATTGCCATACCCATGTCCACTCCTCCCTCGTGCAAGCCCTCGTTCTCACCAACTGCTAGCCAGTTCGCGCCACTAGACGCCGTCCCGCACCTTACTGCATCGACACATACCTATACCATGCACATGCTCGCCTAGCTCTCTGGCCTTCCGGCCCTCCTCAGCTCCAGACTCCAGGCAGTCCCAAAGTCTGTTCTCGCCCCGTCCATTCTGATCGTCCACTAGGTAGGTAGGCTAGGTAGGTAGCTCGGATCCGCTTGCCTTTTTGTCATTTATAATTCGTCCCCCCGTCCTGCCCTACGTTGTCGTTCCCTGCTGCATTTGCTTGTCTCAACCTCCAAAGAACGCACACATGTCACGTAGTCTTACCTGACCTTGCTGTCATCTACGCACACGGCTGCCATTGTCACTGCTACCACCCAGGCTAGGCCAAACCAATCCAGACTTGGCTATATTTGGTGTGTCTCTCTGCCTCTCTCGACTATCTTTCCCCGGCAGTGTCACTGCAACCGTCTGTGTCTCTTGGCCCTCGGTCTTAGTTGCCGCCTCTTTGTTCATCCTTTCGGCCAAGATATATTTTGTCTAAATCCTCCAAAGAAAAAAAAAACCCTTGGCCCGCAATCCGATTTGGACGCGAATGCGGCTTTCCTAGTCTCGCAGGCTTCGAAAAGAAACATCAACTCTTGATCACTTACACGGCATGCTCCGCTGACCAGTGCTTGTGGACGTAACCACCGAGACAGTCGTCATCGGGAACCTCGATACGACTTGCGGTCACTTGGGAGAGGTTTCTGGAGGCCCCGCCATACCTCCACGGGCTTTTAAACCCGTCTACGCCCAAACGTTTTGTGCCAACAAGCAAGCAGGAGCCGCCAACATGTCGTCGCCAACAAATACAAGTTTCGACGCTGTGCGTGATCGTTTGCGCCAACTATGGTCCAGAAACACCGCGACAATATCGCGTTACAGGGACTCGCCGGACGATGAGGAGACAAACGACAGAGACGTCCAAGTCCCGCCTACTCCAGCCGAGAGCTACACTTCCGAGGACCAGTTACTTACACCTGCCTATATGACGCCCAAACCATGGACTCGGAAACGTTCCTTTTTCATGTGTGGTGCCGTTTGGCTGGCTTTGCTGTAAGTCATGCGATCTCGCTTCCAGTCACTCCACAAGGCTGATCTTGACCGACTGTAGCCTCATCTTCGTTCTTTTGAATCTAGTTTTGTTTGTTGCACGCGAGGTATGGGACAACGTCTCTGAAGAGTTCCAAGACGCGAGCGTGATCGTGCCCATTCCATGCCACTCACACAACGATTACTGGAGGCGACGACCCGTATATTCCGCTTTCGATGTAGGCTGCATCGGGATTGAGGCAGATGTCTGGCTCTACGGTACCGAGCTGTTCGTCGGACACGATCGGTGGTCGCTTCGGGAGAAGAATACTTTCAGCAGCCTCTACGTCAGTCCGCTCGTACGCCTATTGGAGGAACGCAATTCGGGTTTCGGGAACACAACAGACCGGCCTCGCGGCATTTACGACGCAAATCCCGATCAGACGGTTATTCTGCTCGTGGACCTCAAGACCAAAGGCACTGAGACGTGGCCGCAGGTGGTAAGGCAATTGGAGCCTTTACGTGAAAGAGGCTGGCTGAGCACTGTCATTGACGGCAAGGTCAACTATGGCCCCGTCACTGTCGTGGGTACTGGCAACACTCCATTCGGTATGGTCGTCCAGAACACGACCTACAGAGATTATTTCTTCGACGCACCGCTCACGGAACTTGATACCCAAGATTTCAATCCGACAAATTCATATTACACCAGCGTGTCCTTCAAAAAGGCGGTTGGTATCGTGTGGTTTGGCGAGCTCAACAACGACCAGATGGGGAAGCTGAGGGAACAAATCAAGGAAGCTCACGCCCGCGGCTTAAAGGTGCGATACTGGGATCTGCCTGCATGGCCAATCAGCATCAGAAACCACATTTGGGACGTTCTCATTCGAGAAGGTGTGGACATTCTCAATGTCGACGACCTTAAGGGCGCCAGAAAGCAGTGGGACATCAAGGGTTGGCCTTCGCTAGGCGCCAACTCCACGACAGCAGCTTAAGCAGTTGCGGCAATTCATCATACGATTCCCCCCCTGGCCCTCGGATACTCACTCGTAGAGTTCAGATGTGTCTTGGGAACGATTTCTTCTTCAGAATGTCACCGTTCTGCCGCAGTGTTGCCGATAACGGCTTCTCGGGGAAATTGAGGCATCCTGTGAGAGCCTTGTGGAGTGGACTTCGAGTTTTCTGAGACGATCTCTAGAACATCGTGACGCTCTCGAATTGCTTCGGACGCACCACGTTTTCGAGGCCGGCTAGCTTGGCTGAGTGGAAACAATTTTCCATGCGGCTGGCGTCTTGTCTACACATATCGCCCAGAACTTACCAAAGACCACCGATCAAGCAAGCCCATGATATCTGCACCATGTCCGATCACAACTTTGGAGGTGTGCAGCAAGCAATGGCTGCAGCCGGTGTTCCACAGTCTCGATATCAACTGATGAGTACATCCAGCGAGAGATTTGGTGGATTCCCAAAAATGAAAAAAATGGCAAGGCCCTCATTACACCGCCCGTCGTGTAGAGCCGAAGTTGCCTGCTACCGATGCGAGGCTAAGTGCGATGGCTTCTACTCGGATGAAGGCGAGGCAACCCGGGCCAGTTGCTCCGGGACTGCCGAGTCGGACCCGAGCCAAGACGCCTTGGTCTCGACGCCGGCAGCACAATCGAAAAACCCCAAAGTACGTAGACATGAAAAGAATGAAAAGAATTAGTCATCGTGTCCATCGGCTTTTGAGTGACCGTTTCGTAGAATGAATTTCTGATATCCGCAGCAGCATCGAATGACGCCGAAAAGCCGTGTTTTCTCCGGCGGGGTGGACTCGGCAACGACCAAATAAGAGAACGATCCAAACTGATGTTTCTCTTAGCTCACGACCCCGCATCGCCCCTGGACGATCTGGATAGATGACGTCCAAAACGACAGAATATCCGCATACCCGGCAGTTGGTGCTTTTAAAAGGGTTGGTCGAGTCACCGGCATTCTGGCGTCAACTTTCTCCCAGACCCTCTCACCACATGGAAGATTAAGACGAACTGCTTACGCCGGATCAAGCAATCGCCCCTGGGTATTTGAACAGCAGTTACTTACACATCATCCACAATCATAATCGTAGACATGTCTGGACAGCTCGCCACCCTCGACGTAAGTTGCAGAGAAACAGTTCCAGTTAACAGACCCAGGAACAGCGTCGTTGCTTGTACACGCTTCGGCTAACCAGCAGGACAGACATCTATGGCTGATCGCCTGCCTGCTCACTCTAGAGTGCTTTTCGAGGCGAAGACAAACAAGGGCATCAACTTCGAGTCCATCGCCCAGCATCTGGGTCGCAGCGAGGTAGCCGTGGCCGGCATCTTCTATGGCCAGGTACAGGCCTCCAACGAGGACGTTGATAAGCTATCCGAGCTTCTCGGCATCGATCGCGACACACTGAGCTCCCTCACCAACTTCCCCGATCGCGGCCGCGCCGGGCCCATGCCCCCCGTCGAACCCCTCATCTACCGCCTGTATGAGATTGTCCAAAACTACGGCTATGCCTACAAGGCCATCCTCAATGAGAAGTTCGGCGACGGCATCATGAGCGCCATCTGCTTCAACACCAAGGTCGAGAAGGAAATTGACGAGGCCGGGGCACCGTGGGTTGTTATTACCCTGAAGGGAAAGTGGTGAGTACTAAACACGCTGATCTCGCCGTTCTTCTTTTCCCCATTTTTGGACCTCTGTCGGGTCACGGCTAAGAATGTTTCGAGCTGACACGGTGAAGGCTCCCATTTACTCGATTCTAAGCAAGGGACTCGTGTTTCCTGCCGAGGTCGGCCAGGTCACCTGTGCAACAGCCTAGCCATCGACTGCTGGCCATTGATGGCCGGATCTGGAAGCGTGGAGTTATCGGTTGAGGTTGCGGAACAGTATATGCCAGCTCCGAAAAGACTTCAAGTTGCATTGCCGTATCACCCAAGGCCCTTTCGAGTTGGGAAAGCTGCCGGGGAAGATCCTGCATCTGGATTCGATGTTTGACGGGGCATAGCGCAGAAGCGAAGAAATCATACAAAGAAGTGCCATTTCCACCTCCCCTTAACGCACCACCGATCAAAAGCAACCCTGTACTTGATCATTTGTGGGCTCGACTTCGTGGCCAAGAGTTACTTCACCAGACATACGGAAATCACCAACTAATCAAGCCGCCAAATGAGCCACAAATTTTACCAAAACGTTTCTAAGGGGGTAGACTGGTCGCAACAAGAAGTACGAAGTTCAAGCTCCAAAGAGGAACCCCAGACTTCGAAATCAAAGAGTAACGATTGGTTCAAAGAAGGTGTTCCTGCACAAGTCCGAAGCAATGGATTTCTTTAATCGTCTACCCCTACATCTGCCCTCAGTGGCCGTCACAACTTCTTCAAGGATCGAATTGCTGGCGAAAACCGAACAATAGAGATGACCTGGGACAGGCTTCAAGAACCACAACGGACTTTGGCGCCGATTAATATTCCCTCCGAAAGAACATGTCCCGCACATCAGCCCTTACTTCAGCCTGCGCAACAGGGGCATCGCAAAGGGCAGTTCATTACATCAATCATCATGTTCTCAGTGGGACTCGAGGGTTCTGTACACTGTTCTGTTCAGAGTGTATAAGAAGGACGACGATTTCCGACGAAACCTGAACCACTCTCGTTTGCGTTTCATCGGCACTGTCATCATAGCAACTAAATATTCATCAAAAAATCCAAACAATCACACGGTCCAGTGAGCAAACAGAATATCGACGCCCATCGACAACAAAATGAAGCGCTTCCCGGATATCATCAACGTCGACACCATCACGGACCCTGGCACAACGACGCAAAGCAATGTTGGAAACGCGTATGGCAACTCTACCGCCACGATTGGCGGCTGCCTCGTCATGTAGACCGAAGGAGAGCGCATCGGCAGTCTTCTTTTCACCTTTGCCATGGCCACGGTGAAACGCATTCCTCAAACAGGCAAGGAAAACGAAATCCCGCTAAAGAGAAATCGAAAGCTTAGTTGACCCTGCGAGACGGTATTGTTCTCGATGGCATCTGAGCCAAGACATCTTGCTAAAGAGTTGGACGATATCTAGCTGGGTCTAGAATTTCGGGAGAATGTTCTCTTCTTGTCATATATCTTCACTAAACCGTGTCAACAACACAAAGGTGGCTACTCTTCATTCTCAATCGGCAGCCTTCAACTGTCAATCCCGAGCTTGTTGGGGCATAACGGGGTATTCTTCTGGCAATACGACCGTGTCCCATATTCACTTTAGTGCCTTTGGGGGCCCTGAATTTTCAGCAAAACGCATGGTAATGCTCATGATGCCATGTCAGCCGATTTTAGATATTGAAAGACCCCAATACATCATTCTTCGTACTATAGATATTGTGTTCCTTCCTTACATCGAACGCCATTAATGCAAAGCACACAACCAAGAGCAGGTAGATACGTAGGTAGGTAAGGTAGCTGAAGTTGAAAAAACATCTGCATATACTGACGAGTAAAGAAGGGACATACAACACCAGGCATTCGCCGGTCGTCACCAATCCGACTACTACTACAGCCTTTACTGGCGTATTCATGGGAGAGCGGACGGGATCCCAAGCTTTCCAGTAGGTACAGTCGTATGTGTCTCCCGGGGCCAGAAAAACTCATGTCGCTTTAGTGACAACGGAGTCTTTGCAGACGGCGAGACACAGGCCCTTCATTCTTAAGTTACCAAACTAAGGAGCCATCAGCCTCAGGTGCGGCTAGGTCTCAAGTGGCTCTACGTGAGCTTTTATTATCTATAATTTGAAGGGTAACTGACTGGTTCAAGCTGAGGTCAATAAATAGTAGTGGCGTTTAAGACGCTACCAGCAAGTTCGAGATGTGCCTGTCCGAGGAACTGCCTTCTGACCAATCATTGCTGACCAACCCCAGTCGCAGACATGGTCAGTAGCCCCACCGTCCAGCTCACCGCCCTGCCAAGTGGGTTATCGGCGCGGCAGAAATCTAAAAGTCTACGGGAAAAAAAAGTCGAGTTCCCACCTCCAAGTGCTCCTGTTGCCCGTCGAGCAAAAAAGTCAACCACCAAACGCGCAAACCACCTCACTGCCGTGCCATACCACGATTCAGTCGAGATGGTCACCAAGTCTAAGCTTAAGCTCGCCTTAGCGGCCGAGAAGGGCGTCGACTTCCAAAAGAAGAAGATGGACCGCAAGATCAAGTCCAAACACCGCGAGGCCGAGAAGGCAAAGGCGAAGAAGGCCAAGCTCACTGGAAAGGAGCCGAAGGCGGAGCTGGAGCTGGAGGAGGAGGAGGAGGAGGAGGAGGAAGAAGATGATGATGTTATTTCTCTGGAGGGTGGAATCACGTTGAACGCCGAGTTTGAGGATGCAGACTCGGACTCGGACGAGGAGGACGACGATGAGGACCAAGAGGACGCCAGAGTGAGCCTCGTATTCACTACGCGCAAGACCTCAAACCGAGTCGCTAACGTGTTTTATAGTTTGATATTGAGGCATTGGACGACACCGATAGCGAATCCGATTCGGAAGTCGAAATGGAAGAAAATATCGAGCGCCCAGCCAAGAAGCCCAAGACCAACAAGCAGACGCCAACAGAAGTCGAGGAGAAGGACGAGGATGAAGACGAAGACGAGGACGATGAGGATGAGGAAGAAGAGGACCCGGAGGAGGATGACATTCCTCTGTCCGACATTGAGGGAGACGCCGAGGACCTTGAAGACGTCGTCCCCCACACCAGACTCACAATCAACAACAAGGCCGCCCTCCTGGCCTCTCTGAACCGCATTCGCCTGGACACGTCATCCGCCGTTCCTTTCGCCACCCACCAGTCTCTTATCTCGTCCAAGCCCACAGCAGAGTCTGTTCCGGACGTTCAAGACGACCTCCAGCGCGAGCTTGCCATCCTCTCACAGGCCCTCGAGGGTGCGCGCAAGGGCCGCACCCTCCTGCTGAAGGAGGGCGTTCCGTTCTCGCGCCCCAGCGACTACTTCGCCGAGATGGCCAAGGACGACGGCCAGATGCAGAAGATTAAGGACAAGCTTATTGAGGAGGCGAGCAACAAGAAGGCCGCCGCCGAGGCGAGAAAGCTCAGAGACCTCAAGAAGTTCGGCAAGCAGGTCCAGGTTGCCAAGCTGCAGGAGCGTCAAAAGGCCAAGAAGGATACTCTTGAGAAGATCAAGACGCTAAAGAGGAGTAAGTTCATAACCAGTACATGCACTGATTCGACCGCATCGCTGACCACTCCTACTTGCAGAACGTCAAGAAGGCTCCGGCAATCTCGACACGCACGAGGGCGACCTCTTTGACGTCGCCGTCGACAACGAGCTCAAGGGCCACCGCAACTCGAAGACGGGCGGTCCCCGCGGCAGCGGCAGCGGCGTCAACGCTAAGCGGCAAAAGAAGAACGAAAAGTATGGTTTTGGCGGCAAGAAGCGCCACTCCAAATCGGGCGACGCCATGAGCTCCGGCGATCTCAGCGGTTTCAACGCAAAGCGCATGAAAGGCGGCGTCGCCAACGGCAGAGTGACCAAGACGCGGCCTGGAAAGAACAGGAGAAAGGCCATGAATAAATGAGGCCTGAGAAGTGTGTGGTGAAGAATGAGTCAACAGCTGGTGAGCTGAATGCGGGAGAAAATACCCCTCGGGACAGGCGGCTGCCAAGACGACAAGTTTTCTTTACTGTAGACATCTAATGGAGTTTGTCGGGTTGTCTTGCCGAGACCCGTGCCTCGTGTGCGTACGAATGAATTATCGTGTACGTTAGCCACTGTGCGTGAGTCGTCAGCCGTGAAGCTTACCGGACTCCGATGCCGCTGGCGCAGAACAGGCCTCCACATCATCGCGATCATGAGGCTGACAGCTACCGCTGCGTGAATACGACATTGGAATTCACTTCGTCATGACGGGAGAAAATTTGAAAGACCGTAAATCCTGACATTATAGTAGTAACTCTCATAATAATACGTACATCGTCCACCGCTGCTCGGAATGTGTCATCCTTGAGCCCTTGCCTTGATGTTCTTTAATGCCCGCCCATCCATGTTATCCAATTCCAAGCGACTGTACTAGCCCTGATTGGTATCGTTGCTATAGGTTTGGCGGAGGTGCGTTCCAGTAACAATCCAAAGAAGTTGTCGTGATGGACCTGTCCATAGTTCCTAATACAAGCAGCCAGGCAACGCCAATGTATTAATTCGGTAACCCAGAAAATCGTGAGCTCGTGGCGCTGGACCAGGTCAAATGTCGCCGCCGAAGCGTGTCCTCGCTCAATCAGAGACCCATCTCAAAAAAACGGGCCGAAATTCCGACAGCACCGAGGACGAAGGACGCCCATGCAGTGCCCAGGGGGTCTGTGAGAGCCACAAACTGATGCCGCAGCAGGGGCGACCCCGGCCGTACCAATATATGGCGCAGCACGTGAATAAGAATATATACACTGTAGAGTGTCGTGGAGTTGCCGTCTACTTTGTCTCTGGGCAGCAAGCGAGGTATGGAAAGAGGTTGATGATATAATGTCCTGGAGAGAGGGAAATGCCGGACCTTGAATATGCTGTTGAAAGACCAGTGGTATCGAGGGAAACGCCATGCCATTCGGAAAAAAAGCTGTGCTGTGCAATGCAGTGCCACCCGTGGGGGCGAAGGATCCGTAGTATAAACATTGCGCCAGGGAAGACGCGATTGGGTACAGTCGAACATGCCGCAGCGTCGTGTCACTGGGTCGCCGCCACGCACCAGTGCCGATGGAACGCCCACGCACTCTTCTGGCATTCCTTACTGCAGTACTTGGTGCGTCGGCAGCGACGGCACTTGGCAAACTGGCGGGTGAACTCTTCCCATTTGCCGCACTGGTAGTAGGCGCATTGTCGAATGCCTCCTCGAGTGTCATCCTTCCGGCACAAGTTCCTCATCACGACGCCAGCCCAGTACTGCATATCTGTACTGTGGTGTCGCACGGTGAATTTCTCCACAAGGGGGAATATGTTGAAGTCGTTGGGGAGTAGGTATTCCTCCTCCAATTCCTCCTCCTCGCCTTGGTCCGCTGCGACGTGGTCACCATCTAGACAGCGGAGCTCTTTGCCGATCTTGAGCCTGGGAACCAAGTGGCTCTTCTGAAAGTAGGACCGCAAACCGCAGTACTTGGACACGTATGCCAACAGCTGGAGGGACATCAAAACGTCTTCCTCGCGGGGCATCGCGGCAAGCACCTGGGCGTTGGGAACGAACTGCCTGTCGAGAAGGTATCGGGGAACGCTGGCATTGGGAATCGCTGGCTGAGGTGGCGTGACCATGGCAGGGCGATTCGGCGATAGGCCAATGGGAGGCACGGGGGCAGGAGTTGTAGCAGCGGCATTGCTAGTGTCGACAGGGCCACGGTGGGTGATGTTGAATGCGCCCGTATCCTGCGTCTCAGACACAGTAGGCGTGTTGAGATCCATGGTGGCAGATCCCGCGAGCATACTGTCGCCCTCCTCCATGGTGATGTCCTGAATGTTAACGGCTGATTGTATGTCGTTAACAGTGCCTGACATTTCCGCATCCGGGGACTCGTCCGAAGGAGCATCGTCGCCGACCAAATCATCGGAATCGACGGTGGAATTCTGGTGTCTGATAGAGGGGCGGCGACGGGATCGGCTTGTTGGTGCCAACATCGAGGTAGGTCGGACAGTAGGCGAACGCATTTGAGGGGGCGGGAGCGGAGTCGTGGGAGAAGACGGTTGCGAGGTCATGTTCGCATTGCCCAGGGACATCATCGACGCGAGGCGATCAACGTCACGTACGGGTCGGACGAAGCCATCGGCAGACTCGGCGGGAGGAACAGCGGGCGCGAGAGGCTGAACAACTTGACGAGATGGAGAGGCCACCGCGTGGCGGGCCTCGGCAGCCCGGTAATGGTGATGGTGGTGGTGATGATGATGGTGGTGACGGGGAGGCGGGAACGCAGGCCTTTCAGTAGATGCAGCCAGAGGATACTGAGGAGTTGGGGTCATTTCCGTGGTCTGCTGCTGGTCGGCGGCCGAGCCAGAGGACGAAGAGCCGGCATAGGTGGCGGAGACGTCGATGGAAGGGGGAGGCGCCTGTCGCCGGGAAGATCTCTGGTCAACCTCGACGCGACTGGATCTGTTGGTGAAGGATGGGGCCTTGTGGACGCTGCGGTGTTCGTGGTTCCTGTGGCGGTGGTGATGATCTTTGCTCTTGTCATCCGACTTGTCTCTGCATTTCTCGGTGACCTTGATGTAGTTATCAAGGATGGTAGCGATGACAGGGACCATGTCGGCTTCGACGACGCGTGTGCGGACATTTTCCGTGCCCCTGACGCCGATGTTGACGACGCACTGAAAGGCCAAGTTCCACTTCCACATGTCCATCATGTCCTTGCTGCGTCCGCGTTTCAGTATGCACACCAAACGCTCGATGCCGCCATCAACAGTGAGGATGTCGCGGATGCGGGCAGATGAGGTGGTGAGGTAGGCGAGATGGTTGAGAGAGTTGATGAGAGGAAGAGTGGACGTGCAGTCGAGGGCTCGTCGGTCATAGAGGGCAGTGGTGATGCCGACCGACGCCTTGTTGACGTTGGCAATGCTGAAGTTGACTTCTCTCATCTTGGATGGCGGTCAAGACGGGTTGGGTAATCGAAGCAGAAGTCGGTTGGGGCCAGGCAGTGCAGCCGTGGGAGGATACGAGAGTGGAATATCCCTTCCAGCTTGGATGGCCCCTTTGTCGGGGATGATGGAGATGATGTTGTGTCGGACTCGACGTGTCGAGGATGTGCACCTGATGCGTACGTGCGGATGGGGCAAGATGACAAGAGGGAGAGGGGAGAAGAGTCGAGGATATGCAGGAGGGTTGCTCGGCGGTGGCGATATTGTATGGAGAGTTGGGTTGGATTGGATCGGATCGTGCGTGAGCGGACTCGTCTCGATTCGAAGCTAGTTTCGTACCGCGCGAGGGGTTGGGTGCGTAGGTAGCCAGGAAAGCTGCGAGACTCTTGATTGCGTTCGTAGAGGAGGAAGTCGGTTGATGTTTCGTTGGAAAGACGGAAGGAGAGATGCGAGAGTTGATGGTTGTCGTATGGAGAATGTTTTTTTTCTTCCTTCTTGTTCGCCTTCCTTCCTCGGGAGCGGGTGGTGTTGTAGAAGGGGAAGGGAAAGCAAAGGCAAGAATGGTGGAGGGTGATGGAATGGTTTGGTTGTGTTTCAGGACCGATACCCGGAAGCGTGACTCGGAGTGTGGTGAAATGGCAACAGCGTCAGCCAGATCCGAGTTGAGAGACAATGCAGATGGAAACAGGCGCCGCGCCGTTGAAAAGGTACGCAACCGATCTGGCACGCAAGGACAGTGCGACAAGGCAAACGGGCTGGACGTAGGCGCACTGAGGTAAGTGCGGACGTGAAAGAAGGATGCGAGGTCAAGAGAGGGTGGGCAAGAAGAAAATGATGAGGAGGTTGGGAGAAAGGAGGAGGAGAAGTTCGGGGAGGAGAAAGCAGCAGCAGCAGCAGCAGCAGCAGCGGACGATGAAGATGGATGTACTCGCACGTACGCGAGATTTGTGCAGTCCAGTGAGATTAGTGGCAGTGGGCAGCCTGAAGCAGCGATGATGGGTTGGTTGGTGGGCAAATGGAAGCACTCCAGCCCAGGTGGACTCGCAGCGGCCAGCCCTGCCTGAGGTGCGCTCCGCTGTCTAAGGTACCTTACCCGACCTCTAGAGTTATCAAACAGCCTCCCATGTGTGTATCACACGAGACTGAGGTGCCTACCTGTACCTTACCTACCTAGGTGCCTAAGGTACCTACCTACCTCAAGTACCTAGGTAAGGTAGGGACAACACATCAGTGTAACAGCCTCCCCGAGCCAGGAAGGCGGGCTGGGACAAACACTAACAGCGGCGGGAAACGGCACGACGAGGAGCGGGACAGACAGGCACCCAAAGTAATTACCAAGTTATCTTAGTACCTAGGTTAAGGTAGGTACTGCGTAAAAAACAACAAGGCGCCATGGACTTTTTTTTATCAAAAAAAAAATAAAAAAAATAAAAACTTGCAACACGCAACTCTTTCCATGACCTAAGTCATTCCATGCCCGCCCGGTCGGAGGCAAGGTTAATAGGCGGGCAATCAAGTCCACCTCACGATTGTCCACCTACCTTACCTAGGCAGTGTTTTTAATAGAGGCTATAGGTCTAGGTAAATGCACATACCTAGAATACTAATTATATATACCAACCCACTACGCCTAGATCGGGCTAATAGGAGGCTAGGGATCTAAGTATTTAATAATTTACTAACTTAGTATAAAATGTTATTTTTAGCTACTTTAGCTAGTATTAAAATAAGTATTATTTTTAGGCTAAATTACTTAAATTTAATATCTTTTTAATAATTATAAATAATTTAATTATTTAGTATCTAATTAATCTAGCGCTAGCCTTAGCCTCTACCCTAGCCTAGCGCTATAGAATTATATTAAATAACCTATAATTTATCCTCTAATAATAATAGTAAGTTAGTATAATATTATCTCTATTAAATAGGCCTATTAATAGCCCTATTAGCCTAGCGCTAAGCCTATATCTCTAGTAGTAACGTTAGAAGTAGTTACTCCTCTACTAAGGGCTTTAGTATTACTACTACTACTACTAGCTATATATTAAAGCTATTTAGAGCCTCCCTCTTAGTAATATACTATAGAAAGGTCTTAAATTAATCTATATAATTATAAACCTTATAGAGACTTAACTATAAGGTAAGTTAACCACTACTATATATAGCCCTATATAGCCTACTTTAACCCCTACCTTATATAGGTAGTAGAGGTAGTACCTTATTATAAGAGGGCTTATATTAAGTATTATTAACTTATTATTATATTTAGCTAACTTAATAGTAGAGTTTATATTAGGTTTAATAGAGGGCTTTTTATATATAGGCTAATATATAGTAAGGGATAGTAATAGAGTTATATTTATTAAAAAGGGGTTATTTATCTATAAATATTAACTTTTATAGTTAGTATAGTATTAAAAAGATAAAAATAAATATATTTAGTCTATATTAATATACTAATAATAATTATAGTCTTAAACTTTAATAATATTATTATTTTAGATCTACTAATATATTATATAGTAGTATAGAAAGCTATACTACTAAGTAAAAGACTTAATATAAAGAGGTAGAGGCTTAGCCCTATTAATAAGACTATTAATAGTATATTAATATTACTAATAGATAAAATTAAAGGCTTTAAACCTAATATTATACTATAACTACTTAAGAGTAAGCTTATTATATTTAGTATTATAATAAATAGCCTAATTAGTAAGAGCATTATAGTACTTATAGAGGGTAGCTCTTTTTATATCTAAGATCTTCTTATATAGCCTAGAGAGGCTAATAAGTATATAGTAAAGCTATCTTTTAAAGAGGGTATAAATACCTTCTATTTGTAATATAACTTAGATACTAAAGTTATAATACTAATAGATTATATACTTAATAAACTCTTTAAGAAAGATAAAATAGGTATTTTAAATATATATAATAATTATATATTAATTAGGGAACTCCTTCTTTAATAATATAAAAGTAGCTTAAAAGTTAGCCTCTATTATTATATAAATATATTATAACTATACCTTATTAATACTATTATATAAATTAAAATAAATTTATTATATAGCTAAAGATAGTATTAATAGGGGATTTAGCTATTATAAAGTCTAAATAGGTATTTAGTAAGCTTAACCCTATAAAAAGTTAGTATTAATTAGGTATAGATTTTAAAAGATAGAAGTATATATTAAATTAGCTAATTAGTCTTTAGCTATTAAAATAATATAATTAAAATTAAGATCTTATTTATCTTAAAGTACCTTATTACCTATATCTTCTTTAATATTTAAGCTATACTATTTAATTTATATATAATAAGTAATATTCTTTATAATATACTATATATAGAGCTATTATTAAATATTAAAGTAAATACTATATATAGCGTTCTTAAACGCCGTATTAAGATTACTAATAATAATATAAAGTTAATAAATATTATAAGTAGTTACCTAGCTATATAGAATAATAAGAGGCTATTTATATAACTCTTTATCCTCTATTAATATAAAGGTAAAAGCTATATTAAATATAGTATAGAGAGTAATAGTAATAATAATTTAAAGTAGTAATATATTAAATTTATTTATCTTATATATATTATCTATTAATAGTATATTAGGGTGCTATTTATATAAATTAAATAGTTATAATAAGCCTAAATAATATAGTTAATTTAATTATTAATATTATAACTAACTTTATATTTAATATTATTAGTAATAGTAATATCTTAAAGAAGCTTAAGGTATATCCAAAAGTAGCTATATAGGCTATACTTTTACTTATAGAGCGTACTTTATATATTTTAGACGTCTTAGATTATATAGTAGGTATTACTATCTTTATTATTAAAGGAGAGGTTACTAACTAGGTTAATAACCTATTAATTACCTATAATAGAGGTATATATCTATACCACTATTATATTAGCCTCCTATAATAATAACTCTATATATTATATAATCTCTAGGTATACCTTATATTAACTTTAATAGTAGTTTAAGTAGGTAGTTTAGCTCTATAACCTTAAGTAGTTATAATATAGATAAGTAATTATAAGTTACTAATAGCTTTCTATCTACTTATAGATAATTTTAGCTCTCTATAAGTAGTTATACTTATATATATAGCTAGTATACTTCTAAGTAATATTTAGGCGCTATTATCTATTACTATAATTATAAATAAAGTTATAGTAGTAGATATTACCTCTAGAGTTATAAACGCTATACTTATAAACTCTATAAGTATATAAGATTATATAGAAAAAGCCCCCTTTAATTATAATATTAGATAATTAATAAAAATAGAGCTCCATAGCGTTATTAATATATATAAATAGCTTATTTATAGGCTCTATTATAGTAGTAATAAATTTAGTAATAAATTTAGTAGTAGTAATAAATAAATTAAGTAAATTAATTAACTATATAAAGTATATAAATTATAAAAAAAGGCTAGCTTATTAATAAGAATTTTCTTATTACTTATTAAATAGTAGCCTCCTATTAGCTAGATTATGTTTTAGTGGGTTAGTATGTGCAATTAGTATTCCAGGTATGTGCATTTACCCAGACCCAAGGCTACCGACCTAGTAACCTACCTAGGTAGTTAGAGGCTGGAGTCGCTGAGCCAGAGCTGGCTGCTTGACTCCCTGCCCGCGCGGACGAACCGCACAGGGCGGGACAACAAGGAGGAAAGGCGAATGAACCAATTAAGTTGTATAACGGGGCTATTCTTTTCTAAGTACCTTAGTGGAGGATGTCTTCTTTTTCTTCTTTTCTTCCCTGTGAAATATTTTACCTAATCAACCTTGCACGTTCTCGCTGTAGCCTTCCCTTCCGCCCCTTCGAGGTAAGCGCGGCTGGACTTAGTCCCTAGGTACCTTAGGTAGATAAGATATTTTCAAGACCCTGCCGGACAGATCCCGACAAATTCAACTATCCAGACTCAAGCATCCTTATTTCATGATGAAATGCAGCGATGGATATCCGGGTACAAAAGCTTTGTTAGACACAAAATGACAATGATGCATCATGCCCACACAGGCGCGCGCGCGGCGCGCACGTTCTCAGACTCGATCCTGCGCCCGATTCTCGTCCCCGTCGCCGCACAACCAACCAATGGGCGTCTTTTCACGAATCTGAAATGCTTCTTACTAGTAGCAGCACCTACGAATTCTTACCTCTCAGCTACTGATTACGGATATACTGTTGAACGCGACAAGGGGGACAAAATTTTTTGGCTGCAGCATCGGGGGAAAAGCCACCAGGTACCCACCGGCTACGCCGCCAGGTTCGCACCCGCCACCGGTCGCATGCGGCGACCGGGATACAGTGTTTTCTGGAAATGGCATGTCCCCGGGGCCATCTCCTGTTCTACTGCGTAGCTCCCGCGCCCTCACCGTCTTTTGGCCTTCCCACACTTTTTTTCTTCCAAGTTTCCAGGCACCTGGTACTGCAGTCTTTTTCTTTGTTTGCGAACCCGACCCGATCTTGCTTCACTCTTGACGGGCCACTGTGGCGGCTGTGTTGTACCTATGCCTGTCGAGTGAGTCGAGTTTCCGATCGTCCTAGGCTCCAGCAGAATCGAGCCGTCTTCGGCTCGGGTCATCATCGTCCTTTTCCGGACATCTCGGGGCATAACAGAAGCAGTCTGTGCCTGGACACTACATAGCACGCATGATGTTGAGCCACCAAAGCACGTCACGGTAGGATCACGTCACGGCCAGGTCGTTGAAGGCCAAAATAAAGCAGACGGGAACAAACCGAGAAGGAGGCAATGATGGCGGATAGACCGAAGACAATGAGTAATTCGTTTTGACGTATCTGTACATGCGAGATTTGGGCAATTGCTTTTTGCCCGGCAGCAGGCAGGGCAGGAGTGCTCTGTAGGGGCATATGTTTTCAATTCTCATCGTATCGTTGAGCTGGCACGCAACGGCCGCTCGCACTGCTTTGTGTTGCTGGTCCAGTTTGATGTTGGCTGCTCACTCTATCCTTATCCTTAAAATTCTTGGACTTGTCAAAGGCTCGAGACACCGTGCTATGGACGGCCCGGGTCTCGTGGTGGGTGGTCCGACAGCCATTAGCAACTAATTGGCGGGATCGCGTGCAAGGATGCTCCCACCCCGATGGTCTCACAGGGAGTTGTTGGATATTTATGTACGAATAACTTTGCCGTTGATTAGATTCGTGGTAATGTGCTTTGTTGGATGGAGCCCCCTTCCATTCAGCGCCGCATGGTTGGAGGTCTTTTGTCGTCGTCATGTTTGGATGAGTATCAAAACACTGGTCTTTAGTTTGTTGATTGTTGTGCCGTGCCCAGCTTAGTTAGGACCAACAACTCGTCATTTGCATTGCTTGCATGCTTTCGTCTCCAGGCGCCGGCCACACGATGAACCCTTGGAATCGGGGGTGGAGATTGTCTTCAGCAATCGTCAGCCAGCGCACCTGTCCCAGATTCGATTCTCAACGGTCGGATTTCCCGTTCCTCAACCAGTGCCGTCTCCGCGAGGGGCGTCCAGGCTTGTCTCTGGCATGCCGAGAAGCAAACTGGAGCTGTGAGGTCATGAGCCCATAGCCGTGTCGAGAGGAGAAGACGGCGCGGATGTAGCGCACGGGCACGGGCACGAGCACGGGCGTGCTTACATACCCTCCCTAAGGTACTTACCTACCTACTAGGCTCCCTAGGAGCTGTACTGAATACTACCTTACCCACCTCATGTAATGACGAGGTACCTACCTAGGTAAGGTAGGTAGGCACGTACGGATGGATTCGTCCTAGGTATACTCTTTCTCCCTTCTAGACCAACAACATAATTAAACATGGGCTGGAGTTGAGTTTCTTGACACTCAGACGACAGTCTCCACCTCAGCCGTCTTGGTGTGATCGGGTCATGCATGGGCACCCAACCAGGCAATGTCCTCAGCTGGTAGGTAATCCAAGAAGCCCTCGTGTAGCTCCCTCGACGGCCGATCATGGATGGGCATTGGACGCTTTACCGCAAGCGCTGACGCTAGACCGTATACGCAAGACCAACACCATATTGCTATTTATTTCTCACTCTGCCCGCCTGTCTGTTCGCTTCTTCTCACGAGGCGACAACTCTTGAATGCTGCCCGTGGCCAGAAAGAAAGTCTAGATGACGCATGTTAAGCGCCTGATCCGCAGTGCAATCGTATGGCGGCCAGGCTACCTACCTAGTCAATCAACCAACCTGGTCCATTAAGACGAGAACCGCAGACGCGTTTAATATTCGCGACCACTACCTAGGTGCCTTAATACTATAGTAGATGCAGGATGCAGATGGCGCACGGCCTCTCTCCAAGGTATGTTAGGTTGTGTACACTATGTACGCATTACGACTCTTCACTCCAGCCGGGCTCCATTTGGCCGGGGCTGGGTCTTTACTGATTGGCCGTGCTAGCACATCCTTCTTGTTGCCGCCTCTGCCATCTCAAGAAATAAGAGCGCTTAAATAAAATAATCATGGGAGACGTGAATTTGAGAGCGGGCGTCGGGAGGGAAGGCGGGGCCTCCACCCCTCATCCGCCCCTCTACCACCTCACGTCTCTCTGGCTTCTCATAACCTAGGTAGGTAGGTAACCTTAGGAACCTTAGGTAAGCCGCCGCTACCGCTGCCTTTGGAAACCATTGCCAAGCCTCTCTCTCAAGGGTCTGAGTCCCCTCCTTTTTCGGCTTTGCTCTCCGTCCGTCATCCTCAGGCCAGCCACGAAGAGATGGGAGGGCGCGGAGAGAGACGGTTTCCGACCGACTTGAAGATTCTGCACGTCGTGCAGAGTAGCCTGTCTGTTTTGCCAACTCACCAGCATCGCCCGTCATTACATAGGTAGTAAGCAGCAGCAACACATTACGTGCATCAAGTTACATTTCGTGCACCTTCTCATGAACGCGTGTCCACCACCTTACTTACCTACACTGTTTGACTGTGACTGCTTCGTACACTGCCGCAACATGCCAGCTGTTTTCTCAAGCTCCAGTTGTTAATCGTGTCTCGTACTTTGATCCAACTTGGCTTTCCAGACGCAGAAGGGCGCGCCTGTTTTTCCAGCCAGTACACATGCCAGAGCAAGACGCGCGCCGTCTACCTTACGGACTCAGCACCAACTGCGTACCAATGTGAGTGTTTCAGACGGCTTTCTTGTAGCTGTAGCATAGAGTAAGAGTAAGGCCACGATGCTTCCCTCGGTCGCGTGAGTTTGCGACCCAGAACTCGACCTCGAGTCCGCCACACATGTTAACATGTCAGAATACCTACGTACCTTAGTCTAAGTCCCAACCACCCTTTACTAGGTACCGAGATCTTGGAAGATGCGGTCCGTGGACCCTTATTCTCCACCGCCCAAAGGCAGGCAAGGCAAGGCAAGGCAAGGCAAGGCAAGGCAAGGCAAGGCAAGGCAAGGCAAGCAAGCCCACTGCTTTTTTCTGTCCTCGGGAATTTTGTTCTCTTTGGCCCCCTCCGGAATTACGTGTAGACGGTAGCGTGCCTTCCACCACCGACCGCCTCGACGACCAGACTGCTAGTGGATAGTGGAGGACATCCAGCAGAGTCGAGAGTGCCGCTTTGTGGACCATCCGGGTGGTAATTTTCGCTTTGAGCACGTTACCTCGGGTCATCTGTCTTTGTGCTGTCACTTCTTTGGACGGGCAGTTTGACATGTCTTGAGTGTGCATGCACTAAAAGGTAAGGTCCATCACCATCAGGCAACCCAACTAATTTACCTACATAGGTAGGTGGCAGGCCAGCCAAGAGCCTGTGCTTGTGCTGCCCGGTCCGATTTTACGCACTGTTTAATCTGGACGGCCGAATTGGTTTTCGGAGAGGAGAAGGGCGAACTGAAACTTTGAGGCTACGCTTGCGACCTCCAACTTCTGAAAATCCCAACCAGAAACTGTGGACAACTTTTGACCGTCATACCTCTCGTAGAGAAGAATATCCTACATCGGGTGAACATCAGAGAGGTTTCAGTCCCCACTGATTTTGGCATGGCGGAAATATTTCATTCCAACCCAAGCTACCACTACCCACACCCACGCCATGATGCTTGTGAGGATGATGAGGGCGGGATAGTAGCCAACGATAGGCAGCGTTGGGTCGTCTTCGAGCTCTGGAGGCGCGTACGGAGTCGTCCCAACATCCCACGCCCAGCTCCAGATCCCAAGAACAGATCCCATTCCAATCACAAACACGATCCACGTCACGATCAGGACGACCCAGCCCCACCATTCCGTCTCCGAGTAGTCCCAGTCCGCGTCGGTAGGCGGCAGTGGCGTGCTCGACAACCCGCTGTACGAGAGCGGCGACTTGGCCTGCAAGATGGACCTCCGTCTCCGGTTGGCAAAGTACGACTCGGACCCTGACGACAGAGACAAGTCCGGCCTAAGAGGCGGCGGAACGTGGTTTTGTATGTGGAGCACGTCGTCTTCGTCCGTAGTAGACGTGTATGATATTGTAGGGCTTGTAATTGTCGACTCAGTGTCGTTCGCTTGAGATGGACTCGTTGAAGAGACAGGGGACTGGACGAGACTCGACCTGCTTGCATACCCATCCATAGAGGGACGGGGTGTCAGGTCCGAGATGTTCAGGCCGAGAGGGTCATGTTCGAGTGTCGTCTTCGTCGTCGTCGTCGTATTAGCGATGGTGTTCATCATGGTGGGATACGTCCTCGCCCCTTCTTTCTCCCGAGAGATTGTGTGGGACGTATCGATTGTAAGTTGTTTCGCTTCTCTGCGCTCCCGCTGCGCGCCTCTTCCGAGCAGGGCAACCTTCCTAAGGGAGCCTTTTCGCCTTCTCGACTTCTGCTGTTGTTGTTGGGTGACGGTGGACATGGATGAGGGCGCCGAGTGCGATGCGTCTTGATCGGTTTCTTGGAGTGATTTCCCGTCGGACAAGGACCGCATAAAGGGGAGCTTGGAAAGCAAATTCGCGCCGGAAACGGTGCGTCGATAAGAGGTTGACGGTTGCTGAGGCTGCGGAGAAGTATATGATTGTGGTGAAGATATTAAGTTCGTCCCATTGGCGAGACTGGGACTGGCTGTGCCGTCGTCGTCGTCTTCGGCGGGCGCGATTCGGTCCATTTTGTCTTGCCTCGAGCTGCAACCCTTTGTCGCGCAAGGCTGGTCCCAGCAGGAGAGTGGAGTAAGTCGGACAGGATGGTGGGCTTCGAACAGGCGGCTGGGAGCTTGTACAACGATTTGCGATTACGACGCGTGGCTATATTCCATGTCAATGTAGTACTCCAGACCACCAAAAGAACACATCAATTGAACCAACGAGCAGTTTGACTTGTGTTGTAAAAGTTGCTTCAACAAATGTGAAATCGAGGCAGTACCAGAGGAAAGCAGATAAATTATAGGTCCCTGCATAGTGACGTGGGCCGCTGATAGGTTAGCAGGTGCTTGAGTTTGCAAGAAATGTTAGGTCGGGTACCTTATCTATCTATCTGCCCGTGCATATGCCGCCGTATTCTCTATAAATTATCAATGTCCCCAGTATATACGTATTGAGACTGGCCCTACCATATTGCATTATACGTAGTATGCATTCATTGGGGCGTGCGGGGAACGGGAATCTGGAGACAGATCTCCGTCCCTTCTTTGGGCTGGGCTGGCAATCCGTTCAGTACAAGAAACTACGTACCACGCGACGTCTTTTGTATGTATCCTTCCTTAGTGATTGCTCGTCTCGTCCCATCTCATCCTGGCGTGTTCTGTCTGGAAACTTTCAGCTCGACAAACTCACACACCTCACACACACCACCATCGCGCCTTCTCACACAATGAATGCCGGCGATTGTCGGGAACCACTGCCACTGACACTGCCACTGTCACTGTCCATTCCACCCCGTTGAACTATCTTACAGTTTCGTTGTAAGCGACGAGAACGCAAGAGACTAGGCCCATGGCTTCCAGCCCTGCATCTGCACGCTTTTCCACCCCTCCAAGACGACCTGCCACCCCACCGACTCCCGAAAACGGCAACGTCGACGGCGATAGCAGATTACCCCATGTCGATGTCGTTCCTACACATCTTCCTCGAACCGCATTTCCGTCCATAAACATCGCTGCCGACGAAGAACACCAGACCACTACTCAGGACGACGACGGCTACTGCGGCAACCATAGCGACGTCCTCTCCCGCGTAACATCCACAGCCATCGCATCCGGTCTTTTGACTCCCTCGCCCAATCTGAAACCCGGCTTGCTTCGTCCGGACGCTGCAGCAATGACCGAAGACGACCCTACCTCTGCTGGGGGCTCGACCGTTCCAAGCCCCTTCAACTTCCAGACGCAGGTCATCTCGACCTCGCCTGTCAAGTCCGTATGTTACGTTGAAATATCCCAACATGATGCGCGCCTCATCAACCTCCCATCGTCACTCGATCGCTGACAATGGCCTTTCTCAGAACATCGGACAGCGCCGCGGCCATCGATACAAGCACAGTTCCATTTCTACGCAGCACCAGATTTTCCAAGAGCCTCCTCAACGACCGCCCCCCGTCCTACCCGCCTCCCTGCCGGTGCCGACAGCCAAGGAGGCATGGAAGAGCATGTCCAGCGACCAGCGCGCGAGGCTGTACTGGAGTCTGTGCCACTTGACTGTCGCTTCCTGGCTGTTCTTCATTTCCGAAGGCTCCCTGGCTATGATGGCTCTGTCCCACTTGGTCTTTTTCGACGCCGGTAGTGCTGCTGTCTGCGTCGCGGTCGAAGTTCTTGGCAACTTTGAGGTATGGCGCCGCAGCAGTATCCGGCACCCCTTCGGTCTTGAACGAGCCGAGGTTCTCGCCGGCTTCGCCATGTCCATCTTCCTGCTGTTCGGCGGCTTCGATCTTGTATCGCACAACCTGAAGCACTGGCTGGAGACAAAGGGCGGACACGAGCCGCACCACGAACATGTGCATGAACGTGTGTCGGCCGGCGAGGTAGATTGGGCTGCCTTCGCAGCAATTGCCTCGACGGCCATCTCCGCATATGGCTTGAAGAACCATGCACGCATTGCTAGGATCATGCGCGTGTCTTGGCTGGCTAGCCTTCCTACCCACTTCTCCAACATCTTCCATTTTCTTACTGTCTTCTTCTCTAGTCTGTTGCTCCTTCTGCCTCTGCTCTCGATCAAGACATACATTTGGCTCGATCGCACCCTGTGTGCGGCCATTGCGGCTTCCATGTTTCTATTCGGCGCCAAGCTGGCCATGGCCCAGGCCATGATGTTGTTGATGTCTTACGGAGGCAACGGCGGTAATGAAGGCGTGACATCTGTGGTGCGGGAAATCGAGGCAGAGCCTGGCGTTACGCGCATCGAGGATGCGCAGTTCTGGCAGGTGCACTACGGACTGTGCATGGCCAATCTCAAGATCTGTGTCGCCAAGGGTTGTGATGAAGGTACCATCAGCAAGCTACGCAGTCGGATATCAACTTTGATACAAAATAGGCTTGGCGAGGGATACGGCCGAGGCACCAGCTTGAGGTGGGAGGTGACTTTGCAGACGAGTATCGATGCAACCGCGTAGCCAGGGTCTTAGGAAGAGTACGCTCAAGTTTGTTCGGCGTTCTGCTTGTGGGATATCAAGATGTGATTTCAGTCATGAAAAGGGACAGAAGTCGAGAGTGATGAAAAGTCTATTTGCTTTGATAGGCCGAGTCGAGGAGGGTATCCTTCTTGCTATATACCATTGTGTACAAAAAACCAGAAGGCTTGTAAATAGAGTAAACCGCCTCCATGCTGCCAATATGACGCTTCAGGCCAACCACGGAAGACTGTCTGACAACACCGCAACTCCTTATTGCAACCAAGTCATAACGCGTTACAGGCCCAGGGGAGAAAGACCCTCGGGTATCATCATGATAGCTGCCTCTTTCAGAACAGCGCCCAGCGTCCCCGTTGCTTGTCATCCTTGTTGGGTCTGCCGCCCTGGTGGCGCTCTCGTTCACGACCCTCAAGCTGTCGCAAACTCTCCATCTTCTCAAGGACCAGCTCTAGCAGCTCCTTGCGGCGAATGACTTCGAGATGCCTCCTGATCTTAGGATCCTCCTTGGCGAACCTTTCAATCTGCTCGTCTGAAAGGTGCCTACCGAGGCGATTGTCAAGCTCTCGCGGAAAACCGTAGTAGAACTCGGAAAGCAGCTCGACATTGAGGAAGAGCACAGCGGTCGAGGCGAGTTTGCTGGCTGCCGCATCAAGGAAGACCTCGGGACAGTAGTACTTGTTTTTCAGGTTCGCACACTGCTTGGACTTGACTGCCATCAAGCGCATCTTGATGATGTCCGCGCGATCTCTGAGGAAAACAGCCTCGCGTCCTAGCTTGTGTTAGCGTTGCTCTGTGGCAAATAATAAGATGTGTGTCTTACCTCTCGTCAAGAGTGCCGCACTGAAGCCCCCAGCACCGCTTCGTCCGTCCCCCTCAACAGCAACATCGCCCTTACGAGCACGGTCAACGAAGTTCATGACCTCTCTCAGCTTCCTTCGTCCGCCCACAGTGTCTTCGATATTTTTGAGGGCCCCTTCGCAGTCTTGTAGCTCCTTCTTTAGTACTACCGCCGCGTTGTCCCGACCTTGGGTCCATTCTCGCTCGTCGATGTCGATTTCGAACTTGTAGGGTTTAACACAGTTCTCGACCTGATCGCTGGTGGTGTAGAATTTTTCATTCAGAATACTGGAGGCCGCTTCCGTGATGGCCTCCCGAGCGAATGGATGACTATTGAATGTTGAATGCTTGATCAGCCTGTCAATGTGCGACTGGATCGCCGAGGCTACGACAGTCGTTGCCAACCTTCCAACGCCGAGCTTCGTGAGGGACGACGTTGAGGCATCGAGCTGCCGATGCCAGTACATAGAGTTAGGGTCGGCCTTGGGAAGATCAGCCAGGCTGTCCGGCTCAGGCCGAGCGGGGGTCAAATCTTGGATTGGTTTGTTCCAGTATCTAGCAGCCAGCAGGTCGAGAACCTTCTGGTCCAGTTCGTGCTTAAGAAGCTGGTGCATTTGAGGTCGACCAAACTCCTCGGTGAACTGCTTGAAAGAGTGCTTGAAACCGTCGAGACTTTCCGCTAGGTATGACTCCGCAGAGAGTGGGCGGTCGTTGTACTGAACCTTAAACTCGTACGTTGCCTCTTCTAATTCTTGTCTGATGGCATCACTGGTGCTCTGCAGGCTGGCAGACATGGTTTGTTCAAGTACCGTCATGAGCTTTTTACGCAAATTGATCGTTCCCACGCTGACACCGGAGCCGTCGCCGAACTCGAGAGGGTGTGCTGAGAAGAACGCGTTCTCATTCTTGGTAATGACTGACATGATGCTGCCAGACCTTTTGAAGAGACTGCTCGTCTGGGGGACTTTGGAGACAACACCCACATATCCAAGCCTCAGAGGATACTGCTTATCGCTTAGGATGGCTGCGCCACGGGGAGCGTCTACCAAGTCCATCTTGGTAACCACTCCGATGGTTCTCTCGCCCCTGGGATCGACACGGCGGCTGGCGCGCAACGCAGTCGAGTTTGCCAGGTCCACATCTGCTGCAGAGATTGCGAGAATGACGTTGGGTGGCTGAATGTACTTATCACAAAGTTCGGATATTTTCTGCTTGAGCTCAAGAGGCTGACCTTGTCCCACAACTTGAATGTAGCCGGGCAAGTCGATGAGAGACAAGTCTGGAACGTTTGGCGAGTAGATTGTGAGATGAATGGGGTCGTCCGAAACGCACTGAGTGTCCGGAACTGCCAAATTTAGTTCTGTGAGGGTTCTCTGGATAGATGAAAAGTCGGTGATGCGCCTCAAGCCCAGATCAGGAAACTCGCCATATTCCGCGTTCGATTCGGGAGTGTTGACCAGAGTCAGTTCGATGGGACGACGAGTAACCATATTCGTGCCCTTGGGCAAGAATTCGTGACAGACGAGGGCTTCGAGAACGGAGCTTTTGCCAGACGACTGGGATCCAATGACGACGATGGAAGGCAAGGTCAAGGCACTTGACTGGCCAACCTGTTGGAGCATACCACGGATTTCGATCATCTTCTTGGTGAGCACCATCATCTGGTCGTCTCTGGCAACCTCGTCAGGGTCTCGCGGGTCGTCCTCGGAAGACTGGTCGTAGCCGTATGCGGCGGCAGAAGCCCCGATGACTGTCGCTGCTCCAGCTCTGCTCTGCTTGGGGGGCTCTCCTCCTGGTCCTTCGGAGCCACCTTTTCCAGTTCCAATCTCTTCGTGAATGCGCAAAACCTTCTGCAACCATTCTGGAGTCTCGAACTGTTCTTTGGTATTTTCCCATCCACGCATCGTTTGATCTGCAATGTCTTTGGCGCCACCGAACAGGGTCGATGCGGTTTCGGATATTCCGTCAGCCGTTTTGGCGGCGAAGTCCCACGCATTGTTGCTTAGCACTGTAGATTGCGGGGTCAGTCAATGTTGTTCAACACAAAAAAAAACCCGAAAAAAGACAAAAGAGGGAGAAGTCGTACGGTTAGCCTGATACTGAATCCAGGCGAGTGTTCCAACCGCCAACCCGCCAAACATGGCGGGGATCCTGGCAAACTTGACGACAAGTTTCGGTAGAAATCGAGCAAATGAGGCGTTCCGAACGATGACAGCATTATGGAAGGCATTCCCAGGGAACCACATTCGTCGTCGGGTGGCACGAACAGCGGCATCAGCTTGCTGAAGACCGCCAGCGGGCAGTCGGTGGAAATGGCGGACGGATTGAACGGGAGTGCGTCGCGCCATGGGCGAGAGCCCTGCAGCAAGAAGGCGTCCGCTCATGCTGCCGGCAAAGCACAAAGTGCAGTCGATAACCGGTGACGGTTTCTTTGCGATATGGAGATCGGAGGGTGTTCGGAGATGATGCTCAGAACCGAAGGATATTCTTGCCTTCAACGGTTCTGTGTCTTTGGGGGAGACGTGGGCATGAGAAACCCGTCGAGACTGTCGCGGGCCAGACAGAAGTGGCGTGGGATCAAGAGACGGGTTCTCGCGGGTTGCAATTGTTGTCCACCGCCTGATTGCATGAAGAGCCATTTCCAACAGTGGAGACCACATTGGCATCGATACGTACCGCTGTGCCAGACGTGGATTTTTCACATGAGGCACCGTGCTGACATGCCAGCATGCCTCCACTGGGCCCACCTTCTCTGCCTTACATATAGCTACCTTACCTAAGGTACCTATAGCTGACCTAAGAGGCCTAGGCAATTATGAGTGTTTTGTCCCTATCCGTACGGTTCCCGTCACAGCTAGAGCTGCTGCCTCGGAAAGCGGATTAATACATAACTCTGTTGTCTTTACTCTTACATGCTTATCTCATCATCACTCCGATCTACGGAAACCTACCGTAGGTAAGGCATCCGCAAGGTCTTAGGTTATGGTAAGGTACCTAACCTAGGTAGGTACCTTAGTTAAAAAGGAGCTCTATTAATATTCCCCTCACTTCGTCAGTCCCCGTTGAGTTACGTACTTAGCCAATTGTCCACTGGACTGCACGAGATCCGTAGCCCCCGATTCTGCGTATCATTTTCGTACTGCCAAAGTCCAACTAACAAACAAAGGCGCAATTGCACATTCCCCGTATTTCGACTGCTGTTTCTTTTCCCGTCACCATCAGCAGCACGGACGCTCAGCTGCCGCGCGCCCTGATCAGCTGGGGTCTGCGCTCCATCCATCATTAATATCCCTATCAACTTGCGCCACCGCCCTTGGGTTTCTGATCGCGCCATCCCTCATCAAAACATATAATGATATCTGGCCGCTTCTTTCCGCGACTCTGATCCCAAGGGAATGTTGATTTCCCCTGTCATTCTCCAACTTCTTTGGCACAAGTAGAGGCATCTCCCCCTCGCTATTTGCGCTCTGGTAACCGTCGCAGTTCTTTGCCCTCAACCTCGCCTCTGTCCCTCTCTTCTGTAACCTTCGAGTCGCCATTGGCACATCGGCCGCCATGTGCCGCTTCTTAGTACGATATCTCCATCAGGAAGTGTTCGGCCGGCGACTTACTGCGCTTAGGTGTACCGCGGCAGCGACGACATTCTGCTCTCGAAGCTCATCCTCGATCCCACCCACTCCATATTGAAGCAGTCCTTCGACTCGAGGCTCAGACTTGTAAGCTAATTCTAATACCCCCGGCTAGCCCCTACATGTGCCTGACGTCTTTACTTCATCCGACAGGACACGCGGAGAGGCCAGAACAATGCAGACGGCTTCGGAATCGGCTTCTACACCGACCCAAAACTTGGCCATGCGCCTTGCCTCTTTACCTCGACGATACCGGCTTGGAACTGCACCAACCTCCAGCGCATTGCCTCCAAAACCGCCTCCCAGCTCATCTTCGCACACGTCCGAGCAACAACCGAAGGTTCTCTCAGTGAAGACAACTGCCATCCGTTTTGCCACGGAAGCCTGATGTGGATGCACAATGGAGGTCTGGGAGGCTGGAAACACATCAAGAGGAGGCTGGGCCAAAAGCTGGCAGATAAGTGGTATTTGGGGGTTCAGGGCGGCACAGACAGCGAATGGGCTTTTGCACTTTTCCTCGATACTCTCGAAAGGATGGGCATTGATCCCAGCTCACAGCCCGCCTGCGGATTCGGCCCTACCTTGCTGCGGAAGGCCTTGCTGAAGACCATCGAGCAGATCAATGAGCTAATCGATGGCATTGCGGAAAGCACCATTCAGTCAGAAAACGTGGACACTCGCAGTTTGCTCAACTTCGCGGTTACGGACGGCAAGAGCATCATCTGCACACGGTACATCAGTAGTGCAACGGACGAGGCCGCCAGTCTGTACTATTCATCCGGCACTGAGTGGGGGACGAGAACATCGGCTGCGACCGACCGGAACTACCAGATGGAGCGTCGGGATAAAGGCGCTGATATTGTTCTCGTCGCGAGCGAGCCTCTCACTTTCGAGAGGGGTATGCCTCCCAACAACAACAATTGCAATTAAAATGGTCCACCGGAGCTAATCCATTCGCAGAGAACTGGGTGAACGTCCCGACCAACTCCATTCTGACAATTCATAACCAAACGGTCATGGTTCATCCGATCATTGACAAGTACTACGATCGAAGCCCATACCACGTCCGTTCTAGCGCCTTCGTTCAGACAAAGGGCTTGATCGCGAATGAGAAGATATCATCACTTCTTAGTCCGGCATCGACACCCTTGTCAAACACGGAAGCCGCGAAGAAAACTCTCGGTCCAACCATTCCCTTCGGTGTCTCGCGCAGCCACATACCGGAGCCTTCCCCGTCAGCCAGGTCGAGACCGCAGAGTACGCTGCATGAGGTTTCGACACCAGCTGACTCGAGATCAATCATGACCATATCGAGCGGACAAACCAATGCATCAAGACCCCCGGTTCAAGGAAACATCAAGGTGAAGAGAGCCGCCCCGGAACAGAGTCAACCGATTGCGGATAGTGACACGGACTCTTTGGCTCCTGACGAGCAGAATCACAACAGGACAGAATTTGGCCATCCTAACAAGTTGTCAAGATTCTTCCCCGAGTTGACGATGAGCTAGCGAGTGTTGTCCATTTGCGGGAGCGTGGGGCTTACAAACTATACATCATGTCAAAGAGCATATGAGCGGGCGTTCTTGGTCTGGAAAGGAAAGAACATGCTAGGCGAGCGACAGAGCCGTCAGAGAGCGTTCCGGCAAATCAAAGCCGTGTCTTCAAGCATTTTGGGTTGTAAAATTGGTCGTGATATGACATCGCATAATTTCGTGTCCTGTCCTAGACGACGACTTGCATCTCGCCTCGGTCATGGCAACCAAATCAAATGGAGCTCCTCATCGGATTCAAATGCCTGGAGCTCGCGAACTCCTTGTTGGGCAATCACTTAACGCTCCAACGGGAGCTCTGAGGAGAGGCAGCGAGTTGGCAAGACTGCGCTTGCTTCACTCTACGACTGCTACGGATCCAAGGGTCCTGAGGTAGGTATTGACGAATCACCGTTCGCCCTGGGAAAGTTCGAGGCTGCTTACCTAGTTGGTACCTCATAATACCTAATCGAGAGGGCCAGGACACGTCCCCATTGAAAGTACGACGCGACCTAGACTCATTCTTCACCTCAGGTTTCCTTAGCTTCGTGCCACTGACCGGCTTCACAAATCCAAAATGACGTCCACCTCGTCCGAGTTCTTGGATATTCCCATCGAGATCCGTCTCGAAATTTACTCGCATCTCCTCCTATGCCCTCCTTTGGACAAACTCGCCCCAGATACACGGCCTGTCCAGCGGCTGCACCCAGCAATCCTAAAGGTCAACCGCCAAATCCACGACGAAGCGTCTCCGATACTCTACTGCAAAAATATTTTCCTCGCCCACGAAACGCTGCTCGCATCGTTCCCGCGCCTTCGGCCCTGGTACCCGCCTGTGAAGGAACGTTCGGTGCTTCCTCGCATCCGCCGATTCCATATCCGTGTGCGGCTCGACTGTGACCCAGGATACAACGCAGAAGCAGCGACGGCGGCCTTCAGCGGCGCCGACCAGCTAGTCATCGAAGTCCGACAGTCAATGTTTCTAGGCGCAGACCATGAGGTGATGCAGCTGTTCGAGGGAGTCCGCCGTGTCAAGGTCGTGAAGATCTACGGAAGTACCACTGGCTTTGAAGACTACGCGCGGTGGCTGGAGGACGTGATGCAGTCCGATGCCGACGACGTCGACAATGTTGAGACGAGGCTGGCTTCATTTAGAGGCAACCACCAAGTCTAACATCCATTTGAGTCTGAGACGGCCACTTGTAGCGTATACTAAGTCGGCAGCACGAAATTGTCAAATGACCTTCTAAAAGGGTCAGGTGCAAATCTTGAGTCTTCTTTGACTTGGATGTAGTCCCTGTTGATTTCCACGCGCTAAAAGTGGCTCTACTCGGGCTCAAATGGATGACTGATTCCCATCAGTCTCTCGAAATATCTGAAGTGTCCCTCATCTTGTTTTCCGATGTCAAGCTTGGGCCTGGGACATCTCTGGCGACGTACCACTCACTCAACCTACGTTGGCCAAGAGACATTTACTACCTATGTCAACGTTCCGAATCTTGTCACATCACATCGTCGCAAAGGGACGTCCACTTGACCTGAGCGAGTCCAGGCCAGGGAAGCTTCCCGCCCTCAAATTCGCAGTACCACCAACATAAGGCGCCGTCGGGACACCGGTGCTGTTGTGGATGGCGACATCACACCCCACGGTGACAACACTACCTATGAACCCCACAGACCCCACAGTGTCGGGTGCCTCTCAGTGGAGCACATGAGCTTACCTACCTTCGTGCACGGACCTCAAGCTCGCTACCGGGGCCTCATGGTCAATGTGTCGCTGCTTTAAGAAGGCACCTGCTACCTTACACTACGCGGTGTGTACAAGGCACCATTAGAAACACTGGCTATCGGCAGGAGCGCAATGTACAGTGTAGCGGCGGCGAAGCTAACCCGCATCAGACTTTCCATGTCAGGTCCCATATCGCAATTGTTCGTGCGACATACCCTTTCCAGTTTCGCCATTCCCTTCCTCCCACACCACCTTGATCATTCAATTCGGAACTTGTAGGTTGGCTGGCTGTCTTCAAGGCTTCAAATAGAAGGCTTGGGGTTCAGAGAGCAAGGTCAAAGCGACTTCACTTGCAATCGAGACGTCTAATATGGCGTTCGAACTACTCCCATTCCTGTCCGCTGTCTTCGGCTGGATCTACTTCCTTTGCTGGTCTGGCTCGTTCTACCCCCAGCCTCTGCTCAACTTCGCGAGAAAGACCACGGCTGGCACAACGGTTGACTTCCCCCTGATCAACTGCTTGGGTAAGTCGTTTGCAATCTTATGACCGCATCCCACGAAACGGTTTGGACTGACGCTGTTCCCTCGGCGTGATGCAGGTTTCCTGGCATACCTCATTTCCAACTCGTGCCTCTACTACTCCCCGGTGGTCCGCTCCCAATACGCCGCGCGCAACAACGGCCTCACCCCGACTGTTGCATTCAACGACATCACCTTTGCCGCTCACGCTCTCCTCCTTTCCTGCATCACCACGAGCCAGTACCTCCCCAAGCTCTGGGGCTTCGCGCCTGCCCCAGGAACCAAACCAAGCCGCTTCATCACGGGAATTGCCTTCGGTTGTATCGTGGGCGTGGTCATCGTCGCCTTCATCGTCGCGGCGGCTCCCGCCGGCGCTGATCCACGCATCAGCTGGTGCGCTCTCGATCTCGTCTACGCCGTCTCCTACGTCAAGCTTGTTATCACGTTGATCAAGTACACCCCACAGGTCATTACCAACTACCGCAATAAGTCTACCAAGGGATGGTCAATCTGGCAAATTCTGCTCGATTTCTCCGGTGGCCTGCTGTCCTGTGCCCAGCAGGCCATCGATTCGTACCTGCAGCGCGATTGGTCTGGCATCACTGGCAATCCGGTTAAGTTCGCCCTGGGCAACGTTTCCATGGTGTACGATGTGGTGTTCATGACTCAGCATTACGTTTTGTATCGCGGCTCCGAGGGTAAGGCTGATGAGAGGGACTCTCTACTTCGATCGGAGGATGAGGAGCATCAGAGACTAGACTAGACGACAGCCGCAACTCGGCTGATGCAGTTTATCTGAACACAATAGAACTGTCGGGATTTTGTATAGAACGCGACGGTGTCACCTTGCATGTATACCGCCCCAATGCATGCACGACGGAACCAGTAAAACCTCTATGGACAGCAGTGGGATGACTCCATACGTATCTAGACAAATATAACCTCACCCGGTCTAAACTCGCTCCTCCGGAAGGGCTCAAGAAATCTGCCTATTGCAGCGTCTTGCGTCAATGATGTGCTGATCGCAGCGAATCCCAACAGGAAACGCGAATATAACAACCAATTGCAGGAAAATAACGGCCAACAAGGCGCGCAGGACATGAAAGAAAGGAAAAGTTTTTTTTTTAGAAAAAAAAATGAATGCCCAAGTCCCTTTATATGCCTGCCCCTGAACGCCGTCGGGGGGATATGCAATCTCACAGGATGCCTCTCCCGCCTCTTTCTTCACTCTGGAGTCGTCTCTATCTTGATCTTGGGTTTATGCTCTAGAATTTTTCCCCTCCCCATATGCGATATTTGTGCCAAACTCTCTTCCGCCCAGATGAGCATGCCGCCGTTCTTTGAGTTCTAGTTTCTGGTCATGTAAAGGGTGTGTCTATTGGTTGGCTGGCAGCTCTTCATGATGATTCATTGCCGTTGGTCTGCATGAAAGCAGGCAGCTTCTTCCAAGATTCTTGACTCGGCACCTTGACCTTACCAAAGTCCTCGTCGATATCAAGAATGACCTTCAGCGCGTTTCGGCTGCGCGCGAAGGGGCTGGTGTCCAGCTTTTCCCTCAGAGTCGAGACAGCTTCGCCGACACCGGTGTGAACCTTGGAGTCCGTTCCGCCGGGGTAAGGAATAGCGCTCTGCAGGACCTCGTATGCGGCGAGGGTGAAACCGAATTGAGGAGATGAACGGAAGATTCTAGCGGGACCGCCCTTGAAGAAGGCGCGGAAACCCTCCTCCTTCCAAATGGTCTTTGCGGCATGGCGAAGGCCGGTGTAAGTCGCCTCGCCCTTGCGCGCCTCGACCTGAAGACGGGTTTTGATCACGTCGCATGGCGTCGTGAGGTATGCAGCAGGCATACCGGCGATGGCGCCAGCAGTAAGAAGCTGAACAATACCCAGCTTCTTCGTAGGCGACTCGCCGAACATGTCCTTCTTCAAGTGGGCATAGGTCGGGAAGTAGATGGCGGAAAAGGGCACGTCGCGGAGGAGGCAGGCGGAAGCACCCTTGTACAGGCCAACAAGACCCAAGTTGCGCACAATCCACATGGCCGACCTCTTAGGTGCGCCCTCAACAGTCTTGGCGACCTCACCCTGGACCTGAAGACGAATTTTGACGATTTCGAGGGGGTTGGTGAAGACCTAAAAACAAAGACATTAGCACCTGTTTAGCCAGACCCGTCCAAAAAGAGAGACTCACAACTTGGCAACCACCGGCTGTACCACCAGCCAGGATTTCGTGTCCGTACCAAATCTTGCCCTCCTTGTTGGTAAAGTAGGTGCGCACGAGGTCATTGACCGTCAGCTTGATGGCCTTCTCAGGCGCAACGCCGACCAGCTGGGGCAGAACACCCGAGTACAGGCCGCGCAAACCCTCATTTCTCCACACCTTCTGGAAGCAGTCGATAGAGTTCTTGTACAGCCTCTCTCCGGGTCTCGCGCCTCTCTGGTTCTGGAGACGCGTCTTGACGAGGTCAATGGGGTAGACCATGAAGGCGCCGAAGGCACCGGCCAAACTACCCAGGCCAAAGTTGTAGGTAGACTCTAGGACCCGGCTCAGAAATGCCTTGCTGGCTGTGGCTCCCTTGGCAAGAGCACGCTGAGCCGCCTCGTCAGCAGCCTCGGAGATGGCGTTTCTCCATGACGGATCAAGGACTTTGGCGAAATCCCCAAGGCCGAGGCGGCCCGAGGGCTCATCAAGGCTGGCGAAATGGAAGAGGATGTCGGCTTCCATGGGGGTGAAGAGGGAAAAGCGAGTAATTTTGGCGGCCTGGTTGAGGAACTCGGTCCTGGTGATCTTACCGTCGGGGCTCTTGGCGCAAGCGCGGCGCACGATGAGCTCGACGAGGTCAATTTCCTTGATCATGTTCTGGAAAGCGCGCACGTTGGCGTACGAGACCTTGCTGCCGAGCGAGATGTTGCAGAGGGTGGAAAGGTTCTCAAGCAAGTGGTCAGACAGTTTGTGCTTGGAGGTCTCGCGGATGATGCGCTCAAAGTCCTCGGGGTCGATAAAGCCGTCGCCATCCTTGTCAAAGAGTTGAAAGGCCTGACGGATTCTCTCGCCCTGAAGACCACGCAACATCTGGGAGAACTGGGGATAGTCCATGTGGTGGCGCTTCTTTTTGCTGCCGATGTATAGCTTAGCCCACTCGCACTCCCAGTCGAAGGGGATGCTGTCGGGTCCCTTATTAAGCTCGTAGAGCTTTCGAAAGTCCTCGTATTTGACGTTGCCGGTTCTGTCGACATCGAAAAGGCGAAAGGCAATCTCGTACTCGGCGTCGGGCTTCATCAAAAGGTTTTCGAAGGCGGCCCATTCGGAGAGGGTAATCTTTCCGCTGCCCTTGCGGTCGGCGACGCCAAACAGAATTCCATACTGTTCGCGCTTGATTTTGTGCTACGGCGTTGCAGATGGAGTCAGTCATTGGTCGCGCGGTGGATCGGAGGTATATCGGAGGCAGATTTGAACTCGGCGCGCGGAGGCATTGAGTTCCAAGGAGCCACCGGACGTGGGAGGTATGGCCAGACAAGAGAGCGAAGGGGTTCTTACAAAGTCCTCGTCGGCGGGCGCGACAGCGTTGATGAATTGCTCAGGGCCCATCAAGAGCTCTTCTGACGACTCATCCTTGACGGCATTGGCGACGAATCTGGCCTTTGTCTGGGCAGACAGCTGAACGGGCTCTTCAGCGCCAAGAAGGCTCTCCTTGACGGCCTCCTTGACGGCCAACGCTTTGCTCATGTTGGGCGGTTTGGTTCTCGGCTTACGAGAAGCTGTGGAAGCAGCAGGCGCACGATGAGAATCGTCTGAGAGTTTCGAACCCTGCCTTGACCTTGAGAAGGAGAAGAGGAGGTAAGGTGGGTGGGTGTGTGGGTTGTGGGTTGAGCGAGTGTTATCGCGCAACGTGAGTTGGTGCGACGCGATAAGATGGCTCTGGTCCTTTCTACGACCAGTTACCGTAGCCGACGTGGGCCTCTAGCTCAAGGGTGGACTTTACTCTCCAGGATCGGTCGTTTCTATTACGGAATTCAATGGGCACAAGGAGGGACGAAATCGAGCAGGCAGGGCAAGGAAAGTGGAAAGGCAAAGGGTAGAGAGTAAGGTATCTCTGGTCGACAGGAATTGGGAGACCGAGGGGGAGGAAAAATTTGGGGGAGGCTCGTCTGGGGAAGTTTGGTCACACAACACATAACACGAGAAGCTTCTCTCACACATCTACTGCAGCCGGTCACTTTTGGTCGCACGCGGCAAGGAAGGAGGGGAAAAAAGGGAAAGAAAAAAAAAACACGTTAACTACAGAACGACCGGGCGGTCTCAGTCTGTGACTACCTACACCACCTAAGAAGACCGGATACAGGGCAGGTAAGATAGTTTGTATACTTGAGGTAGGTAAGTAAGTACAACAACGAGTACGTACTCATAGAACTTGGCAGAGACACAGAAAATCGCTTGAGAAGGCGGCAAGAGGAGACACACAAGGACAGAAACAGCGGGATGACCTGAGACCTGAGTCAATCCCTCCCAAGTTGCGGGAGCCCGTTTTTCGGAATCGCCAGCCACACCACTGGCATAATTTTCTTCCCAAGCTAGGTAGCGTCCACCTACCTAGTCCTGTCAGGAACAGGACCCGGAGTATTGTTGATACCTCCCTGGCGCCGTCGCGCGTGAGATCCCCAGGCCATCCTTGATTATCCCGGTCGTCATTTTAGCGAGCTTGCCTTGCCCGTACGGACTACCTTACGGAGACCAGCTGGCATTAGGACGCCCGGCACATGCCATGCATACCACACACACAAACGACGACGCCGCCGACGCCGATTCTCACAGTTGTGTCCGCGTGCTGTCGCTGCCCAGGCGATTACTTCATGGTGCGTACGTAGGCTGACCGCCTCGGTCATGCTCGCGCTCTTGACAGTGGCTGCTGCCGCTCCTGGCGTCCGTGGCTGCAGAATGCAGCCCTGAACTCTGCCTTTCTTTAACAACTTCTTGGACCCTTCCGCGTCGGGTGGCGTGTGTTGCAGTAGACTATATTCGTTGCTCTGGACGAATACCTCTCACCTGGTAACCCGCATACACATATTTTTCGGCTTCGCACTCCTCGATGGTCTTCTTGGTAGCTTTGTAAAAGACCATGAGCTTGTGGGAATTAAGGCCTCGCAGCAAGCAAGAAATGCCGTGAGTAAACCACCGTCAATGGACGAAACCCGACCTGGTAGTGGTAGCACATACCGGCCTTGATCGGAACCCTTTGGCACACTTGACGGGGATCAGGACTCCGATGGACCTCGATTCGTGCGCATATCTTTCGGACAAGTGGATCCCGGGCCCGCCCCGAACTTCCCGAGAGTACCTAGGTATGTACCTTACGGATACCTACCAGGTAGGTAGGTAGGCACCTTACACACGGACCCGTGGGGGGCACTATGGGGAATTTCTGAACTTCTGAGGTCAACTCTAGCCGCCTCCCCAGGTTTCCAAAATTTCCCGGGACCCTTAAAGTGTTCGTATTACGAAGTACTGATTATTCGTCACCCACGCACGGAATTCACCCGCCGCAATAGCGACCAGCTCATTCTGCAATCGGGGAGGATTGGACTTGAACCTAGCTTTGGTTTTCATATTACCCGGTAGATTATTCATACGCAAAAAAAAGAAAAAGCAAAGAAAAAAAAGTCGTATCCCCGTGCTCTCCCCGTACATGCGCCAATCTCACTGCCGCAGTTTCACTGCGACACACATCACTTGCGCACCAACGGAGCAGCCGGTGCCTGGCCCTGCCACTTTCGGAATCCGAGACGACGTCAACAGCTCAGGGATCGGCTCGGAGCGCGCATCAAGGTGCCTCGAGTCGAGGCCCAGCCTCCGCAGCCGGCTTTCAAATTCCAGACTTCTCCCGCAAACCATAGCCGCCCCGCGCGTTGCCTTCCTTGTCCACTCAGAATGCCCGTGCCGGTTCGATGAAACCAACACACTCGCCAAACCCTACGCCGTCGCCAGCGTATCCGCTCATGCGCACTCCGTCGCCGTCTTGCAAATATGTTCTGTCCTGCCCGTCAGACGTCTTCCATCCAACTTTGCCGCCCTTGGTCATCTCCAGCAGACAGCCGTGCTCATCGTCGCCAGCCCCTGACACCGTGCCGGTAGCCAAAACATCGCCCGTATTGATGTTGCATCCGTTAATCGTCTGCTGGGCTACGAGATCTCGGAACGTCCAGTACATCCAGCTGAGCTGCGCCTGGCACACTGTTGTCGCCTGTCCGTCCGCCAACACTTCCGCTTTCAAAGCAATATTGTAACTCGACTTCTCTTTCTTGTCCAACAAATAGGGCTGGGCGGGTATATCCTTCACTGGCGGCTGTGTCGCGAAAGGTTCAAGTGCTTCGAGGGTTACAACTGCGACAAGTCCACCAGTATTAGCCAACGACTAGGGGGAGCACGCGGGACGAGAACTCACCCCACGGGCTCATGGTGGTCCCAAAGGACTTGCCATTCATGGGACCCAGAGGGTTCATCTCAAATCCCTGAATATCACGAGCTACCTGCTGTTAGCCTCTCTCCATCGCTCGTTCTGGAGAACCAGACTTACAGCTCCAGTCGTTGAGAAGGACTAGACCAAATATGTGCTCGTCGGCATCAGACACAGAGACACGATCACCGAGTAGAGTCGCTTTTCCGATGATGCACGCCATCTCCAGCTCGTAGTCGAGAGCCCTCGACGGTCCGAAGCCAACTTTGTCTCCGTCACGATATTGACCGTATGGACGCGTGATCTTCGTACCCGAGATGACAATTGAGGAGGGTCGACCTCCATACCCAATGGGCAGATACGGCGCTGCTGGTGGCATAGACTTCTGTCCCATGACCGCTTCCGAAGCATTCAACAAGTGTTCTTTGGAGCAGGAGAAGTCGGTGAAGCCACCAATCTGCAATGGCAAGTGCAATTGGACATCCTTGATCGGGTTGCCATGTTTCGACAGCACTGAACGGTCCGACAGGGCGGTTTGGATGCTCTTTCTCAGTGACTGTAGCTCGGTTTTGTCTACGGCCGCCAGTTCGTTGAGAGTCGGCTACACTGAGTCAATTCTTGTCCTTTGGAGAGACGAGAGAAGGATTTACTTGGTCCAGGGCTGATTGGAGCTGATTGGATACCTCGAGGCCCAAGTCCTTTAGAAAGACAACCGAATCACCGAGTCTCGTGGCTACGCCCTTGGGACGGCTGTCATTGCTGGCAATGCCGTAGGGGATGTTGTCAATGGAGAAGTGCTCAGAGAAGCTCATTTCGGCGTTCAGTCGCGGACGACGTCTGAAACAATCGTGGTTGTCTGGATCAGAGGTGATAGTCGCAAGGTGCGAGTACTACAGCAGCTACGAATCTTAAACATCTTGAAGCACATTCACAGTGTTCAGGCGCTTGCGCTGGGCCAAAACGAGGATCCACCCCTCCACCCCCTCCTCCACGTCTTCCTCCCCCACCCCCACCGGCCCCGGCCCCGGATTCACTGGGTCGGGTCGCATCCCCGAACCCAGGAACCGTCTTATGGATCGGCAAGCTTTACGGCAAGCACAAATCGTGGCAGCAGATTCTCCCGGACACTGCAGGGCTTGCTCACTTTGACGGAATCACGGGCAACGTAACATAGTTCTCCAAGCCCTGTCCGAAATGGATGTTGTTCAGTCCGGCGAACCTGCTGATGGGTCTGCAAATAGGGAGTTAGCTTCTGCAAAGGGATTTTGGTCACTTATACTTGCCTGTCAACTTCGGAAGAGTGCTGGAAAATGCCACTGCCTTGCGTATCGCCGCTTCCGACCTCGAAAATAAGCTTGCCACCCTTATCGACAACGACGTTGGTGGGCCAAATCTCGACATCTACACCGTATACCTCGCCAGCTTTGACGGGCTGGACATCAGTGGAGAGGTACTCTCTGTGCGGCAGCCATGACTTGTGCTTCGGGTTTTCGTCATGCACCTTGCGGTTGCTCACCCGCAGCCAGCCCTTGACGAGAGGCACAGGGTCTCCAGCGGTTCCGGTGTAGAACACCTCTTGGCCGTTAGGGTCAATGTGGCGCAGAGTGACGAAGAGATCGATATCATTGTCGTTCCCGGCGTTTTCGGGCGTGACGGAAACATTGAGATGAGCCACGACGTGACCTGTGATTTCTGTCTCTTGCTCGAATGGAGCGGTGGTGAAGGAGACGTATTGCGGGCTATCGAGTGAGCCAAGTGCTTTATATGAGACTTTCTCCGAGTCGTGGCTGGCTCCGGCGGCTGTTAGGCCCAGGTCGGGCGTCAAATAGTAGTTTGTGTACTTCGTTCGCGGGATGGGCCAGGCACTCTCCTCGCGCTTCTCGTATGCCTTCTCCTTCTGGGCGTCATTGAAACCAATGTTGCCCTTCCGCAGCGTGAGCGTTACGGGAGACACCTTGCCAGGCTGGCTCCAGCCCACGCGATCGTCGCCCTTCAAGAACGCATCGAGGAAACTCTTTTGCAACTCAACCTCCTCGGGGTAGTAGAAGGGCAAGTCGTGACGGCCTGTGATGAAGCGAAGATACTTGAGCTTGGAGCCGGCCCCGAGGTAACCCTGGACGTTGCCTCTCAGGTGAAGAAGAATGCCACCCCAGTTCGCAACACTCAGTACAGGGACTTCAATGTCTTCCAGATTGTACTCCTTGCTGGCGTAGTAATCATCATCGCGGAAGCGGTTTGCCTCGTTATCTTTGGTCTGGTCCTGTCGGTTGGCAACCAAGACATCATCAGGCAAGTCACCCTCAATGGTGTCTTCCTGACCTCTGGCTCCTGGCCCGTCAGGAGGAAAGTCCAATTTGGATCTGTCCTTGCGGCCGTACTGGTTCACAAGGACCTGGCGATTCCACCAAACACCAATGAACTTGTTGGAGTAAATGCCACCGTGACGGCAGCGGTCGCGGTAGTAGTCGGACATGCCCTCCCATGGTATGATGGCTGCGAGGCCCTTTGGTCGGCGGGCGGCAACTCGCCACTGAGAGCCTGGATGTAAGAAATGTAAGTGGCTGTGGTCTGGTGATTCATTGGGGACGGACGGGACGGGACAGGAAAGAACACACCAGCATAATAGGAAATACCCAGCAAGCCGACTTTGCCGTTTGACCAAGGCTGGTCCGTAGCCCATTCGACGACATCAAAGAAACACTCGCTTGTACCACGGCTCATGGTGTCCAGCAGACCCGGGCTCTGGCCCAGACCACGTTCATCGGCTCGAAGGATGACGTAGCCCTGGCTGGTCCAGTACACGGGATCTGGAGTCTCCCAGGCCGAATACTTTGACCTCTGTTCGGGGTTGACCTCGCTGAAAGATTTAGGGTAGAACTTGGCGTACGGAATATCCTTGCCGTATGGGCCGTAGGTAACCAGCACGGGGTAGCGAGCCGCCTTGTCGGTCGAGAGCGGAAGGTAGACATTGGCTCGGATGGGAAGTGATGAGTCCTTCAGAGGAATCGAGACATTCTTCATCAATGTGAGGCCGTTCTCCTTGTCCTCGGTGATCTCGAGGATGTCCTTGATGGGGGGGGTCTTGACGGACATTTTGGGTAGATTTTGAATGATGATGATATCGGGATGTAAAGGAAAGGTATGACTTCCAGGCCCAGTTGCCGGTTAAACCAAGGGTCCTTGGTGGGTTTTATTGAGATACGAGACAGATCTTGGAATTGCGATTGAGTTCCTGGCGGCAACAACTGGATGTCTAATGGAGCGGGTGATGGAAAGTGCCCTGGTGAATGAAGATGGACCGCTCCATGGCATTCCGCGTGCGGCGGAACGGTGGGGGAGGGGCTGGCCCCAACTGGCTGACAACAGTAAGCACGCCACGAACCCAACAGTACATTCCTTCCAGGTTACCTTAGGTAATGAAAGACACATGCAACTTAGTAGAGAGCGAGGTGCGAGGTGCGAGGTGAGAGGTCAGTGCATTCGGGTCCTGGTCCCGTTCCAGTCGTCAGGTCTGTCACCTCATGTCCGATTCTCCCTCCGTATATCGTTATCAGATGCCGAGCCGTCGTTGGTTGGTTCCTTATGCTCGGAATCATCGTGTCTTCTTTTTTTTATAGTAAGTGAGTGGTATTGAGTTTCAATGTTGGAAGTGTTGCAAAAGAAATTCCAGTTTATTGAACAATCTCTGTAGGCGCCTCGACAGCATTGGATTACCACCTAATGCTTCACCCCCGCACAAGTCCTAAATCTCGCCGCCGACCTTGAATCTCCAATAGTTCTCGTTCAATTTGCCCCCTGTACTCCTCCAAAGCCAGTTGGAAACCTGTCAAATGCATGTCAGTCTTGAGCCAGCATTCTTCGCCCACTCGTCATCGCAATCTCACCCCTTGAAACCAACATCCATTCAGCATGACAAAGACGAATCCCGTCTCGATCCGGTTCGATCCCCATGGCCTCTCAGACAGATCCAATTCTCTATTGATGGGCCTGTACGGAGGCACCTGTCGATGCTGGTCGTACCAGTCGGGCGGGTTTTCAACCGTCGGCAGCGGTGCATCTCTGGAAGGTCTCGCGTATGCTTCTTCAACGCCCCCAGTAAGACGAATGTTGTAATCGTGGAGGTAGTCTTGCTGGAGCCTAGTAGTGATAGGGTTGTCTGTCGTGGTCGCCGACATGTTGGAATCTTCTCTCTGCGAGCGAAAGCAACGTGCTTGAGAGGTTGGTGAACAAGGCAGTGGTCGTTCTCGAATGGCGGCACGCCTAACGTATCTGAAGAGGATTCGCAAGGGGGAAAAGGCCGCTTCAATATGCCGACACTCGACCCGTCCGTCTCCGCGAACCCGCTCCCCGATCGACCAAATCAAGCGTCGGAAGTGCGGGGAGATGTGACCTGCGTCTGCCCCTATCCTCCCGTCCCTCTATCCTGGTCAGCGTCCATTCTACGTGATCGGCTTCAACCCCTGTCCCCCACTTTCCGCCCCCTCCAACCGCCGGGCTCCAGCCAGTCAGTCCCTGTCGCGGACAGCTGTTTGAAGCTGTCGGAGCTGAAGGTTCGTCGAGTCTCACCAGCCATACCTTTTTGGAAGACGTCGTTCGTTCAAAACATCCACAGGCTTCGTCGTCCCTCACCTCGACCTACCTTGCCCTACATTACCTTCTCGTCGATACCATCATCTCTCCTCTTCTTGAGACCTAGCCTGCCTGATTCGCCATTGCATCGCGGAATACAGCCACGATGGATTCTGCCATTGAGAAGCTGCTTGTTACTATCGTCGACGGGCGCGCCGAAGGCGTCCGATTCCGCCAGGACAACCTAGGCCATCTTCACGAGGAGCTTCGTAAGGAATCAACAGCGCTCTGCGCAGCTCTTGAGAAGGACACCGGCGCATCAAGAGCTGAAGTAGAAGTTGAACATTTCTTAGCCTTGGAGGCGGTTCGCCATTTTTACGACTCCTTGGACTTCGACAAGGAGCTGGAAACCGAATACCTCGTGGCGCATGGCAAAGATAACGCGCAGAGACGAACCGGTGCGGGGCTCGTCATCATTCGCCCAACAACGTACACTCGTCTCTTCTCCATATTGAGCCCACTTGCGGCAGCTCTGGCAGCTGGCTCTGTTGTTGCTCTTGAGGTTTGTCCTGGAATTGACAGTACACGTCACGATAACAACTTGGACTGAGCTAATCCGGATGAACGCAGCTCGAGGACTCTCTGCTACAGCTCGACTCCGTCCTCCGCAATGTCCTCAGTCGTGCCCTGAACCAGAACGCTTTCTGCATCACAAAGAAGATCACAGATGAGTCCCTCCTAGGGTCGGCAACTCTTGTGGACCAGACGGGAGCCGCACCCGGTGCAAATCATGTCAGCCACCTGGTCTCTTCCAATAGCAGACGGACCATGGCCATTGTTGATCGTACTGCCGATGTTGAGGCAGCAGCAAAGGCCATCACAGCAGCGAGGTTCAGCTTTGGGGGACAGTCGCCTTACGCACCAGATTTGGTGCTCGTTAATGAGTATGTGAAGAAGGAGTTCTTCGAGGCGTGCTCCAAACATGCCACCCTAGCGTTTGCACGGGAAACCACAGTTCGAAGAGCTAGCGACAACCACAGCGAAGTCACGAGGAAAGCGGTTCAAGAGGCCGAGGACAAGCGTCTGGTTGTCAGTTTTGGGTCAAAGGACTTCAAGTTGGTCGATATCAAGGACAAGTAAGTCGCCGGCGATGTACTAGGCACTGCCAGCACACTAAAGCCCGCAGGAATACACCTCTGCTGAAGGCGAAAGTTAGCGGGCGCTTCTTGGCCATCGCAACTTCTTCTGGTCTGGTAGACTCCATCTACACGTATGAAACCGAGTAAGTAGACTGCCCTTGAGACAATCCAGGAGAGCGTCTAAGAAACGACAGGCAGCCACTTCTGGCCAGCTACCTCTTCGCCAGCCCCGATGCCGCGAAGTACCTTTCTCAACACCTTCCTTCGCACATGTCCTTTGTCAACCAGATCCCGTCTCATCTTCTTCTCGGCCCTGCAGCACCAGTCTCGCGCGATCCGGTCGTTGAGTACCGCTATAGCAAGGAAATGTTTTCCGTCTCCCGACCACAGATCATCGAAAAGCCTTCCGGCGCACTCGCAAAGGTCGAGCAACTACTTTCCGGTGCCAGCGGCATCACCCCGCAGAGCCTTCGAAGCTTGGCCGCCACGCCATTGAGACCTACGAACCAGCCTGGCAATAGTAGGCTGGGGTTTTTCGAACAGGGATTCGTACTAGGTGCCAGCCTCATCATGAGCGTCGTGCTGCCCAGTCTAGCATATGGCACGTGGATCGGCGGTCGGCGGGTGTTTGATTACGCAATGAAGCTCAGAACTTAGGCTCACTTTTCTTCGCAGAGTATGGCAGTTTGTATAGTAATAGCAACACAAAGACAGACAGACGTTCACGCCTGGCCACAAATGATCCACCGTATCGGCTTGTTCCTGTGATCCTGTTTAGGAGACGTATTCCACCCTAAACCTCCCCAAGTTGAATACGAAATTATGACGGACAGTTGATAGCCGCTTACTAACCCAATCTCTCAACGACTTACCAGATGAAGTCACATGGGGCAAGTGGACAACGCTTTGTTCTGCTGCTCTCAGTTGATCGTATGGCGCCTGGATTGCTGGGGTCGCATTCCCGGTTCGGATTTCGGCTCGGGAAGTGGAGGTACACTACCTCAGCTCGACAATTTGACATTGGCACCCCTGGAACCCTCAGTGCAGCGTGGCAGCTACCCCGCCGGCCCCACATACCCCGGCCGTCGGGTCTTACCTTAGGTACCTAGGTGTCTTGACACCCCTGGGCCTTTCAGTTCCTCCCGTCACATCCTCCGCGTCAGGAAACGCTTACAAGTGGGCGCCTAGGTAGTCGGGACACTGAACTGTAATACGTGCCGAGTCCACTTCAACCGTCTGGGGAGAATATCCGGCTCGCCGATGGGGCCGCTCTGGGCTTTGTCATGGCAATCAGCGTCGGCAGAGCTGTCGTTTTACGGACTTCTATTTACGCCTCACCGGCCTTGATATGGGATAACCGTCCTCAGAAGTCACATTCACCAATACCATTATTACGCCAACCTGGAGACAAAGAAGCCCCTTGTTGAATCAACCGAACATAGCTCACACATACCGCGGAATACATATTATCTCTCTGAAGGTCAAATAAGCGCCAGCATGGCAGTAGGAGTCAAGAAAGAGGCCCTCATGAGCCCCGTCCACCTCTTCTCCCATGGCTCTACGATGATGCTCGGAGAGGAGAGCAACTCGGCGACTTACTGGAAGAAATGCGGAGATGAGGCTCTGGCCGAGGGCGTCGAGCACGTTGTCATGATGGTAAGTTTGGTCTCCCTCACCCTGAATCCTTGTGTGTCACGTCACTCATGACTGAACAGGGCGCACACTGGGCCACGAACGCCCCTGGCGAAGTCCTCATCTCCGCGCATCCCAAGCCCGGAAAGTCGCCAGTAGCCTACGTCAACCCTGAAAAGTACCATCCTTACAAGCTGAACCCCGACCTAGACTACGTTCCCACGATCCAAGCTCACTTCAAGGCGGCTGGCATCCCCTCCAGGATCGACCCGACCTTCGACTGGATTCACGACACCTACCTTATCCTTATCCGCATGTTCCCCAAGGGCTGCCCCCCGACAACTCTTGTCTCTATGAACGACTTCTACGACCCGCACTTCCACGTGGCCGTTGGCGCAGCCCTGCGTCCACTCCGCGCGGCCAAGCACAAGACGCTCTTCATCGGCTCGGGTGGCTCCGTTCACAATCTATATCGCAACGTCTGGGGACCCATGTTGCGCTTCCGCGATAACTTCGCCCAAATCACTCCTCCAGAGCCGTGGGCCCTTGACTTTCGTCAGGAGGTCATTGACACCTTCTGCCCAGCTTACGAGGACGAGGTACCGGCGGACAAAGCTGTTTACGGACGCCCCATTCGCGGCAAGAAGCCTTGCGGTGGACCGATGCTGAGACGCAAGGTGACCAGCCTGATGAAGCATCCCAAGTATCGCGAGGCGCACGCGACAGACGACCATTTCATGGCCACCATGTTTGTGGGAGGTCTGTGTGGGGGCAAGGGTGACGAGAACCTGAAGGCCGAGATGGGTGCTGAGGATTGGGAGCTGACGAATATGTGCAACTCGCAATTCACTATTGGTAGTTGGGCAGACGCAAAATGAACAAGAGGATTGCGTTTTATTGGTATCAGATGTAAGGTTACGTGATATAAACAGATTGTCCGTCTCAATGAAATTTGCCTTCCCCTATGACAGGTCCATATTGTCCCATTGAAAGTCATCGCCAGTGTCAAGGCCGCTGAATATATCATTGTCACCCAAATCCAGGCCACTCACAGCGTTGGAAGGTCCACCTAAACCCATGTCGGCTCCCAAGCCTAGGTCAAGGCTGACATTATCAACAGACATGCCGTCTGCAGGCACAACGCTGGCAGTCGCGGCTGCCATGGCGTCGTCTAACGAGCCTGTGCCTGCATCTAAACCAAGACCAAGGTTGGTTTGCAGCATGTTATCTGCTTGTATGGCCTCGGCCTGAGAGACGGCTAGTTGAGATTCTACCTTGCGATGTAGCCTGACCACGATTTCGGCCAGATTCATGTCTGTTTTTTGGAGACTTTTGCAGTTTTCGGCATCCAGCTTCAAAATTTCCCGCATCGTCAGCTTTCTCTGAATCGGCGCCGGCATATTGCCGGAATTGTCGAGAAAGTTTATCGCCGTGGCAGAGGCCGGGTTGTTCACGTCAGGCGCGCAAACTATGGTGGCAGCTATGTCATAGGCGATGCTGCCACTACCGGCCTCAATGTTTTGCCTGATTTCCTCGTATATGAGCTGTAGTAGTCGCTTTGCTGCGAGTATGTTGAGCCCCACAAGTATTTGACGATGTGTGTAAGCGGGAGGCGGCATGTCCATGGTTGGATTCATACTCCATTGAACCAGAGCTTGTAGTGTTTGGCGGAGAGTATTTGAGAACCCTACGCTTTGGCTGTGCTGCTGCTGCTGCTGAGCATCCCCAGACCAAGCACTCAATTCGAGATGATCAGCCGCGCCTGTTCGTCGAGACAGAGGAATACTGTCTTTGATTGCTCTCAGAAGCGGTTCGACTTCCTGGCTTTTTGGATCAGATTTCTGATATGTTCTTAACGAATGTTCCAGTGGCTTTGCGACTATGTTCATAACCGACGAAAGCATGTTTGAGGCCTCCTGGGAGATGGAGGTCGGCGCAAGAACCGACTGAAGCACCCTGACAGTGGCCTTTTGGCAGTCGGAACGCTCAACCAACAGAGAATTCGAGAGATAGGTAATCGCCACAACCAGCGACGGGAGAAGGAACGTATCGACCAGATCTGTGCTAAAGTCAGAGACAGTTGCAAAGGAGAAAACAGAACTGATCTTACATTCAACACCCCCTTTAAGGCTCTCCTCGGACAAGTGGCCAGTACTGACAGCCAACAAAATGTTCTGGAACAGCGTGGAAACCAAAAGGTAGAAATCCTGTGGTGGGCAGGACGACATAAGCTCATCCCCAAGGCCGCCTGCTTCAGAGTCGAATAGTCCATGGATCCAGCCGTTGAGATGCCCCTTTTCTTGATCGGAAAGCTCGTCAAACGATCGACTTTGGTGACCCTGACCAAGCAACCTCGAGACGAAAGAATCTGGTGATGTGATGCCGAGATCTGACATTGTCAGATTGTACCGATATGCAAATGCCATGACTAGGAGAAGGATGGACCCGAATTCCTCGTACACAGGCTGATACTCGCCCTGGTCCTCTTCGTATTTCCAGTTATCCAATAGATCGCAAAGAGGGTGGAGAATCGTTGCGGGTCTCTCGAACAGTAGCATGACGTCCAAAGAAAGTGGCTTCTGAGCGAGCTGGCTGCACAGAAGTTTGAGAGACATCGTTTCCTTGTTCCTGCAAAGCTGTCCGAGAACCTGGCAGTGTCAGATTTTCGTGGGCACTCGATACAGTCGGAAATGCGTACCTCGGTCAGAGCCTGGCAAACTGCGCCGGCATTTCCGTCCTTGCCGTCGAGCTCGCCTATTAGGGCCGTCATGCGTTCAGGGTCTGCGAGGCACTCGGAAACCAAGTTGTCTTTGACGTATCTCCCGCCTGCCGGGAGGGATTGGTAAGGCGTCTCTCCCAAGAGACCCTCAATGCTGCTCTCTCGCACCAGACCATGCAGACAACACGCCCAACAGAACTCCTCTCGCACAGAGTCTGTGAATGGATTATTGCTCCTTGTTTCGTCAAACATGGATGAGAGCGTGGGAAATGTGTTTGTATCAACACGGCCAAGTGCTGCGGTAATGCAGAACTCGGCGGTCAGCGGAGGGTATATATGTTTGCTCAAATTCTCAATTAGTAGGGGCAGCTTATTCATCAGAAATGAGCGCAGAAGATGAGCTGCTGGGTTGCCCTCGTTACGCGAGACGGCATTGGCTAATACGTCGAACGAGGCTAGAATGAGGTCGATGGTTGTGGTTTGCACATCGCCCTGACGGCAATCTTGTCAACAGGAGCATCGTTCGAAAAGCACTGTGGTGTCTTACCTGATACCTGTTGTTCAGGTAGTTAAAGATGGCGATGTCGTCAACCAAGGGCCGTCCAACAAGCTATAAAACGAGACTTGTCAGCATATATTCTGCTTTGCCAGGTACGGTGAACTGACCGCCGCATTCAGATATACATATAGACCAGCTCTGGAGTTGGCGATTGGCAGTTCCGAAATGACAAAGTTCTCGAGGGCCACAGAAGAGTCGAAGAGGTCTTCAATCTCGGCATTCGCCGTGTTCTTTTGGTCGTCGGCTGGCTCAAATCCTGCCAACGTGCTTGTGCGGAACATGTCTAGGCGTGTCGCAATGGGTCCGGCGTTTTGCATTATGGTTGGCACGAAGTTGGCAAGGCTTTCCGATAGAGCCTTTCTAGTATCTTTGCACAAGTCAGCTTGAAACGCTCTAGTCGAGTCTATGAAGCGCTCTTACTCTTTGCCTCTGGCTTGCTCAAAGCCTTCAAAACAACGCTGTTTTCGCAGACTCCAAGGAGTAGGGCCACAAAGGCAGCCCGCGCCGACTCCATTTCCTCCCTGGCCTGACTATTATGGAGTCGCCCGGTGACATCAACTGTGAAAGCTGTTGCAGCGTCGGTAAAGAGAGCTATCCACTTGGCCATGATGGTCGCAACGTCAAGGCCTGTCATCATATTTGTTATTGCAGTTGCTTGAGCTACAGACTTGGTGAGTCTGTAGAACATGACCTCCTCCGCTGCGTACGAACTTGCCCACCGCGGGCTCTGGGGTTGTGGGTTTTCGCCATTGTCGGGTTGGGCAGCCTCTCGGGAGTGGGCGCGTGACGTTGAGTACTTGTACAAAGCATTCAAAATAGAAGGTGTGTCGATGTAGTTCAGGTCGGAAAGGACTTGGAGGTAGCGCGGAACTCGGGGATCGAGACTGTCGTGGTTGTGTGGCTGGGGGCGCAAGAAGAGGTCGGCGACGGTGAAGGGAGGCAGCGGGTGCTTTGCTTGCAGAAACGGCACATACGATTCGAACTTGACGGGATCTAGGCGGTCAGACAGGCATTTGGATATGAACCCGCGCCATTGCTCTTGCGCAGCATGCTGAACGCCTCGAACAACGCGACCATCCATGATGTTGAATTAGTCGGGCCTGTGCTTGTCGCTCAAGCTGCCGAGCGCATCAACTGCTGCTAATTGGCGTCGCGTCGAGCGTATGATCAAGCATACTCTCGGAGACGAGATGCGAACGAAGTACTGTAGGCGAAAAGAGCGCCGCCTGCCGGGTGCTGGTGGTGTAGAATTGAAATGACGAGCGCAAAAACAACTGTGGAAGTCAACAACCTGACAACAGCCGAGCCTTGCGCTTCTGGATCCGATCCCGACGTCGGGTTTGTCGAAGGTAGCGCCCTAGGTAGGGAATTTGTGACCCCCGGGTAAGGTACCTAAGTACGGGCTCGCTTTGGGCGGTTAGCTTACTGAGGTGGGGAGGCCCTACCTAGGTACGGAGTAGGTAGGCAGAAGCACCACTTAGCAAGCACAGACCACGAACGACCAAAGAGAAAACCAGAGAGGAGTTCCAAGTTGGTTTATCGGAACAATCCTCAACCATGGTAATTCAAGCTACTTACTTACCTTAAGCATAGTGGGCGGCGCTGTCGATCCAGTCCTGGTCGAACTTGGGCGTCTCGGGGTTGATACCCTCCTTCTCGAGCAGGGCATAGTCCATTAGAGTAGTAAAGAAAGTGCTGGTTTCTACCAAGCCGCATACTCTGACGTGCCTCATTCCACCATACACATATGTCTATGTCAAGAGTCACATAGCAACTACACTAGGCATCACAGACACTGACGATCGTAAGAGCTTTAACTGTTCATTGATTCTGGACACTCGTTCCACAAACGTGGAATGCGAGCTAACACTGTACGCTAGATGCCACTTGGCTCCAGCGGCAAGTCGTGTAGCCTAAACTTCCCCCTCTCGAGTTGAGGTGCACTAGCACCGTCGAACCCGTCTCTTGCGCAGCATCAGTCCGGATCGTGGCGCTAGGTGTACTTTGCGCACTCCCGTGTGCTGAACAAGTTTGCCTCAATGGCCACATGTGGCGTCGAAGGCCAGTCAGACCACGGAGTTGTTGAGCTGCCAGGTCGGTAATCCTGGTCTGCTGAGCCTCATCCTTCGGCCCAAATCCGCATTCTCCTCTCTCCTCGTCTCCCAGGCTGGAGCTTTGAAGCTACCAAAGGGCCTGTCTTGTCCCAATTGGGAATGTCTTCCAATCATTTCCATCAATCCATATTAGAGAACGCCGATTGCAGGTGGTGTGTATGTGTGGGGGTTGTGTAACTGCCAGTCCAGCAAAAGCGTAACGCGTCGCTGACAGAAAGGGGAAGAGTGATTGATAGTGCTGTGGTTGGGGGTATGGCTTGTTGGCTTGGTTCGAAACCCAAGGCAGATTGCCGAAGCAGCAAGAAACGCCTCGGGTTGCGCTGACAGTCTGAGTTTTACATGTCCATCGAGTCGCCGCCGTTGGCGAAGCTGAAACCGCCCTGCTGAGGAGCAGCGTTGGCACCGAAGCCGAAGGTACCGTTAGGGCCGGTACCCTGGGCCATGCCCTCATCCGCATTCTCCTCCTCGTCCGAGAAGTACTTCTCGATGATGTTGTAGGCCTTCATGTAAATCTCCTCGTTGGCGTTGGTCTGGCACTCGTGAATCTTCTCCATGCCACCGCACTCCTCGATGAACAGAGCGTAGCGGTTGACCGAGTCAGCTCCCTCGCCAGCGGCCTGCTTGTCGAGGTCACCGACCTTGAGAATGTTCTCCAGGCCATCCAATGCGACCTGGATGATCTTGTTGTCGGGGCAGGCCAGGAGATCGCACAGGGGCTTGATGCAGCCCTGAGAAACCAGGTATCTAATTTGATCCGGCTTCTGCAAGCCACCTGATGTCGCATTGCTGATGGCCCAGCAAGCCTCCTTGCGCGTCTTCAGGTCACCGTTAGAGAGGAGGTGGATGAGAGGAGGGATGATGTTGGCATCGATAACCGATTGGATCTGCGCCGAATTGCCGGCGGTGATGTTGGAAATGGTCCAGCAGGCCTCCTTGCGAATGCCGTCCTTGTTGGAGCTCAACAAAGAGAGTAGACACGGCAGTGCACCGCAGTTGATGATGACCTGGGTTTGAACGTCGTCACCAGTAACGATATTACCGACAGATCGAAGAGCAGGCGTCTGAACTGAGGTACTAGCGTGCATCAAGAGCTCAACGAGACGGCGGGGGATACCAGCCTCGATGACGGCCTGGATTTTGTCGTTGGATCCATCGGATAGATAAGAGATGGCCCAGCAGGCGTCGATAAGCACCTCGTCGTCAAGCGAGTAAACGAGCTTGGAAAGAACGGGCAGAGCCGGGGCGATCTGTAGGAGGTGTTAGAAGCATGTAAAAAAGAGGCTTGGGCAGTATTCTGCGTACAGTGTTCCAGTCAGGCTGGGGAGTCTTGCCACGGCAGAAGTTGCTGAGAGTCCACGTAGCATTCCGCAACATGCTCAACTTGCGACTGTCGCCAAGGAGCGCGAGGAGAGGCTTAAGAGCGCCGCAGCTAAGCACGTAATCACGGCAGTGAGGGCTGTCACCGGCAATGTTGCCCAGGGCCCACACAGCCTGTTCCCTGACATCGGGCTCGGGGCTGGCCAAAAGTTCGACGAAGATCGGCACGGCACCGGCTTCGATGACGACCTGGGTTTGCGTGGCGGAACCGGAAGCGATGTTGGTCAGGGCCCAAGCAGCCTCGAATTGCACGAGGGTGTGAGGAGAACGGAGAAACTCGACGAAGCGGCTAACGACACCGGTCTTGATAACTTCCTCGATGGGCGGGTTGCGCTCTTTGGACAACAGCTTTCGGAACTTCGTGGTGGCTTGGATTTGGAGGTCGATTTGGTCAGAGAAAACGCCAGAGACCATCTGGGGGAGGTCCTCGTTCAACTAGCGGCGGTTAGCATACTGACCCAAAACAGGCAATGATCATGAGATCGGAGTAAGGTAAGTGAGCAGTCGGTACGGGACCTCTTGCGCAGCGCTTGAGGCGTGGTGGGCGAGGTCCGCACCGACTCGCGAAAAAAGTGAAGTGGGGCAGAGGCAAGGCGCCCTAGCAACAGAGGGGGAAAATAAGACGAAGGGTGCGGCAGTATTGGCGGGGTTCAAACAAAGAGACGAGGACGACGACGAAGCCATCGCGACAGCACCAACCAAAAGAGAGAAAAGCTTACCTGAGACTCGGTAGGAGCGGTATCATCGTCGCTATCAGGGGCAGCACCAAGGGATGCGCCGGGTCTGTTCTCGCCAGAGCCGATACCACGGCGCTTGGCAAGGTTCTCCTCTCTCTTTGCCTTGCGAATCTCGACCTGCTGCTCCTCTCTGCGACGGCGAAGCTCCTCAGGCTTGAAGGTGCTCTTGGCCTTGAAATTGGTGCGGCGGTGCTCGGGGATGTATCGGTCAGCCATGGTTGCTGTTGTGATGAATACTGGCTTGGGATGTGGTTGTTTTTGGTCGCGCGTCAGGAGGGGAAGGATGCGGCGGTTGGCTTGACCTGAGAAGGCTGGTGAATACCGTCTCTATTGAGAATAGCCTTGATGATGTTGTTGCGCAGTAAAGGAAGGGAGGGTCGCGCTGGTAAACACTGAAGGTCCTGGACACGGAAACAGGTTGTGGGGAGAAAAGTTGATGTAGACGGGAGGCTTTAGAAATTTATGATGATGGGGGAAGAAGGAAGGAAATGGGGATGAAGCGAGAGAGCGGGTCGAAGAAATGGAACAGGGCCCTGCCAAATCCAGAAGCCTACCAAGGCTGCACTGCGCAAGTACTCTTGACATGTGGTCTGCCCAGTCCATATCGCTTACATAAGGTACACAGTACTCAGCACCCCTACGACTGCAAGCGAAATCTTTTTTTTTCTTTTGGTTCCCCCTCCTCCTCGGGGTTTCCTTTGGTCGGGGAAGGCAACAGAATGCCCAGAGTGCTTTCCTTAGCTGAGTCAGAGGAACAGTTTAATTGGATAGTTCGCCCATGCGAGTACTGCCGTAAGGCATTGCTGCCCCATAATGTCGTAGCTCTTCAGTGCTTAGGCTGGTTTCCTAGGGGATTATGTCATGAACTGATACGATGGTACCTTACTTATTGCCATCAAAGCCGCTGTGTCTTTCAAAGACAGACAGACTCACCGCGAGAGCGCTTTTTCATCTTTGAGTCTTGTGTGGTCTGGTCTATTCTTGCCCGATTGCATTGTCTAGGAACTCAAAATTCTCTTTTCGTGTTGTATGTTCTTCTCCCTCTTGAGTGTGACGAATCTCGCATCATCTCTCTCTTCATGTGTAATACTTTACCTTGTTTGAACCTCAGGTACTTAGCTAAGGTCATCAATCACAATACAGCGTTTTAGACAGGCAAAAACGGCCCACGAAAATGCGGCAGCGATCTTGATTTTTGCTCCCCCGGGCCCCAAGCTTGCAGGGGCTTAATTGGGCAATGAGGTGGTGAAGCACATGCTCCCGCGAAGTGGCGGGGCACGTGCCTTAGCCTCAACGCGTCTTACCTACCCTCAAACACGCGTCAGGAGAACGCCCGATCTGGCGAGTACTGACAGATAGGGAAACCGTTTCCTGCTTGTGCTTTGTGAAAGGGATCCTCATCGGAAATCGACAACATCACCAGTTGCGTTGGGAATTCCTCGTTTTCGTTTTTCTTGATTTTTTTGGGGGCTCTCCGTCTTCCCCGCCACAACACCTTCAACCCTATCATGTCTGAACTCCATGCTCATTGAAGCACCACCCTTCGCCGACATGGTCGACAAAGCCACTGATATGGCCCTTCCCAAGGACTTCACGCCATTGGCAGATTTCATGGAAGAAGGGAAAATTCCGCCTAAGACCTTTGTCAATGTCATAGGCATTATCAAAGATTATCGTCGACCCGCAGCCACGCAAGGAAAAGGTTAGTACGATGCCCTCCTTTTTTCCCAGCGAGCAAGGCGTGTTGGAGACTAACCGCGTAGCAGATTGGAAGTGTGGTTTCCGCCTCTTCGACCTCTCAATGCAATCAGAGGTGAATTGGGATGTTGAGCTTAGCAGCTTCCGTCCCGAGAAAGACATGATAAAGATGCCGGATTGCCATGCCGGGGATATTATAGTTGCCTATCGGGTCAAGGTGCAAACAATCTTTAGTCATCTATCGTCTCAAACTTGACTGACGCGATATTTCAGGCTCAAACGCATCGGAACGGCCCCCTTTCTCTCCTAACAAATTACGAGACTGCCATTCATATCTACCCCGCCACAAAGATACCCAAACCTCCCCAGCCTGCATCTTGTTCTTTCAAGCCAACTGAGAAAGATAAGGCCCGGACGCCGAAGCCTCAAGTCGAGCAGTACGTTTCCTGGCTATACGAAAACATCGACAAGGACCGCATCCCAGAAGATGAAGTTTTTGAGGTTCGATCGAAACATTCGACGAACGTCAAGGGGAAGCTATGCGAGCTCAAAGCAGTCCAGCATGGTGCCTTCCATGACTTGATCGTCCACGTTGTCAAAGACTCTTTTGATCATGGTGACAAGGTGACTCTGTATGTCTCAGACTACACGGAAAACCCTGGCTTCTACAATTATTCATACCATGATGGTAGCCAGGCAGGCGGCAGGGACGGGGATCCCTATGGCTACACCTCCGGCAAAACCGGCAAAGCTCGAGACGCAGCCGAATGGGGAGGCCCCTACGGCAAGAGAACCATGCAGATAACCTGTTATGAACCACATGCAACCTTCATCAAATCTAAAGTTACGTGTGGGACTTGGGTCCAACTCTTCAATGTGCAGATCAAGTGGGGAGCAAACGGCGCAAACCTGGAAGGCTATCTTCGCGAAGATCGCAACGGTTACGGCCACAAGCTCGCCATCAGTATCTTGGATCCGCAGGAGGACCCCGAAAACATACATCCTTATCTCAAAAATGCGCTCAGGAGGAAACGGGATAATGAAAAGGAGATAAAGGCATTGACGAAGCAGCTTCGATCAGACATGGAGAGAAAGGGCAAGAAGCGCCCGGCAGCAGATCAGCCAGAGAAACCCCTGAGCAGCAAGCAGAGACGAGCGCTTCGAAGAGCGCAAGCGGAACAAGACGTCAAACAAAGCGAGGACTCTATGGCGCCGCCCCTTGATCTCAACCCTCTAGGTTGGTAGCCCGGAACCGTGACTCCATTACTGCGGACTAACAACATTTTAGTGACCTGCGAAAATCTCGGTAGGCCGACTTGCTCCGTGTCCGACATACTGCAGCCCGTGATGTATCAGACTACCATTCAAGGCGCACCTCTCAATGTCAAACTCCCCTTCACAGTCGCCCAATACCGCGCTAACGTACGCGTGATCGACTTCCACCCGCCAAGGCTCCAGGACTTTGCGTCTGGCCGCAAAAGGACGGAATACGACGTGTTGTCCGACAACTCCGACTCCGAGTCCGACTCGGACGAGGAAGACGCAGGCACTCTGGACAGCTTCGTTGGTGAGCGCCATTGGGAATGGCGCTTTGCTCTTTGCCTTCAAGAGGCAGCTGTGGCTCAAGACAAGAAGAAGCGAGGTGGTGGCAACAACACTTTCTGGGTTGTTGTGGACAATCTCGACGCCCAGCTTCTCACGGGGCTTGACGCTTGCAATCTCCGCGCTGACCCCGACGAACTGTTCAAGCTACGCGATAAGATGTTCATTCTCTGGGGTGATCTCGAGGAGAAGAAATCTAAGCAACTTGCAGAGAGCGATCAGAAAAAGAAGCAACTTGCCAAGAAGAGCAGGAAGAATGCCACCGAACGCCCCCCAGACAGTTCAGACATCGAGACGGCCGACGAACAGTCTGTGAAGCATGTAAAAGAAATGACGCCTTCAAACAGGCCTTTTCCTTGTTGCATACGCCAGTATGGCGTCCAAGTAAGAGAGCCAAACGAGGTGAAAGCCGACGCTGGTGACGGCAAACGCTGGGAACGAGTCTACGGGCTGTTTGGGACGAAAATCTGTGGTATCTAAGGCAAGGGACGGTTCCATGTGATATCTTGGTGGAAAAGCTAAGGCTACTGCATAGGGCTATGGCGGAACGGAACGGCACAACAAGTGTTAGACTGGTGATAGGCATCTGGCGTATGAACTGGTATGACCTGGTTGATACGGAGTTATGTTGGCAAACACGCCTGAACGTGGCATAGGGGCGAGCGGACCAAGAACTTTCTGAAATCGTGTCGGCATTGGCTACTAGGAGAGCTAATCATCTTTTGATCCTTCTAACGCCGCAAAGCCAATAAGTGAAACATGATGTTGGGCGCCTGAATTCGCCAACACACCAACAATTATATCCCTTCCACGCTGGAGCGATATAAACACACTCCCAACATTAACCCCAGAGACTCCACGTCAGACATCGGAGAGTGGACAGAGTACCTAAAACCGCATATGCCGCTTGTGAACAGAGCAAAGAAACGATAGGACATGCCCGCCCTAGGCCTGCTTAATCGCCCAATACGTCGTTGTCGTCGTCTTCGACATCATGATTAATAGGGGCCTCTTCTGGCTCGGGCTCCTCCTCTTCTTCTTCCTCTAATAGTTCACGCCGAAGGAGGTCTTCTCTGGAGCCCTCTTCCGGTTCTGCCTCAGGCTCCTCCAGGGGTTCCTCTTCTTCGTCATCGTCATCGACAACCATCTCCTCGCTCCGCGACGGCTTCTTGGATGCTGGCTTGGATGAAGTAGCCTTCGACCTTTGAGCCTGCTTCTTGCCGGACAGGTGCTCTCGAATCTTCTTCTCGTCAAGGAAAGCGACCACCTCACTGAAATTTTTACCAAGCCGGGTCTGGTTCCGCAGAAGCCGCTTGCGCAGCTTGCCAGCGTGAGGACCGGTCTGGTCCAGGACTTTTTGAACGATGGCCAAGACGTACTTAGCAGCCAGTTCACACAGAGCCTTTTCCGACTTGAGCTCCAAAGCGAGACGCTCTTCGTGGCTGAGTACTTCATCATCGTCTTCCTCTTCATCAGAGTCATCGTCGTCCATTGGCTCCTCATCATCGGCTGGCTCGTTGAGTAGTTTCTTTGTTTTCTTGGCGTAGCCCTTCTCAATGCCATCGTAAATGGAAACAAGTTCGGGCAGTAGCCGCGGCTCGAGTTCGCGTACCAGGCCAGCAAGCTTTCTGTACATCGCAGTACCTCGCGTGGGTTCGACCAGACTGCGTAATGTGCCAAAGAGGACGTGAACATCGCAGAGAGCACCGGCCGCGAACAGGCGGGTGTCATCAATGACTGCTCGCGATGATAGCGTCTTGATTAGATTGGTGTCGTAGTTCTTGCGCAAGACTGACAGGGAATCCACGACTGAGTCGGGAATTTCTGTTCCGCTCTGAATGAGCTTCTCCAGACTCTTGACCTTCCACATGAAGTAAAATTGAGTAGCTTTGATCGCGAAAGACGCGACCTCATCTTCCAAGTCTTCGAGATCTTCGTTGGCGTCGTCGAATGTACCGCGGTTTGCGATGTTGATCAGAATCTCTATAGGCGACGACATTGAATCCGCCGCTCGTCCTTCAGTTTCCAAGACTTCGACCGGGTCTGAGATCCGAGCGAGCTCACTTATCTTCATTAGTACCGTCGAAAGAGCTGTGAGGTGCTCCTCCTCCAGATTGCCGCGGATGGAAAGCTCGCAAGTTTTGTCGAAACCGCGGAGGGTGTTAATGACGTTTTCCCACAGAACAGCAAGCTTGCCGTCTGTCAACTCTTCCAGCTCTTCGCACTGCCGGGAGTGAAGTAGGGCTGCGGCTGCCTCGGCAATGACTCTCTTATCGCCGTGTCTATTGAATTGGGTGCTGATCTCGTCCAATAGCTTCTCGTACTTGGAGGAATCTTGCCTCAGTATTTGGAACACCTCGAGATCCAAAAAGTGTTCCATCCTGAGAACGATTGTCGCGGTTGCAGGATCAGCTCCAAACTTGTTTAGCAGCCGAGGAATAGCAACTGCCAAGTCAAGTGCGGTGTCTTCATGCGCCTCAGTAATTTCGGAGCGACCGCCTCTTTTCCTGGCCTTCTCAAGTTCTGCGGACTGGAGAAGCAGCATCTTGACGGCGGTGGCCAGAACTTCGAGCAAGATGGCCTCCTCCGATCCGACGGGGCCGACAGCTTTCTTGAACGCCGTCTCCGTGGAAGTGCTCTTTGACCTCGACTTGGAACTGACTGTGTGATCGTAGAGAAGATAGCCGGAAAGAACTTCCCATTCTTTGACGAAGGGAACCTTTTCGAAAAGTACCTGGGCAGCGAGCGAAATCCTAGTATCCGGAACGTTTGCTTGCAAGACATCGGCGGCCACGGCCAGACCTTGGGAATTGGCGTCTGGTCGCTCGCCCTCAACCTGCTCGTCATATGCCGCGAGTGTCTCTGCTAGACATTTGATGTTGACCCACGTACCGCGAGGTGACTCGTAGTCATCATCCTCGATTTCACCAAAAAGCTCGTCCAGAGCATCCTGGCCTCCGAGTTCTTCCACCTTGTTGTTGATGAAATCCTCGACGCAGGCAACAAAGAAGCTGACAACGGCCTTCCGAACTCTGATGTCGCTGTCGTAAATCAATTTGCCAATAGTGTCCATTTCTTCCGGCTCTAGCATTCCCGCGTCCCGGAGAACATTGATGACCGAGATGGCTGCGACGCGGACGGAAACCTCGGCGTCCTTGGTGGCGATCTCAATGAGGCGGGGACGGAATCGGTCAATGAAATGACCAAGCTGCGAGATACCGCGTTTAAAGATGCGAGCTAGTTGTCTCAGGACCTCCTGTCTTGTGGAAGCAACTGTGTCTGAGAGCATCCAACCCAAGTAGCGAAGGTATTCTGGCTGCATGAAAAGTGTGGGAACCCCAATGATCCACGACCCGAGGGCCTCGACACACTCCGTCCGGATACGCGGGTCGATGTCTCGGTATCTATGAATGAAGGTGGTGTCGAAGAAGTCCTTGATGTGGTGTGAACATAACTCTCTGCTATGGTTGGCCTCGTCGAGGTTATGTTGCATCTCGGCAAGTTTTGCCTTGTTTTTGCCCTTCTTGGCTTGCGTGACTTGCTGCTCAGTTGAACCGATTCGGTCATCGAGAGTTTTGGCGACGTCGATCAAGCCGTGCACAAGTGAGAGAATTACGGTTGTCGCCGTATGACGGAACGGACGAAGTGACGAGGTCGACATGGACGCTATCCATCTAACGAGGTTCTCCATCAGGGTGTGATCGTTGTACAGAACATCTGTGTCGTGAACACTGCGAACCAGGGCCCGAAAAAAGTTGATGAGCAGGTCGCGGAAGACTCTGTTGTTCTTCGCCCGGGAGATGAGTGGGTACTCGGTGACTTGCTCCTGCATGATGTTAGCAAGAACTTCGATGGACACAGCTGCTTCGTCATGAGTGGTACGTGCCTCTTGGAAGAGATCTTGGAGCTCGGTCAAGCGTGCCTGGCAATTATCTGGGTCGCGAACATCATCTTCGGAGATCTGCAGGTCGCAACCAGACGCTTGCAGTACGAGGTTTACGAGCTCAACCACGGCGAGAGCATCATTGGCCTGGTATCTCTCTTGCCATTTGTCGGCAATGTGTTCGGAGGGCAGACCGGAGCCGAAGACATCGGCTACACGAGGGTGTCAGCAACAGGTGAGAGTTGGGGAGCTACATTCCAGGACGACAGCTTACCATACAGGCCCTCGCCCTGCTTCTCGACCGCAGCGATCCTCACAGTCTTCTTAGGCCGCGATGGGAGACTCGCCGAATGGCCAGACGGGGCTACACCGTTGGTCTTGGGCTTTTTGGTAGCGGGCTTCCTCGCGCGATTCCCTTGAGCGGTGGATCGCTTCTTGGGCCTAGGGCGGGGACGCTCGTCGGCGGTATCGCCATCGCTCATTGTGGCATCGGACAATGCGCCGTCCTCGTCATTTTCTTCATCGTCTTCGTCGTGATCAGAGCCTCTCTTGCGCTTCGGTGCGGTGACGGGCTCCGGGCTGAACTTTTCGGGGGCTCTCACGACGCGTCCGGATCGGCGACGCGACGAGGACTCGGGTTCGGGGGAAGCTGTCGCGCTTTCCATGTCGTCGCGTAGCTCTGAGATAAATACTGGAACGTGTAGATGAGTCGAAGCAATCGCCTCAATGATTTCGCGCCGATGAGCGAAAGGTCGGGGACGTGGCGCATACAAGGGAAAACGTCGCGTCCAGGCAGTGCGGTACGTCGAAGGTGTTTAGGCAATGCATCCTCCAAATTCGCGGGTGTGAGGACGGTGGATCCAGATGCGGTCGCAACGTGTAATTTGGATGACCGACACTGTGTAGTCAGCCCCTGGCGGGGAAGGAGCACAAAAACTAAGAGTAAGGTAAGGTAATATACATAGTACGTACTTTTTGTAAATGCACACCACCTTCGACGTGCCTATCATTCTCTCTACGGGGGAATTAAACAAGAAAAGAAAGAGAAGCAGGGTCAAGCAATTACGAAGTCCCCGTGATGGCCCTGCATGTAATCATTCAGAGTCTTTTTGTTTGTAGATGCACATGAGACTTACACCAGGGCAAAGGCAGGGATGTGGGCGAGGTCGACTGCACAGTACGTACTCTGGAAACCCAGCTTTTCATGCCCCCAAGCGCTTACCTTACTTGATTACTTAGCCCGGCATCGCTGTCTGGTAATTGAGAGAGGTAGCTTGTTCTTCCGAATAACACATAACTTGGCGCTCTGGAGGTGAGCGAACATCGCTTCTCATCAACGACTACGTACTCATGACAGTAATGTTTCCTCTGACATCAAAATAGTAACCGAAGTTAGCTGGGCACGGAGGCAGTCAACGATGACCTGACTGACCGAGGCTTTGCAACAACAACCCTCAGCAACTCCTCAAGACCTCCGCGCCGACGTAACCATGGATTCGCCATTCCCGAAATCATCCTCTGTTGCCGGAGAGGGCGAGATTGTCGCACAAATCCTTCCCAACGGTCTTTCAGGTCTTCAGACCATGTCATACCAATACCCGCTGAAACTCATCTCGCCCTCCCCAGCAGCCGATCAGAAATGCGCTTTGGTCTTCCTCCTATCCTATGGCGGCGGACTGGTCGGCGGCGACAGTGTAAACTTGACAATACGCGTGCTTCCCGAAGCAAAACTCGGCATTGTCACTCAAGGTCACACCAAGATCTTCAAGTCCCCCTCTCCCGATGTCGTCACGCGTCAAAAGCTCAGAGTCTACATCGAAGATGATGCTGGGTTGTGTCTTCTGCCAGACCCAGTGCAACCCTTCGACGGAAGTGTCTATGAACAGACACAGATTTTCATAGCGGCACCAACTGCCTCCCTTTGTATCCTAGACTGGGTGACCCAAGGTAGGACGGCTCGCGGCGAGGATTGGAGTTTCGTCAAGTGGTCTGGGCGCAATGAAGTTTGGTCATGTCCAGGAACTCCAAGCAACAAGGACCGCCTTCTCGTGAGAGATACGGTCATTTTGGACAGAGAGAATCGGGACCTGGTCGGCAGGTCGTTACGGGAGTCGATGCATGGGAATGGGCTATTTGGGACCCTCATACTCCGTGGACCGCAAATGCAGACGATAGGCGATTTCTTCCTCGGCGAGTTCGCAGCTTTGCCTCGACTTGGCGCCAGAGATTTCCGGTCCGAAGAAGCGCGGACAAAGGAAGAAAGCAACTTGACAGAAAATGAGTTATGGCGGCTGAAGCGCATGGAAAAGGAAACACGGCAAAGCATACTTTGGTCCGCGGCTAGAGTAAGGGGCTGTGTTATCGTCAAGTTTGGAGCGGGTACTGTTGAAGCTGGGCGTCTATGGATTGGAGAAATGCTGGCTCGGGAGGGGGGCATTGCAAGCGTATTCGGGGAGCAGGCATTGATGTGTGTCAAGTGAGAATTCTTGTTGTTCATAGAAACCCATTCATGGATGAAATGAGAACTATCTGGGTGCCGTTTGGCAACCTACTTGTCTACCTTAATGCACTCCATTACTTACTTACCTAGGCACCTACCTAAGGTACATAGTAGGTGCCGTAACAGGTAGGTAGGTACCTCAATACACTACTATGCATAGAGTGAACATCGCGGGGTGACTCAACCCCCACCTAGGTACTTAACGAGAACCTGGAACATAATTAAGTGTACCTACCTCATCTTTAAGTGGAATTACCTTACCTTAGGGAAATTGTCGAAAAGTACAACCTACCTTAAGATAACCTGGAAGGCACCTACCTAGGCCCGGTGTCCCCTCCTTGAACTTAGTCCCCCACCACGCTAAGGTAATCAAACCATCTTTTTCTCTTTTTGATGCCGCATCTGTGACTCTCTCACTCTCATCGACAACTCCTCGCGAAATCACCACTGCACATTCGTCATTCCGACGCCGTCAATTGACTCCGTATACATCCGAGGCTTACGGTCTACTTTGTCATTGCCCACACACGCACGCACGCACGTATACTCAGCCGTCAAATACTATGCCCGAGGGCGCTCCTCCGGCGCGAGGCGCCGCCAGAGCCCGCGGACGAGGTGCAACAAGAGGCAGAGGAGCACGAGGAGCACGAGTTGCTAGCAGTGCGACGCCCAGCGCCGATAATTCCGCGCCCGCTTCGAGACCATCTTCGGCCCTCGGTACTGCCTCAGCGACCGCTACACCATCCACATCTGATCCCGCGACGCGCCAACCTACACGGGGTTCTTCGGTCGCCAGATTTCGGCCCAGGGTCATTCGCAGAGATGAAGCGTCGCGAGACGTTCTCGCTCGGCAAGAGCAAGATAAGGATAATGTGAGAGCAAAGGCAGAGGCTCGAGCTCAAGCTCGTTCCCGAGGTCGCAGCCGGAGAGCGCGGGGAGACGCCATGGGCAGAGGAGGAATGATGGGACGAACTTCAGTTGCCAGTGGCCCTTTCTCACAAGTACACTTCGAGGGTAAGCCTAGGAATACAGGATGCTCTTGGCATATGATGCTAACTTGCGTCTAGGAGGCTCAAGGTCCTCTGGCGGATGGGGAGGAGGTGGCGGTGGTGGTGGCTCCGGTTCTGGCGGTGGATTCTTCGGCGGAGGCGGCCGCGCCAAGAGCGAAAGAGGCGCCTTCGGTGAAGCCTCAGGCCGCCGCGAAGCCAGAATTAATGCCGATAGACTGGCCGGGCATTTGGTCGACCGCGAACCAGACTCCGACGACGAAGATACCGCAGCCCTGGTTAACTCTAAGCCTGATAATATCTGGCCAATGGGCATTGCTAGGATCGACAAAAAGGAAGAGAAGAAGGTCATCGCGACAACGGCAGAGCTCGAGGCAGCAGAGGACGGCAAGACGGAAGAGAGCCTGTGGGTTGACGAAGGCGCTTCGTGGGCTGGTCCTGCCCCTGAGGTGGACGACGACAGCAAGGTCTGGCACGCGGCACCCAAGGGTGCCGTGCAGATCAAGGCGGAGCCAGGAGCCGAAACCGGCGCAATGGAGGTCGACCTCAGCATGGTGAAGTCTGCGGATGCTGAGGTCGAAGAGAAGGTGACGCCCGAACCGAAGGTCAAGAAGGCTCTGGCCGATCCTGAGCTGGACATGATCACCCAGGATATGCAACTTCTTCTCAGCGAGCTAGGTACCGTTTCCGACGAGATCTCGAAAGCGCCTGAGGATGGTGCCGTGCAGGACAAGGATGGACGACTGTACCTGTTCCAATTCCCCCCCCTCCTACCGCCATTGCACCCCACGACTGCACCCAAGGTGAAGCCCGAGCCGGACGACTTGGTCATGTTGGATCATCCAGCTGGCGGACCTGTCGATCTCACCAACTCAGAGGATGATGTCAAGCCCAAAGCCGAAGAAGTTGACAAGAACATTGACCTCACCGACATATCGCAGCTCGTATCGCAAGCTGGTATGATGGGCAAGCTCAAGGTTCGCAAATCTGGCAAGGTTGAATTGGATTGGGGCGGGCGCACGCTCGAGCTTAGCCCAGCAGCAGGAATGAACTTCCTAACAACGGCAGTCATTGTCGAGGAGTCGGACGAGAAGGCGAAGCAGGGCTTCATTGGCGGCGACAGCATTGGTATGGGCAAAATCATGGGCAGATTCGTACTCGCTCCTACATGGGGTGACGAAGAAGAGTGGATTGTTGATCCGGAGGATCTCGTCGTTTCCGAGGAGGCGTCGTAGAGCGCTAACGTAGTCGGATGAGGCCGCATACATTTACGCTAGCTTTCGGGGAGGGGCGGACAGACAAAAAAGAAAGATACCCTACCTAAAATCGGACTGCAGCTAATGGGACGAACGCGAGGGGGACGGCGTTGTCCTATCGGCCTTCCCCACACTCCGCATATCCTCCGCGACCCAACCACCGCATCGGTGCCTGTGTGCGTGCTGTCATCAACGTCTTTAACCCAGTTTCTCGTCTAAACTTCTCGCAGCTCGTCGAGTTGGTGCTGATAGAAGGAGAAGAATTTGAGGGAAAGGTGTCTCTCAGCGCTACGTCTCGCTTGAAGTACGGAAGTATACCTCGTCTATGGAATTCAAAACCAAAGCTCTCACAATATTCATCTACAAATATTCAACATGGGCGGGGCCTTGGTATCCGAATCATCAGAGCCTCTCCATGTCATCATCATCGGCGCCGGCCTCGCAGGCCTGGCCACGGCACTCTCAACAAAGATCGCAAATCCCTCCCACCGTGTAACCATTCTCGAGGCAGTGAAGGAGCTCCAGGAAGTAGGGGTACGAACCTCCCTGCCAAAGATATGTCATGCGCTCACATCTTCAAGGCCGGCTTGCAACTAACTCCTAACGCAACCCGCCTTCTCGAGGCATGGGGCCTCAACCCGACACTCTCGAACCTCGCAACTCTCCCTTCAACCCTCTCTGTCCACCGCTACGATGGCACAAGCATACTCGCCCACGAAAGTGAACTCCAGCAAACGGTCCAGTCTCGCTACGGACATCCCTTCTGGGGCCTACATCGCGTCGAGCTCCAGCGCGCCCTCGTAGACCGCTGTGAAGCTCTGGGCGTGCGAATCCGTCTCGCCTCCCGCGCCCGCTCCGTTGACTTTCACCGCGCCGAGGTTATCATTGACGATGAATCCGGTTCCGATTCCAGCATGACGATATCCGGTGATGTCGTCGTTTGCGCAGACGGCATGTGGAGCACCATCCGCGCCCAATTCCTCGGCTGTCCTAGCCCCCCCGCGTTGACTGGAGACTTGGCCTTTCGCATCGCCATACCCATTGATTCCCTGAAAGGTCCCCACACGGAAGAGCTCGAGGCCTTCATAAAATCCGAGACAGTTCACTTCTGGGTTGGCCCTCAATCTCACGGAGTTTCGTATACGGTGAAGCAGGGCCGCATGCTAAACCTCGGTCTTCTGTCTCCCGACAACCTGCCCGAAGGTTCGACAAAGGTCGCTGGCGATGTTGAGGAGATGCGTTCGCTCTTCTCCAGCTGGGACCCCCTCCTACGCAAGCTGCTCGACCAAGTCGAGAGCGTACATAAATGGAAGCTATGCTGGATCGAGCCGCTAGAGCAATGGGTCAGTGCGGATGGTAAGTTCTTCATGGCCGGTGACTGCTGCCATCCAATGCTGCCCTACCTCGCCCAAGGAGCAAACTCGTCGCTTGAAGATGGCGCTGTCTTGGGCTATCTCCTAGGGAGGGTAAGCAGTCGTGAGGCCAAGGTAACACAACTTCCTGCCGCAGCGGCAATGTACCAGCAACTGCGGAAGGGTCGCGGACAGCGTATCGTGATGGAATCCTTCCGCCAGCGAGACGACTTCCACATGCCTGACGGGCCGGAGCAAGAGCGGCGCGATAGAATCATGACGGCGTCTCTTCAGCCGGGCAGGAGCCCGGAATCCGGGTTCCCATCACGGTGGACATGTCCGGACATCCAGGGGTTTCTCTATGGTTATGACGCATACGACGAAGCGGAAAAGGCATACAACCAAGATCCTTACTGATTACTGGTGGCTGGATGTTCCGATGCATCAATGGTTCTCGACGAGCAAGTTTTACAGTCGTTTTTTCTGGTCGCCCGCAGGTGGTCTGAAGTAGTCGCGGAACACTCTATCCATATATCAACGAACCTCTATGAAACATTTCTACACACGTCTGGTTCTTTTGGCACGAAGGTATACATGTGATTCTCCTATCTTGACTTTCAGAACAGATAGCAACATGAACGCGCGATGACGGAGCCGTCCCTTACGAAATTCCTCACGAACCATGAAGCCCCAGTTACTGTGAAACTAGACAAGCCGCATTGCCGTCACGTCAAGTATCGAGGTCATCTTCATCTTCGTCTCTTTAATAGACTCAATTATGCCCACCCCCACCAAGGCCGACTCGTCCACTATGCTGACTTTGCGCATCGAGACCATCAAGCTCGACAGACGATGCGCTCGGCGACTCCTGTCCGTATCTTGTCCAGGTATCACGTGGCCGGTCTTCGCCTTTGACGACGTATATTTTGCTTCCGGCAACGCTTGATCGACCTCGATTTGGTGGTGTCATGAAGTCCGGGGTCAGCGGACCGTCCGGCTCCTTCGATACAACTTGTGAGCTAGACATCGAGTCGTTGGGGCGTGTGCCTGATCGAGACGTTGAGCCGATCTCTTTTTCGTATTTTTCAATGCCACTTAACTCCAAGTCCACGTCAATGTCGCCGACACCATATCCCGGCGGGAGGCGACCCGATCGTGTTGTCCCAGACCTCAAGCCTCCCGATCTCATCCCACCACCCACACCACTCATCCCTGGAGTTCGGTCGGTCGAAGTGAAACCGCTTAGTCGCCACGCTCGAAGAAGGGGTCGAATCGTGACCAGACTTGAGGCGACAATGGCAACTCCGGGCTCGACGAGAGTCCACACCATGGCATCTGTTCCCATAACTATTATGAAGTCAGCACGGGTCACTGAGGATGGCTCCGTGTAATGTAGGCGACTTTCTGCGCAGAAATTGACGTGAAACATACAAAGAATATCGCTCAAGTCACTGAGATCGGCCAGGAACTTGAGTCGAATAAGGGTAGCGATGCTAGCGCTATTGACAAGTTAGGCCTGTCATGACGTTGTATGCCATGACGCTTGCAAGATTCCCAGTCCAAGGATAACAATGACGGTGGCCTTGGCTTGGGTTGTCATTTTGACGTTCCATATCATCGGTATGGGCATAAGAGCCTTTTGAGGGTGGATAGTCAGCATTTATCTTGCGTCTCTAGCTAGAGCGGAGAGTAGGGAGCTGCTCACATATAGCCAGTCACTCAAGATTGTCATGACACTGATTGAGTAGGCGGCCGCCACAACCGCGTCTGGCGACACGCATTGAGAGTTAGGGATGGTATAGTCCCATTGCGCATGCACCGGGGAGCACTGGAAAACATTCCAGAAAAAGATGACTGTACTCCAGACGGTAACGATTGCCAGACTGATATATATGATCCAATTGTAGGCCTTGGAGTTGGAGAGACGTAATAAGAAGAAACCGATGCTCAATTTGATGAACAGCATGTCCAACACATACGTGGCTGTCGCTAACGCTTGATACTTTATGTTTGTCAGTAAAATAGTGTGGCGCAACGCGAGGCCGCAAACAACGCACCATCAAGGCCGATATCTCTTCCTTCTGGCCAAGAGCCCGGTTGTGGTGTCCCAAGCCAACATGTACGCCGGCGAGAATCAGAGAACAAGAGAGAGTGAAAACCCCCTGTAATATCCATGTAAGGTGGCATCTCATACAAGCGCGTTGGATCAACTTACCTGGGCAACAAGCATGAGCCAGTCATCTGCTTGAAAGCCTTTGGTCATAAAAGCGCGAACATAGACTCGAAGAATGACAGAAAACCAGGAGAGAATAAGGAATGTTACGGCGGTGGCTACGAGGGCAGTGCCGTTGCTCTCTGTCAAATCCACCTCAGCCATAGGGCTGCTGTACGTGATGTTCAAGGGAACGACAAAAGTAGGAAAAAGAACATGACGGACGGGGAGGAAAGGAAGAAAGGGAGCAGGCTGGGGTGGCTTCAGATGCGGCCCCAAGAGATTTAAGCTGATCAACCGTGATTGACGGCGCTCCCATGCTTAGGGGCTGCCGTCCTGGCTTGCCTTGGATGGTCATGGGTACAAATCCAACTTGTCCAAGGCGGATGGAAGAGGGTCGCCGAGTCTGAGACCTGCGGAGATGGGGCCCCGTAGGGCAGGGTCAACATGTGGAGAGCGACGAGGGACCATGTGCCATTCTGGGCTGGCTGCATGGATGGTGATGAAATAGAGAATGCAGACACGATGGACCTGAGAAGCCCGGCCAGACTGGCTTATAACACTCTCGAGCTTAAATTTCTGGGAAATAATTACCATATTATTTGTACTTTGTTCGCAGACTATCCACGCATGCCGCTGAGCGACGGACGGACAGGAGCAAAAGCACGCGATACCCTGTCATGACCTTGAGACCCGACACAAGTACATATGTAGTGACGACGAACGACATGCCCGAGTCCGTATTAATTATATTATGCGAGTGTAATTTGCAAATGCGTGCGTCTTACGCATGCACATATGCAGAATGTGATTGGGACTGCAAGAAATACACGTATTGACGAAGACTGGGACATCAACTGAGTAGGCTTTTTTACCTTTTTTTTTCTTTTGGGCCCTCCCAAAGAAAGAAACGAAGGCAATCGTCCATCGACAGGCCGATGGCTGAAAATAGAGAGGACAATTGCGGGCTGGATCGTGGTATCTTGCTATATCTAGTCTTCTCCGAGGCTCTTCCAACACAAAGACTTCCATTGGTGTAACAAGATCTCATCACAGGGAAGAGTTCCGTCGACCAGGTGCTGGTACATCTCGGCGGCAACCTACGCATGCACCAGACTTGGCCGATGCTATTGATCTCCGGATTTGATGTTGCCGGGGGCTCATCCCCGTCATGATAGGGCTTGTAATGAAGCTAGAAGCTAGAGTTTGAATCTGGACCGACGCCTCATCTTCAAAACACGGAAAGCACTCGACTGAGCATAGCAACGCGTCCACGGCCAGGCCCGGCGATTAGGACTGCTCCTAGACCGTGGTTGTGAAATAGAATGCGCGCCATCATCAGCAAGTAGCACGGATGGCTGAGGCGAAGAGAGGGCAGGGGGCTGTGAGGTATCCAACATGCGAAGCGAAGCAGTCGGCTATGTTGGCTGAAGCAAGCAGCGTCGAAGCGGCAGAATCTGGTTGGTCATGCCAGGTCGCAGGCTGGTCGGCGTTCGGATGATGCAGTCCAACTTGGAGGCTTCGGTTTGCTTTGAGAAGCAATGCGGCGGAAGAAGAAACAACTCAACGTAACGCAACGCTGCTCGTCGGGGGGGGGAATGTGGATGGAGACAGCAACGGGAGAGCTGCAATAAAGCCAAGAGCCCGACAAGGCAAAAACACACAGAGATGCGCTAAACCCCTGCATTCTGTTGGTGCCTTGTCCCATCAACGTCCCATCTCGGGCTGCTCCCTGAGCGATGCGGGGCGGGGATCAACCAGGGTCGTCAGATGGTTAAGAGGGAGAAGCACTGAAGTTGCAATTGATTGGTTCGCCGAGGAGCTTCGTGTTCTGAACTCTCGGAAGAGGGTTTGAATAGTTTGATGTAGTTCAGATGAGCAGGGCGCATTCCTAATGCTGATGCTCGGTGTAATTCGTTTTGAGGTCTGAAAGGTCTCCGAGACTGTGCTAGAGCCATCCAAAGGTCCCTGTTGCGTTTTGACAGGACGGCCTAGCGCAGCTCCGCTCCGGGCGCTAGGAGCAAGTCTTGTCCTTCCAGATGGACTCGAGCTGAATCTGGAGATTGTCAGAAGTGTTGCGGTTGTTGCGAATGAGAGGTGGTGGAGGGGGTAGTCGGGTCCTCGAGAACTGATAGGTATAGGTACTGGTAACTTCTCAAGGCAGGGGGGTGGCACGGGACCCGCGTCTTCCGGAATCGACGATGGATTCGTGCTAACGAAAAGCTGGCGTGAGATTTGTCGTACCTGGCGATTGGAATCTCAAGGAAAGAGTTGTCTCTAGGAAACCGCAGCGTGGGTTCGTCCACGGAGACTGGCGGCAAGAGGCGTCACGGGTGCATGGCATGGACAGTGCAACAGTGCTAGTTCTCTAGAAGCAGAACTCAGGAGGATCGGATCATCATTCAGAGCGCAAAATACAATCGTTCCGGCCGACATCATCCTTGGTTCTCCCGATGCTGTACCTTGCATAACCAAGTATGCAGCCGTCGGAGGACTCAATGTGAGATACCTCGTCTTTCCAATCACCCATGCTGGAGAATACGTACCGAGGCATTTCGATTGGGTCTAGACCACAACCAACGTTGACAACCCCCGGTGGCCCGATGTCGAAGGACCAAACGTGCCATACCCCTGGTGTGAGATATTTCCGCGCGTGGGCGGGCACTCGAGTATGAAAGGCAAGAAATCGAGACCTGAAAGAGGCCAGACGTTCAGAGCCCTTGAAGAAGTGTTTCAAGACGGGAGAAGCAACCTGTCTCGGGCTTCCAACAGATAAGGCACCCGCACCGACGATCTGCGTGCTTGATTAGCAGGTGGGCTCTACAGGCATCCCTCCCACATCTCGAGGAATACGTACCCTCTCATCAAACCCTCGATAGCTTCGGCCGAGACTCGCTTGCTATCAGAACAAGAGTCACGGGTCCGCAGAGGTAAGTCCGAGTGATTTGCGCAGCACCCAAGTGTTTGTTGAAGTTTGGTTCAGAATCATCAACCGGACATTGCAGCGCCAAACTCTTGTCTCTATGCTCCGGTCTTCGGTCTCGCATCGGGAGACCCTGGATGTGATCCTTGCCCTGCACCCATGTCATGCCTATTATTCAGTGCATAGTCGGGGACGCATCATCAGTCTGTCGTTGTCGTGCCTTAATTCTCAAGAGCATCCTGCTACTCTCTGACGGCGTTTCCCGTGAGGCCACAGCCTTCGACGAGGGTTGTAGTCAGCGATGGTGGTGGTGGTGCTACCACAGCTCGTCAGCAGATGAAAACGGGGTGGTACATTACGAACGCTGCTTGTGGACATGACGGCATTATCGGCGTATGCCATCGAAAAATAACGTACTATGGGCCAAGACACATGTGCCAACCGCTGACGACTGCTTCGAAGCGGTGGTAGAGCCGTTGTATTGCGTATTGCGTGACGGCTCGACGCAGACGATGGCTTTTACCGTTGTTCGTCCATCAAGCCCAGCAGCCCACGATGAAGTTATTTGAGCCTCCATAACTTGTCGACCTGACAGCATGAACAGCTGGGTCCATTCTGGAAAGATGTGTGCTTGAGGCTATCATTCTGCGAAGGCCGAGAAAGTCAAACGCCTTCGATTGGCGAGAGAAGGCAGCATAGTGATAAATGACGCGAGGCAAGAGCGCTGGTGTTGTAGCTCCGTTGGACTGATGGCGAGAGGTGAAGTTTGGAGGGCAGGACAGGGCAATTGCTACCTTTAGGTGGGCATTGGAAATTGTTAAGTACATGCACTACCTACCTACCTACCTTAGCCCACATTACTTACCAGGTACCTTAGGTATTGGTGCACCTACCTAGGTTCTGGATTGTGGACGGCAACGAGACCGTCGCGAGATGCCCCGTGCGTCTGCTGTCAGTCCCACTCCTGTCCAGTCCCGTCCCGTCTCAAATGGAACGAGACGGAACGGGATGGCCTGAAACGGTTGCATATTCGCCGGTTGTACATAGTAAGGACGGTAGCCCGGAGAATGGACTTGAGTGCGGAAAGAACCACCCCCGCCCACAGTCACATCCGCAGTTGCCCTCCCGTCAAGCCATCCGGTATCCGTCGTATTGTCCTATCACGAATGCCACGCATCTCGACCTGAGGTACTTTACCTACCTCAAGGTACCTCAGCAATCGCCAACTGCAGACGACAGAGAAGGGTGGGAAAATTATAGAAACAGGAACGGCAACACACTCAAGCAAGTCGATCAAACGCACGAGGCCCCGTCTCACCAATCCATCTCTCATTCCTGTCTGTCAGACATACCGGAAGATTTCTTAAATTTCCAAACGTCCTCTCCTTACCTTTCAATCCACACGGCGGCCCGTCGCTCTAAGCCCTGCGTGGGTTGTGCTTTGCCCTGTGTTGATCTCCTATCGGAACTGCAACAAGTCGACAATCACCAACTTCTCGACGTCAGCCGACGTCCATCATGCCGGTCTCCATGGAATATACCGAGCACCACTATGCTCCCAACAACGAGCTCCAGAAGCTGGGCATATGGAAATTCCCTGCCGCTGCTGACACTGCTACCGATGCGTCCAAGTACTGGGTCATGTGAGTTTACCTAGTGCTTATCGCCATACCTTGAACCGTTGACTGATTCGTAACCAGCTGGATTCACGGCGGTGCTTGGCGCGACCCTCGGAAGACCTTCAAGGATTTCAGAACCTCGATCGAACAGATCGTACAGGCCTCCTCTATCCCCAAGTCGAAGCTTCGCGGCTTCATCAGCATTGACTATCGTCTTTCCCCGCATCCGCTTTTCCCGCAAGACCCTGCCGTCACCGCACCGGCCGAGCTTCGGTCCGCTCAGCACCCCGACCACCTCCGTGATGTCTGGTCCGCCCTCGCCTTCCTCCAGCACCGATACGACATCAGAGATCGTTACATCCTCATGGGTCACTCGGCCGGTGCTACCCTTGCCCTCCAGCTACCCATGGGATCCGCTTCTCTCGGCGCCGCGCCGCCGTCTGAGGTCCAGATGCCAAAGGCCATCGTCGGTATCTCCGGTATCTACGAGCTTAATGCCTTCAACGAACGTCATGATGAGAACTACACTCAGTTCATCGCCGGCGCTTTTGGCGAAGATCAAACCGCCTGGAACAAGGTTGTGCCGGCCACATTTTCGGGAAGCTTCAAGGACGTTTTGCCCACAAAGCCGCTCATCCTATTGGCCTGGTCTCCAGACGACACTCTAGTCGACGAGCCAGAGATTGATGGCATGGTGTCCAAGCTGAAGCATGACGGCGTCGAGTGCACCGTCATCAAGAATCTCACTCACGACCATGACTTCGTATGGCAGGATGGCAAACAGATTGCGAGGCTTCTTTCCGAGACTCTCGATTTGCTGACAAGGAGTTGAAGAGAGTGCCCCTGATCAACAAGAACTTCATATTCATTTCTCTACTGCGTTCATGCCACTCATGCTTGAAATCCTATCAAACCAGTCTATACAAAGTCGTCTTTCAAGGTACCACTTGCAGTTTCCAGCCGCAGCCGCAGCCCCCTCGCGTCCAACTGCTCTTCGCTACAACCTGGCCCCCCAAGCCTTCCCTGCCTTGGCTATTCTCGCTGCTGCAAGTGTCAGCGAGCCTGCGATGATGACCACCCCACCCCAAACCTGGGCCCAGACATACTGTCCGCCCGACCGGTCGATGATGGCACCCGCCGTTGGCGGCCCAGCCAGTGACGCGAATCCCGACAACGTCGCAATCATGCCGAATCTGGTGCCCATTTTCTGAGGATCGGCCGTCAAGCTTGCTAAGGCGCCGACGAAAACGCCCTGTGCTGCCCCGTTCGACAATCCGAAGAAGATACTAAATATGTACATGCCAGTCCTCGTTTTGACTCCTATCCAGGCAAACTCCATACAGCCCAGAATGAAGGTCATAAGCGTGAAGGTGTTAATCGGGCCAAGGTACCGATCGGCCACGTATACAACGACCGGCCGGCTTGGTATGCCCATACCGTTTGTGATAAGAAGCAGGGACACAGACTCGGTGGTTGAGAAGCCGACGACGTTTCGAGCGTACGTGTTGATCTAAGGTGACCGTCAGCAGAGAGAATACTTGCCCAGACCACTTCAGCGAACTCACATAAAAGAAGCCAAAGTACAGAGCTATGAAATACAGGAACACGCCTAACGCAAACAATATGTAAGGTCCCTCTCGGAATGCCGCCCACTCGACAAAGGGCCCTGACCTCCGTGGTGGCAGTCTCGGACGCAGCAACACGTTGGCAACAACGGACACGGCGAGCGCAACAAAGGCCGAACACCGCACGGCCCATGGGAAGCCAACCCGAGGGATGAGATATTGCAGCGTCGACGGGAAGATCAAACTGCCGACGCCAGTGCCGGTGGCCGATATTGCTAGAGCCAGAGACCGTCTTTTCTTGAAATACGATCCGATGATGGCGACGCTGGGCATGAACAGAACCCCCAATCCCATACCAGTGCAGATGCCCTGGGCGAGCATGATTTGCCAGTACTCGGTGCATAGACTTGTCATGAAGGTGCCGAAGACGACGACGGTGCAGCCCACTAGAACAGCCTGACGTGCGTATCCTGCGTCCGTCAAACGGCCCGAGATGGTGCAAATCGCAAAAGTCAGAAAGATCTGTACCGAGCCGATCCACGACACCTGAGCCGATGGCAAACCCAGCTTTTCGGTATAGAAAAGTTGATAAACGCCGAATGTCGCCGGGTAACCCCACGCTAGCGCGTTGAGCATATTGCCGGCAAGCACTTGCGACCATGCCTTCCATCCCCCTTCGGGATACACGAGGTCGTGCTCGGCCGACCACTCACGAACTTCTTCCGGACCGCCGCTATGGATCGCCCGATGCGACCCCTTCTCCGTACTCCCGGCCGTTGCGGGGCCATCGACCGCGCTATTCACGATGTCTGTCGTTTCGGCCATGTTTGCTGACGTAAAGGACAGATATTGAATATGTAATGGGCGGAGCTTTTCTTGATTTGAGTTATCGGGTTGTTCAGGTCCATGGAGCCGAGCCAGCCTGGCGAAGAGACAGGAGGAGGTCGAGAGGTTGTCGCACAAATGTTCAAGAGGATCGGGAGAGGCTGGTCTCATCGTCACGACCGAAAAGCTTGGGAGCAGTGGCAGTCTATTAGTAAAGCAGACGGCCGAGATCGCCCCTCCCGACAACCGAAATGCACGGCAGACCGTCGGCGTCGCAGGTCCCGGGCTTATTCCCGTTGCGGCGGTCGGATGCGGCGGCCTGGAACCCCACGAACCAGCCTGCATAGAACTTTTTGACAGACGACGTAGGGCGCGAGGCGCACAGCCTAGATGATCCCTTTATCCATCCGGCGTTCGGCAAGATAGCGGGTGGCCGACTTCATCGTCAGACTCGGGATTCCGGGCGGTTGAGATACTTAGGCCAAGGGCGCCTCCGGATATCTCGTCAGACAGACAAGCCGGGTCACGGATCGCATGCAAAGGTTCGCGGGGACTCAGCCATATTCATCGTAGCGAGTTGACTGTTGACAGAATCTAAGGTAAGGTAGATGGGATACCCGGTCTAGGCCACGACCGTCTGGCCTGCCGAATAACCCCACCGTTCATAAAACGGAGGGTTACACAAGCTCAAACATCGTGAGAGTAGACCGCTTTTCAGGAGCAACGAGGCTATTAGAATTCGAAGATCCTGAGTGAAGAGTACTTTAGGGTAGGTGCGATAAATTATTCGAACAAATCCAAGCGGTGTTCGAAGCCGGCGATTGACGAGCGACAGCGGAGGACGCACAGATACATGGCCCCACCAACCGATGCCATCGGCGCCGAATCGGACCCGAAGCGCATTCCGACGCTCCCACGCTCACGAATAACACCTTGCATGCAATTGGCAAGTCTATCGCATTGCACAGCACACCACCGCGTTGGCGCATCTCAGGACCACGTCGTATCAGAGACACGACACCATTTCACCACTTTTCGTCTCTCGGCGAAGATGGGAAAACAACAACAAACCTCCAGCGCGCATTCTGACCAATGGCGACTAATTTCCGGCCCACGATAACCCAGCCCTACTCATTAATTATTCCTCCTACACAACTCCTCCTCCTCCTCCTCCTCCTCCTCCTCCTCCAATGACGACTACCACCAATCATCACTGACTGCGCGCCGCCGCAGTAGGTATCACTCTATCATTGCCGTCCAACCCGGATAAGCGTCTCGCTCTCAATTTGTCTCAGACACTCTCTCCACAACCAAGGTAACACCTCGCGAACGTACTGCGAAATGATCTAGATAGATGAGATTTTTTTTTTTTAAAGGAAAGAAAGAAAGACAATGGGGAGCGAGTCTTCTCGTGTGTTTCGCCGCCGCCTTATTCCTGATCTAAACAGGGGTGTTTGATACCGCAGCGCCCTTGATTCGCGCAATTTGAACTGCCTGGCCACTGAAACAGAGCGCTGCGCATGGAAGGCAGGTAAGGTCAGAGAACACCGCCACGCTGTGCTCCAAAACGGCAAAAGTAAACAAACAAAGCCACAACAACAACAACAACAACAACAACAACAACAAACACAATAAACACAAAAACAACGCGCATCGCATATCACATCTAGAAACTGTGCGCCAATAAGGGGCGAAAGCCACTCAACTCACCGCACAATCCGTAGCGCGCTTGCCTCCATCTCTAACCAACCTTTAAGAAAAAATGATAAATAAAACAAAAGATTAATTGAGCATAGCGCTCAATCGCCATTGCGCATATTGCGCTTAACTACTAAGCTGTAATTCTCATAGCTTGCGCATTGTGTATGTATGATAGGGTTGGGGATGTAGATAGGAAAATGAAATAGCTTGCGCAAAATTTCGAATTGAATAAATTCATGTGAATGCTTCAATTCCAATGCGGGGGGAAACTGTTTGTGAGGTGAGTGCGGGGTTCTCTCTGAGGCGCCTACTTATGACGTAAGAAGCCGAACCCAGCCTCAATGTGAGTGAAGAGGTTGCCCAGGCGCAGGCCGGCCAGAGCGCCGAGCTTGCTCCAGTCGGGAGCTGCGCACGGCCCTTTGAATACTGTGCTGACGAACTCTATCCCGTCAGGTACCTTACCTAAGGTCTTCGTACCTTACCTTACCACCTAGGTTCACGAAACGGAAACCGCCACCACACCACCTCCCTGCCCGAGCCGGAGCGGGATGCAACGGCGAGAACCGCGCGCTAGTGCAGAATTGGGTTTAGCACCGAATCCATCTTTCAACGTCTTCCGTTCATCTAGTCCCCCGCTCCGGCCCGGAACCGCGGGACACCTGAACCGCCTCCCCCCCCGGTCGCATCACATCAATTAGTCGTTGCATGGCCCGAGATGCCCGTGTTCGTGATCAATGCGTTTTTATTTGGCTTTTCCATACAAATAACGTTGCTACCAACTAAAAGAATCAGGTCGTAGCCGCATCGCCTCTTTTTAGTCCCTCCCTTCCAACCCGGGGTCCAGAGAGGAAGCTCAAAGGAACAGGAGTAGAGCTGGCTAGCTTCACCTCCTCGTCAATATAGGAAACAACTTTGCACAAAACCGCAAACGAGCGATTCTTCCTCCATCATCTTCACCACGGACAATTTGAACCATGCGCGAGTCCCGACCGTCTCGCCCGCAAGTTGTGAAAACCCGCCTTTTTGGTCCTCCCCTACCGCATGAACCCTCCAATGCCTTTCTTCGTGTGCCAACACAATTTTCTGCCACCTCGCAAGCATGCGCATTTCGCATTTGTGTATGCGCTGGCGTATGCGAGTATCCCAACATCCTTGCTCGCTTTTCATCGTCCGACGCCCCTCACATCGTACAACAACCTCGTCGGAATCTGCAGCGTCCACACAACAGCACGATAGGAAAACTTGGTCCGCGCAAGGAAGGCCTGGAAATATCAAAACACCGCTCCCATTAAAAGATCCGAAACGCCAAAAAGGAGCGTGAGCGACCGTCCTCACCCGGCGAACCCCAATTAACCCCCCACCAAGACTTATCCCCTTGTGCCAGGTGATCTTAGAAGACCAGATCAAATATCCTCCCCGTAGTGCAGCGACAAAAAGCACGCGATTCCGTGACGCGTCTGCCCAAGCGCCCGTCGTTGTCGCCGAACGCCGGCAGGCCGCAGAATCTCATCTTGGTAGAGCCAATCTTGTTCTTCTGGCAACAATGTTACGACCATCGGATGTGGTTGGAACATGGACGCACTGCCTTGATACTCTACCGTTTTCTCTTCTTGTTCTTATCAACCATCGCCGCCGTCGTTGCGATGGGCGCGGCAGGGAGAAGGATGGGCTGCGCAGGATTGGCAATGTCCTCCTTCTTAATGGGGACACCCATGTGTCGGCCATAGCGACCCTTGCGACCGTTACCTTCGTCCTCGCTGATGCACTGATCGGCACTGAGACCGGCGTCGCGGCAACGCCCGCAGGGTCGCTGTCTGTCGCAACCCTTCTTGCTCTTGCGGCATCGCTGGCAACGAGGCTTGGCTGAGAGGTCGAGCTGTTCATCTTCGCCAGGGGCACCTGGCACAGTTGCGGCGGAAGCGATTGACGGTTTGCGCGACGGAGGTAGGGAGGCCGGCGACATGGGCCCATTGCTGGTGGTGGCAGTCTTCTTGGGCTTAGCAATGGCCGGGCGCGGCACTTTGCTGACCTTGGGCTTGGGCTTGGAGCCGGGCAACTGTGTCTTGGGTCTGGCGTCGGGAAGGTTGGTCTTGTTCTTCAAGGCGTCCGACTTGCGGTCACCACTGGCCGCACCGGCAGCGCCGTCTTCCATTTCGACATCGTCGCCGTTTGTCTCAATGCTCGGCTGGGGGATGAAGTGGCTCTCGGTAGTCTGGTACAGCTTGCGCATGATGCCGGCGGCATCCAACTTCTGGCGCCGGGCAGCGGAGCACTCTTCCTCGCTCTCACTGTCGCCGTCGCTAGTGGCTCCGGTGGACGAGGCGGCATCGGCGCGACCGCTGAAAGTGTCGTCCAGTGTAGAGGCAGACGTGCGACCATGAGAAATGTTGGACATTTCACCCAGACGCATAAGCTGGATGGCTACATCCTTGTCCTCTTCTGACATGCAACTGCCAACAGTGGGGTCCGGAGTGGGAAGGATGCCGCTCATGCCACCATAGCTGCTGCCTTGACCAGCGAAGCCGATGCTACCACGAGCATGCCGTTCCGAAGACGGCGTCGCGTAGTACGCACCGTGTGTATACCCTTGGTTGTGGCTCTGCGGGGATTGCAGAGGCATGGGGTTCGTGAAGGGGTTCTGACCGGGTTGCACAAACGGCAGAGAAGGTCGCTGAGGCTCAGCGCGCCGGGCAGGAGACACTGACGGGTTCGACGTGGCCGCCGGCATCTGCGGAGGCGCAAATAGGGGAAGCTCCTGTGGTGGGAAGGATGAGCACGGGGAAACGATGGGAAGAACCGGAGAAGGAAACAGCGGTCGGCAAACTTACAGAACTCTCAAATTTGGCCCGCTTGCGTCGGCCACCCTCTACAATGTTCTCGACACTGATTTCGGTGTTGCCAATCTGCTCCTTGGCTCTGCCAGAGCTGGAGCCGGGGGCGCCATCGCCGCTGCTGTAGCCATTGACGCTGTCACTGTATATGTCTGCGGCCTGACCGTTGGCGCCGGTATCCCTATTCTTGGAAGAACGAGATCGACCCTTTTTGGGGTTTGTGTTGGCGGAGCCGCTGCGACGACCGCGGCTGGGATTAGGGGAAGGGCTGCGCTTCCGAGATGTCCTGGACGAGGGTCTGGAAATTTCTTGGCCGAAGCGAGGCGGAGGCTGAAGCGGGTAGCCGTCACCTCCGTAAAACGGTGAAGCGGCGACAGTAGGATGTTGATAGGTGGGTGGCACAAAAGGGCTAGAGGCGGAAGGGGGTTCTTCAATGACTCTGACATAGACGACCATGTTGTTGCGGAAATTCTCGTATCGGGCGATGAGGGTAATGCCATTTTCATCCTCGAAACTGACGCCCTTGGAGCCGGTCGGGCCCGAGTACAGACCGTAGAAGTTCTTGACAGTGGTAACGATGGAGTCGGTTGTGTCATGAGGATAGATTTGAACGCGCATGGGCAGTCGCGCACGATATTGCGGTGACTCGGTGAACAAGAGTTCAAATGCGACGTTCTTGGGCTGGACGGTCTGCCGGGGTGAAACGCTGCCATGGTTGGAGGCAGCGGCAGAACCGCCGCTGACGGCACTGACGGGCGACGTGCTCGTCATTTTGGTTTGTGGTGTTGAATCGGTGGATCTGAAAGGGGGATGGTCGAGGGTTGGTGGTTTGATGAAGTGTATGTGCAATTGGCGGTGGTGGTGAAGTTGGCCCAGGATGGTCGGGATCCTGAGCTTGGTTGGCGGTCGGCCGACGAGAATGGTTATCGACGGTCTGGAGGTAGAAGTCGGTGCAGGAAAGAGGCGGAGGCAAGTTATGTTGCTCCAGAGAGGGTATGATGGTTGCAATCTCGAGCGCCCTGCGTTGTCGTGAGGTCAGCGCCAGAGGGGGCGATCTGACCGAGGACGCTGCCGGAGCGAACGGTCGGAGGGTGTGGGAGAGGAGGAGTCGTAGAGAACCTAGGGCATGGACTGGGAGGGATTAGCCATGGAATGATGTCGAACGAGGTTTGGATAAAGTGATTTGAAGGCGACGACGGCTTGTTGGGATGAGGGAAAGAGGAGAAGAGAGGAGGAGGAAGAGGAGGAAGGGAAAGTGGAAGAGGAGTAGGGTGAAGAGGAGGTCGAGCTGGGACTGCGTCGGAGAGCGGACGTAGCGAAGCAGCCAGGCCAGAGCAGAGCAGAGCAGACCAGCGATGAACGAGCAAAGGCAGCACAACAGAGGGGAGATGAGGCGGACAAGTGTGAGAGAAGATGAAAGCTCGATCGCAAGGACAAAAGGGACGGATAAGACTTACTCTCGACGAAGGCCGTGGTGTTGAATGATGAGAATCTGCTGGGCAATTCGCAGGTTTGTGTGCATGAGAGGGAAAAAGAGGAGCCCGAGGAGGTTACGATTTTGTCTGCGGTGTGCCAGTTGCAGAGTCGAGGTCGTCTCTCCACGGCAAGGTAGGTAGATAGGTAATAGTAGGTAGGTAGGCCAAACGAGCAGCGGAGAGCTAACACTGCCAACCCAATCCAATGACAATAAATCCCCGTCCAAGGCTACCTAAGGTACCTGACCTCCTCCTAAGGTCCAGTATCTGTAAGGCAGGGTAGATACGGTAGGTAATGGATGCCACCGCCGCCGCTCGCTGTGGACCGACCAGGTCACCAAACTGCCGTGCCGGCCACTGGTTGGGGACGACAGTGCGCCGTCGACTGTGTGAACCTACGTAGGTAGGTGGAAACCTGGAAAGCGACGGGAGACCTGCCCGGGCTGAGCGCACTCTCCCGGAGCGCGCCTGCCCTCGAGGCGCAACACGCTATAACTGCGGGTGGTAGTTACCCAGAAATAGGCCGCTGTGGCACTTACCTAAGGTAGGGACCAAGAGCAGTGAACTGGACTGGCCGCCCCGGGTCTCTAAGTGCGGACTGGCTGAGATACCGACCCTGCCCGCCTACCTTACAGAATGGAAGCTCGTTAGCTCGCCCCAGCTACAGGGCCCTGGCCAGTAATTCTATTGAAAAGCAGGGTGCCTGCCGCACCTCACCGCAGACTGAGTGGCACCTGGACCCGCCCGTCCCGTCCACCTCACGTCGTGGTCCTCTCCTGGCCAGCCCACAGGCAGGTCATGTTGAAGACGGCGGGGGCGCGGCAGGAGTACCTCACTTCAGCTCATTCATGTACCCAACATATCTACCTGACTTGTCTTTTTTTTTTTTTTTTCTTTTCTCCCTCCCCCTCTCTATGCGCTGTCGTCCAACACTACCTCATGAAAAGGATACCTCGACGTCGCAGGCGCATTTGCGCTGTTGCTTTCCAGCCCATCGGATCTATCCTTTCAACACGTTTAACCAATTCGAACAACGCTTCCGCACCTCTGGAGAGTTCATAGCAAGCGACCACGATCGCGGGGCCGACAGCAGAGAGCCATGCTGCGCCGGCACCGAAGTCATCCATGCTTGCGCAACCTGGGGCGCTTCACATCATCGCCGCCGCACATCGGCCACCACCTCAGCCAGCGACAAGCGAACAGCGAGCTGCGAGCAGCCAACACGGCTCGCTACGGCGGGAGAGGGAAGCAGGAAGCAAAGTGCGACAGGGCGACAGAGCGACAGAGCGGACCGGACAGGGTCTGACGGACCGGGGTGCGACCTACCTACCTACCTACCCTACCGTAAGGTACCGGCCACCGCACTGCGCCGTACCTACCTTACCTTACCTACCTTCAGGTACCTTACCTTACGACGGGACCTTCGCACCTTCCTTCGCAGTTCCCATGGCGGTCAAGGTCAAGACTCGACTTCGAGGCATTGGGCTGGCCGTCATGTCAATATCTGAGGTGGCCCGGTCTGCCCTCCCCTCCCTGATCCATCAAATCTCGCGAGTGCCTATTTACGGATATGATGGCCTCTCGCGCACCCCAAGGTAATTACACCCTTCTAGAAGCCTCAATCTTTGTTCGCGAGACGGGACCAGGGCATATCAGACATGGAACGTACGGATACGGCAGAGGTAGCTAGTGTACGGATACCTTACCTCGGCTGCCTGCTCAACTGCTGTGCTCTGCTCCATTGAGTTATGTGAGCGCGTGTTTTGTCTAGGTCGTTTAATATTTCCACACAACACAGCGCCGCATAACACCAATCCCTCACGTCGCAAGAGGTAAGGATCTGGTATGGACAAAACGGAGCATATAAACCAGATCTCTCTCTCCCTCGACGTCAGTTGTCGGGTACCTATTTAGCTCTGCTGTATTGCATGCAGTACACTGGCCTCGCCTCGAGTAAGGCACATACATATACACATGCGCTCAAATGTACACCTACAACACACAATCCAGCCACGAAACCTCACGTCCAACTACCTACCGACCTACCCAGACCTTGAACACCCAAATTGGTATCCGTTCACACCAGCATACCGACGGATGACGAGCAAACGCCCGATGTGCAAGGAGTATGTCATCATCCTGTCTCGCAACTCACCACGCCTCTCACCTCTCGTTTATACCCGTCTCAATCCTTCACCGCTCAACCAAACTGCCTGTCGATCGCATCCAAGATGTCGACAACGATATAATAGGTTACATGAGGTAAGCAACTGTGACTTTCTACGCTTCATGGCCACACACTGCGCGCCGTCGCCGGTCAGACTCAGGTGTCGTGTCTCTGCTGGCAAACAAGAGACAAGAAAACCTTCCTGGTTTGCCTTGCTTCATTTATTACGGTGCCATCCACCAGACCTGGTCCTCCTCGTTTCCTCCCAATTCGCCCAGCCATCCCTGTCCGGTCTGAGCCATCGAAACCTCGTCAATCCTGGCCATGCCCGCGGACCTCCAGGCCATCCATCATCCATCATCCATCCTATCCAATCCCCTTTTCTCCCGTGATTCCAATGCGATGCCATGCGATGCGATCCATACTGCGCACGCCTTCTCCTCTTAACCAGCCTCTTCCCCAACTGTGTGCTGAAAGTGTTAGATGGAGCGCACACCCGCGCGCAAGCAAGCATTCGAGGGAATCGATATGCCTCTTCATTTCTACTTTCAGCCTGCCGTTGTGTCCGGATCCTCCGAGTGCCATGGACGCCAGATCGGACACGATTGCGACTCGACTCCCGCGCCTTGTATGGACTGATGATGACCGACAATACTTATCCCACCTCTCCTCGTTGCAACCAGATCTGGCTCGATAACAGCGACGCCTCGCAGAGCGCCATCCCACCCTACCGTAGAACATCAGGTTTATCGCACACGGGAGTGGAGGCAGAGGGACTCGGAATGCCCTGGCTGATCTGCGTCGGGGTATTTTCGCAACATCGCCGTCGGTCACCTGTGCCTGCGTGCGTTGCGACTGATGCCGGATCGCCCGCCGGTCGCAAGTTAGTTATGTGACGTTGAGATACTGGCCGTCATCCTTTGCTTCTGTCACGGTCTAACGCCTACTCGTGACTTGACAATTGAGGACCGCGATGGCGCAACACTGCGGCATCTGGCTTGCGTTCGCCATTCCGACGTTGCACTAGGCCCAGACATCCACCAAATCGCCCCATCCCAATCATCACCCTCGAACCTACCTGGATGGCACACACACACACACACACACACACACACATATACACACACACACATACACACTCCTCTCTATCTTACTCTCATGCGACGGCGCCAAAACTGCAGGTCCGGCATGGCGCCTCCTAGCGTTTTGACGCCAACCCGCCCCAACCACGAGCCGGTTATCCAAGGTAGCTGGGAGCCATCGATGGAGTCTTAACCACGGTTCATAAACCAAACCAAAGCAGACGCCATCAGCACATTAAGCGGCGCTGCTCGAAGCCATGATATCCGCGACCAACCAGCGGCAGCTTGTCAGGCGGAGAATGTAGTCTTATTAGGTGAAATGACTGGCGGCCACTGGACCCCCGGGCCCCCAACAGCCGTTCGTAGGCTTTGCTTGTCGTGCTTGTCTCTTCGCGGTAGCGGCTATTTCGCCGCATGAGACAAACAGAACTACCAACCTTCATCCATGGCCCGCAGTCACACATGTTCGTGATTTGATGTAGGAGTCAAGAGCAGGTCGGACGGTTTATTTGATGTTCAGTGTTCCGCATCCGAATGGCCTGGGAACCAATGACATGGCTGTTTCGTCCAGCTCGAGGCGCCGCCGCGACTTTCGCAAAGCAAGGGGATCGAGAGCACAAAAGATATGGCGGCCGGAGAAAGTGGCCAAGGTTGATACGCAAGGCCAGTTGCAACATTGGCTGACAGACGGACGCGAAAATGATAAATACCATGACCAGTCAGCTTGGTCTGGTTTGATTTCAACTGTCAACCACTGATCGAGCCCCCTAGGACCAGTTCGTCCCCTTCGACTGATATCAATAAGCTTCCAATGCCGTCGGATCACGAACCCGGACGCTCGTTTCATACCACCATATCGACCAGGGCGGCGGAAGACGTAACCGCAGAATAAGTACGTCGTCAGGCTCAATCTTTCGACTGCGTCGTGAATAGCTCGCGGACCTAGAACATTCGTGAGGCCTAGAAAGCACGCGGATGCGGCCATATAGTGTCCGGGCCTCTCTCTTCGGTTTGCGCACGAGGATCCCCGGCTGCGCTCAGAAAGGT